ACAGGTAGCTTGCCAGGCTCTGCCGTGCGGGAGAGATACTCTTGGTAGCTTGCTGGGCTCTCCGAGAGGGGCAGAGGAATCAAACTCGGGTCGGCCATGTTGGCTGCGTGTAAGGCAAATGCCCTACCACTGTGCTATCGCTCCAGCCCGAATATATACATACATACATATATATATATATAACTTTTAATTCTCCTAAAGCACAATATACATTCTTCCACTCTTCTCCAATGAACATAGGACATTTTCCATGATAGATCACAGGTGCTAGACCACAAAACATAACCTCCATAGAGCCAAGAGCTTAGAAATCATATCAACTATCTTCTCAGACCATGATGCTCTGGAAATACAAGTTAACCACAAACAGAAACAGAAAAACAGCTTAAACACTTGGGAATTAAGCAGCTCGCTATTGAACAGTGGGTCAGAGAGGAAATGAAAAGATTCCTGGAAGCTAGAATGAGGAGACAAGCTACCAGAACTCATAGAACACAGCAAAAGTGGTGTTTAGAGAAAAGTTCATAGCAATGCAAGCATTCGTCAGGAAGGAATAAAGGGTCCTACACAAATAACCTAACAGCATAGCCTGAGAAAACAGGAAAATGACCAAATAAAGGAACCCAAAGCAGGAAGAAGGAAGGAAATAATAAAACTTAAAGCAGAAGCCTGATTCAGTTTTCAGGGTGATGGTTGGACAGTATTGTTTCTGTTAGTAATAAAAACTTGTGTAAAATTTAAAAAAAACTTAGAGCAGAAATTAATGAATCAGAATCCAAAAAAAAATCAAAAACATTACTGAAACCAAAAGCTCGTTCTTTGACAAAATAATGATTGATAAACCACTAGCAAGACTCACAAAGAGAAAACACTAGTTAACTTAAACAGAAGTGAAAGGGGAGGTGTCACAACAGATACCACAGAAATTCAAAGGACCATTAGAAATTACTTTGAGAATCTTTATACCACTAAACAAGAAAACCTAAAAGAAACAGATAAATTCTTGGACTCCCATAGCCTTCCAAAGCTGAACCAAGATGATCTGTAATACCTGAACAGAAATATCACTGTTGAGAAAGTTTAAATGGTAATCAAAAGTCTTTCCAAAGGCAAAAAGCCTAGATGGATTCACTATCTGAGTGAGTTCTTCCAAACTTTTAAAGAGGACCTACTGCCAATTCTTTTCAAGCTCTTCCAGGAAATCAAAGAAACAGAAATACTCCCAAACAGTCACTTTGAAGAAAATATTACCCTGATACCAAAAGAAGACAGAGAGAGCACAAAAAAGGGAGAATTACAGACTAGTATCTCTGATGAACACATACACAAAAACCTTCAACAAAAAACCAGCAAATCAAATTTAACAACTCATCAAAAAAATTATACGCCATGACTAAATGGGATTCATGCAAGAATGGTTTAACAAATGCAAGTCAATCAACATAATATACCATATCAATGCAAGGAAAAGTAAAAAAATCATATAAATAGATGCAGAGAAAGAACTTGATAAGATTCAATACCCATTCATGATAAAAAAAAAACCCTTTCAATAAAATGGGAATTGAAGGAACTTGCCTCAAAATTGTCAGAGTCATTTACCACAAGCCTACAGCAAACATTGTACTCAATGGGAAAAAACGAAAATCCTTTCTCTAAGATCAGGCACAAGACAAAATTTCCCATGCTCAGCATGTTTATTCAATACAGTATTGAAAGTATTTGCCATAGCAATTGGACAACACAAAGATACCAAGGCCATCCAGATAAGAAGGGAAGAAGTCAAGCTTTCACTATTTGCAGATGACATGATACTATATTTAAAAGCCCGTCAGGACTAAAAAAATCTCCTAAAAACAATTGATTTGTACAGTAAAGCGGCAAGCTACAAAATTAATATGCAAAATTCCATGGCTTTCCTATATGAAAATAATGAAGTAGAAAAGAAAGATATTTAAAAAACAATCCCATTCATGATTGCGTCTCAGAAAATCAAGTACTTAGGTATTGGCTTAACTAAAGAGGTGAAAGACATTCAAAGAAAACTACAAATAACACTTCTAAAATAAAAGAGGACACAAGAAAAATGTAAACACATCCCACTGCTCATGGATTTGGACAATACTCCCCAAAGCATTATATAGATTCAAGGCAGTCCCTATAAAAATACCCGTGACATTCTTAAAAGAAATATACCAAACACTCCTGATGTTTACATGGAACAATAAGTTCCTGCTCCCCCACCTCCAAATAGCTAAGGCAGTCCTTGGGAAAAGATGATGGAAGATACCACTTTCCACAACTTCAGACTGTACTACAAAGCAGTAGCATGGTACTGGAATTAGGACAGATCCTCAAATCAATGGAATCAACTAGAAATTCCTGTGGATAAAGGAACAAAAAATATAAAGCTGAGCATGAAAGTTCAACAGATGGTACTGGGAAGATTGGTTGACCACATGCCAAAAAAAAAAATGAACTCAGACCTCTTTCAAAGGCCATGAACAAAAGTCAAATCGAAATGGATTAAAGATCTAGATATCAGACCTGAATCCATAAGGTACACAGAAGAAAATGTAGACAGAAATTTCTGACATTGAAACTAGAGGCATCTTTAAGAATGAAATGCTACTGACCAAGCAAGAAGAAGCAGAGATAAACAAATGGGGCAGTACTAAAAACCAAGAAGCCTCTGGAACTCAAAGGAAATGATGAACAGAACACAAAGCTGTGAAAAGACATGGAGGGTGTAAGGGCAAGTCACTAAGGAACAGAGCCACCCCCTCTCCCTCAAGGACCCCACACTCCAATTCTAACTGGGGGCACTCAGGGAAAGGAAAGGTATTGAAAGAAAGAGAGAGAGATAGAGGGTGAGGGATGGAGGGATAAGGGATGAGGGACGGAGGAGTGAGGGATGGGGGGAGAGGTATGGAGGGGGGAAGATGAGGAATGGGGGGATGGAGGAGTGAATGATGGAGGGGGAGGGATGGAGGGGGATAGGAACGGGGGCTGGAGAAACCAGGGATGGAGAGACGGAGAGAATGAGGGGAGGGAGAGAGGGATACAGAATAGAGGGGTGAAGCATGGAAGGATGAGGGCTAGAGGGATGATAGATGGAGGAATGAAGGGATGGAAGTAAAGGAGGAATGGAGGGGGGATGATGGATGGAGGCATGAGGGGTGGCAGGACTGGGATGGAGGGCTAAGGATGCAGAGATAGGAGTGGAGGATGGAGGGGTGAGAGGTAGAGGGGTACGGATGAGTGGAAATAGTTGGAGGGATGGGATGAGAATCATCAGGGAGATGAGACCGAGTCCTTCTGGGCAGGACACTGTCAATGAGACTGGGAAGGACACAGGCTTCATGATCCAAACCCACCAGAGGGACCACAGGGGAGGGACCATCCCTTCTATGTGGCCTTTGGTTAGGATGACACACTGTGTCTGCTCATCATGCCAGAGGTGTGGAGAATGGGGTGTGCAGGGAAGGGGAGCAAAAGGAATAGGACTATCTCTGCACTGTCCCTTCCACCATCCTTGAACAGCTCAGAGATACGCTGTTTGGGGAACAAGATGCATGCACATATTTATGATGCCCTGGGTGAATCTCCAAGGAGGGCGAGAGAATACCCTGTGACTTCTCTTTCAGACACAGCCCACCCTGCCACCCAGAGGTACCAGCACACTCAGAAGCAGAAGCCCCTCCCCAGGCAGCCAGACCTGGCCCTGGAGTTGTAAACCCCATGGAACTGGAATGGGGAGGCACCGCCATGGGCCAAGTGCATCTGACTCCAAATAGCAAGTCAGTGATGCTGTCCTCATTGGCTGCTCACCTTGTCTGCATTTTTGGCTTCATGAGATTTATGAGCCATGGAAACTGCCGGTACCCTTGGACTCCACGAGCATCCTCACTAAGGGCCTCTGTGCTATATATAAGCAGATGAGAGTGTCTCAGAGGCCGGGAATCCTTCTTATTATCAGCAGCCCCACCCAGCACCCCTGGAGAGCATTTATTTAAGATGGGACTAAAAATCAGGTTAGAATATCTGGGCATCCTGGTTCTTCCTGAACTGCTACTTAATTCCAACAGCACACTAATGAATAGTAACTAATCATTATGTTTTAATGTGTTTAACAGACTCCAAGGAATAATTATTTGAAAATAGGGAAAAAGAGTTGATGGAAATGAGTATAAGAAAAGGGTTGGAGGGATACCCACTATTTCCCATAATGCTTCTATCTCCTTTCTGAAAATTTAAAAAATTTAAACATGACCAAAATACCACATTCAAAAAGAAACTGATAATCTGACTTTATATTTGAGGATAATTTGGATCTACTCTGATCATATTGTAAGAATAAAAAAGACATATATGAACATACATATTTGTATGCGTGTATGTTGCATGGTCCTCAATTTCTAGAATCTTGCCTTAAATTCAAGGCTAGTTTTGCTACAATCACAGGAAGAGACTTGGTATGGAAATTCTGGGTATCTGTGTGTGTATGAGTATGCATGGGTCTGACACACACGTAACACATAGATACTACATGTGTGTTACATGGGTAAGCTTGCATGTGTGTGAACATGTGTGAGCTCAGGAGTGTGGATTTTTGTTGTTATTGGCTTTGCATTATGTATTTGGTGTTACTTTTTAGGACAAGATCTAGAATTAGCCCAAACATTGGTGCCTTTAAGACTCAAACTAAAGTACATCAAGAACCTTTAAAATGTACCCTGAGTCACCTCCAGAGAGATGACCCCCACAAATCAGATCAGCTATGGACTGGTCAGCTCAACCCATGGGGCAGAGGGAGCTGTGCTTAGACATCTGTCTGCAGATTGGGGCACGCACATGTATGCCTGAAGGTTATACCCACACCTATACCTGTAGGCTGGGGCACACACATGTAACCCTCAGACTGGGTCGCACACACCTACACCTGCAGGCTGGGCTGTGGGCGCTGCTCCCCCCTCACTCCCCGGCACGGGTGCACTCACGGCGGCAGGTGGGGGGGCGGCCCCGGTTGCTCCACTGTCCGTCCTCCATGCACACGGCTGTCGCCTGCTGTCCCGCCTCCAGGGAGAAGCCCTCATGGCATGCGTAGGTGACTTTGCTGTCCAGCGTGAACTCGCTGCCTGAGAAGGAGCCGTTTCCCGGGCTCTCCGGGATCCCACAGGACACAGCTGGACAGAAAGAGAGCACGGTCACTCACTCACAGGGGTGGCCCCCGCTGGTCATTTGCTGCACCCTGGAGACAGTCCCACTTTGGGCACAGGGCCCCTTCCCTACAGCTCAGGGCATACTAAAGGCCAAGGAGAAGAGAGGGAAGTGGAGGCAGAGGCCAGGATCTCAAGGGCTGAGCCCGGCTCTGGGGTTCTCCAGATGGCTGGGCTCAGAGGACTCAAGCACCTGCTTCTCCCCCCTCCAGGGAGGGAACGGGGGACTGGGCCCTGTCACTGAGCACCAGGTTGCTTCACCTCGGGGTTTGGGTCTGAGCATGCAGCACTTCTCATGGGGTCCCCAAGCAGGGCTACACCCAGGCCGGAATCCAACCAGGTGAGGTGCCTGCCAAGCCTGAGCTGCAGCCATTGCAGGACCTGTGGCAACCCCTGGGGCCTCCGTCACCACCAGTAGCACCCCCAGGGGTAAAGGACAAAAGGGAAGAACAGACTCAGCCCTGTACATGCTGGGTCAGCCCCGCACGCCTGAGCCCCAAGTTCTTAGCCCTGAGCCACAAGTCCTGAGCTCTTAGCCCTGAGCACTAAGCTGAACACTGAGCCCTGAGCTGAGCACTGAGCTGAGCCTTGAGCCCTGAACTGAGCCCTGAGAGCTGAGCTGAGCCCTGAGAGCTGAGCTGAGCGCTGAGCGCTGAGCCCTGAGCCCTGAACTGGGCTAAGCCCTGAGCACCGAGCCCTGAACTGGGCTGAGCCCTGAGCACTGAGCTGAGCCCTGAGTCCTGAACCCTGAGCCCCAAGTCCCAAGACCTGAGCCCCGAGCTGAGCCCTTAGCCCCGAGTCACTTAGCCACTTAGCCCTTAGCCCTTAGCTTGAGCTGGCATGCCAAGGTGCCCAGGAAGAAGTGGCCCCATGTGCAGCCGTGCTGGGCAGACTCCTGAAGGAGCAGCTCCTGGGCGCTCACTCACACCTGTGCCACCCCCCGGGTTCTTGGATCCAAGCAGAGACCAGTCGTGTTCGAGCCTCACGCAGGGTCCCAGGGGTCGCAGGTGGCGGTGGGCAACACAGGGCAGGCCAAGCACTCACATTCCTCCAGTTGGGCCTCTGCGTCTGAGCTCCTGCCTCAGCCCAGCTGCTTCCTGTTGTTCTCCCAAACAGGCTGAAGGTTTTGCACCAGGCTCGGTGTGTGAAAGAGCCACAGAGAAAGGTGATTCGTGTGAGCGTTTATGCTACATGGACCCAGGCATGCTCCAGGCAGAGTGAATCCTGGCATTTCCTTCCAGCAGTTGCCTCAAGTGTGGCCCTGCACAGAGTGCCAGAGTTCCCCCCCCACCCCCCCGGTGGGGTCCTGCTGAGCTCCGGACATGTGCAGGCAATTTCTCCGAGCTCGGCAAATCAGGCTCATTGCTGGCAGCCCTGTCAGCAGCCACGGACACAGGACGTGGTGCTGCAGGATTCCATAGCCCGCGGTTGGCAGCCATGCAGTCGAGTCCCACTGAGCTGCCTTCCCACTCATGGGCCTCTTCTTCGTCGCCTCATGCCAGCTGGGCAGTGTGGGCAGAGGCCCAGCTCACGGCAGGAGGCAGCTTTGGGTCTGTATTGCTCGTGATGACAGAGTGCTGGGACACTCACCCAGGCTGTACACATGGGCAGGCTACAAGCTCCAAAGTGCATCCAAGACGGGTGGACAGGGTTGGAGACAGAGAGTCCACGGCTAACACTGCCTCTGACACACAAAAGAAGCTCCGAGGCCAGCAGGCTGAGGCCTCCTCGGGTCAAGGAAGGGAGTGGCCACAGGGTTTGGACATTGCCAGCCAGCTTCTCCTTGAACTACAACCAGGGGACAAACTCAGGACTCATCCCATCCCCAGGGCTGCTCCAGGCCTTGGGCAGCCCCTGCTATGGGTGAGGCCCAGTGGAATGGCCAGCTCAGGGGCTTCGAGCTCTCCCTTAGCCCCTGGCAGCACCGAGGTGAGCCAGGCCATGAGACGGAGGGCGCCCTGGGATAGAAACTGGGCATGTTGTGAAACCTCCAAGAGCTTATGGCATCACATCCCCTAGGAACGGGAGGAAACAGTGACAAAGGGCTTAGTTGGGGAAGCAGCTTCTAAGCAGCTGTATTAGAATAAAGCTGGTGGATCCCTAGGTCAGATGAGTGTGTCTCTCCCACGTGGTCATTAGCAAGGGCCCGGTGCTGAGAGTTGGAATCACTGAGAAGACGAGGCCCTTGTCATGGGGATGCAGAAGTCTAACCAGCCTGTTCCTGGGCGTTGCTGGTGAGCATGAGCGTCAGCCCATTCCCACCACCTGTGTGCACACTGAGCACGGTGAGATGCTGACGACTGGGATGGGTGGGGGCGGCTCCCCCACAGAACTGGTCACAGCAGGGGGGCTCAGCAGGTGTGGGCAAACGTGGGCTGGGCGCTTCCTGGGTCAACTCACCTGGGCACCACCATCTCCAGCACAGATGGTGCACACCCGAGACCCTGAGCCCGGGCTCTGCCACGCCCTCACATCCCCGATCATGCCCACACCGCCCTGACCACGCCCTCTCATCCCTGACCACACCCACACCCCCCTGACCACGCCCTTACATCCCTGACCTCACCCACACTGCCCTGACCACGCCCTCACATCCCGACCAAGCCCACTATCCCGACCACGCCCACACCATCCCGACCACGCCCACACCATCCTGACCACGCCCACACCACTCTGACCACGTCCATATCACACACTGACCACAGATGCTCTTACATGAGCCCCTGCGTGCCCTCTGGGGGAAATGAGGCTGGAGGACAGTGGGGACGTGGGCTTGATTGAGGAGGATCAAATCCAATGCAGATTCTTCTGAAAGTAGGCAGGGAAGGGGAAAGTGAAGACAGGGAAATATCCCGAGACCACCAGAACCTGCCTTCTCCGGTGCAGTGCCTCACTGCTGAGCAAAGCAGGCTGTGCTGTTCCAGCCGGGCCGTGCTGTTCCAGCCGGGCCATATTGTTCCAGTTGGGCTCTGCTGTTAAGTTTTCTGTGCTGTTCCAGCCAGGCTAGGCTGTTCCAGTTGGGTTCTGCTATTCCAGTTAGTCCGTGCTGTTCCAGTTTCCTGTGCTGTTAAGTTTTCTGTGCTGTTCCAGCCAGACTAGGCTGTACCAGCTGGGCTGTGCCATTCCAGTTTCCTGGGCTGTCATTCCAGCTGGCATGTCCTGTTCTAGCAGGGCTGTGCTGTTCCAGTTGGGCTGTGCTGTTCCATCTGAGCCTTACTGTTCCAGTTTCCTGTGCTGTTCCAGTTTCCTGTGCCGTTCCAGTTTTCTGTACTGTTCCAGCTGGGCTGACCTGGCCAAGGGCTTGTTCCCGGTGTCTCTCTGTCTCAGGAAGTGGTCTGGGGAGGGTCTGGGCTTGAGGGGTGCCCAGGAGCCAGTGCTCATGTGTGGGGGTCCCCGCTTCCTCCCAGGACAACACTTACTGGAGCTGGTGAAGTCACCAGCCACCCACGTCCACAGCCCCAGTGCTGGGGGTCCACGTTCTCAGCTGACCAGGCAGGAAGTGGTTCTGGGGCAGCAGGAGCTCAGTGTCCAGGGAAGCAAACGCAGGTGCGGCAGCTGGGCCTCCCCTGCGTGGACAGGTGCTGGCCCCCAGCACAGAGGGAGTGTGAAGGTACTTCAGCCTTGTTCCCAGGTGACTGTGGAAGTCACATCTGTGTCTCCTGTCCCCGTCCCTGGAGGTCTCGGCGGGCCCCGCCCTCTGCCTGGGCTACTTCCAACCCGCACACCCTCTGGCTGTGTTTCCCCCAGACCCGAGGGCAGAGGCGGGAGGACAGGTGGGCAAGGGTACTAGAAGGCCCTGGAGTCCGGGTGTCAGCTGCAGCCGTGAGCCGAGATGCATACCCAGCTGCGGTGCTACCCCATGGGCAGCCAGGGGAGCATGTCCCACGGCGAATCATACCAAGTGCTCCTTCTCCGAAACCACGTGTTCAGCGCAGGTTCTGGAGAGTGTCGCTGGCAACCGTAGGTGCAGTGTAGTATCTTCACCCACATGGGCCATCCCCTTCCAGCCCCTGGGCTGGACGCTTCCTGGGCTATCTCACCTGGGCACCACCATCTCCAGCATAGAGGCCCGGGAAGCCCCAGTAGGGCACACCCGATACCCTGAGACCTGGCTCTGCCACTCTTCACATCCCTGACCTCGCCCACACTGCCCTGACCACGCCCTCACATCCCTGACCACGTCCACGTTGCCCTGACCATGCCCTTACATCCCTGACCACGCCCACACATCTCTTCTTTTCCTCTGCAGCTCAACACAGGTGACACCACAGCAAAAGTCAGTACGGAGACAAACTTTCTGGCTTGTGGGTGGGGTGGCAAGTCACGTTGCCTTGGAGAGCATCAAACATTTAGTTTATCTCGGGGCCTCTCCTGGAAGTGCTGGGGGACCAGCCTGCCAGCGGACTCCCAGGAACTTTATGTTCCATATTAAATGCAGTAAGATCAAGTCTTGAGTGAAAAGTCAAGGACTTTGGAACTAGATGACAGGGTACACTACATAAGATAGCTCAACTCAGGCTGAAGTTCTTTCCCTGGCCCCTCACCAGTTCCACAGTCATGTTCACTCTGTCGGTGGTTCAAGTTTTCTCTTAAAATTGAAAAACGTTATCCCCAATCAATTAGCAAGACTACTACTTTCTACTGTGTCATTTAAAGCTGTAGTCCCATAGATATTGGATATTCTGAGTGCTGTTACAATGAGAATGTCATTCTTATACAAACTGCAAATATCTAAGGACAGGTTGAAGGAACTGGAAGGGAGAAAGAATGCGGAGAGATCTAAAATAAAGATCCTTTCAGAATCTGTGCCTGCAGGGCTGGGCATGTTTTCTTTGTATTTTGCTTTTGTCTTATTTTGGACCTCCCCTGGCAGTGCTCAGAGGTCATTCCTGGTAGGACTCAGGGGGGCAGATATGGTGCAGGGGATCAAACTCAGGTCAGCCATGTGCAAGGTAAATGCTATCCCAGGGCTGTCTCCCAGCACCAAATGTGTCTCTGAGCCTCTCTTCCCCCCTCTGCCCTCTGAACCACTCATCCCTGATGCCCTATGACCTGTTCCTTGCCCCAATGCCCTCTGACCCTCTTTTCATCCCTGACACCCTCTGATCTGCTCCTCACTCCCATCCTGAGCCTTCTCCAAGGTTTTGCTGCTTTGGGAGTCCGAGGCTGACCACGGCCTGCCGCAGCCATCACGGTCCCACACGTGACCCCAGTGTGGCTCCCCTCCCTGGGGCAGCTGTGGAGGTGGTCCCCTGTGCTCATGTGCCAATGCCAACACACTATGTTCAGACCACTGGCCCTATGTACGGGGCGACCCTCCTGGGGTGAAATGAAAAGGGTTTTCTTGGAAATGAAAGGCCCCCTGGAGGGTCCACCCCAATCAATGCGGCCCTGGGTCTGTCTGTCTGCCCAGGCCAGAGCCTCAGCAGATGGGGGCCCGCACAGGGCAGTGGGAGGCATCTGGTGCCACCTCTGAGAGTCTGCTAGAAAACAAGGCATCTGATGGGAGAGGAGGAGAATGGAACCAACAGGAAATTCTATTCGTAAATCATAATTAACTTTCAGGGGCCTATATATTACGTATGAATATAAATCTCGATAAGACAAAAAGATGAAAATTTCATGACTTCAAAACCTTCAAATTAAAATGAAAATATCTTATTTAAAAATCAGATTTTTATGCATATGACAGTTGAAATGCAAAAAAAGATATGAAATATTGAAATCATCTTAAACAAGCCAGAGATTTAAATCACCCAAAGAAAAGGAAATACAGAGCATATGGCTCAGAGAATGGGTTTTTAATCTAAAATAAGAAAAATGAGTTTTAGTAATTGATTTTTTAAAATTAATGCCACTGTCAAGAAAAAAATATTTAGAATCTAAATCAGAAAACACATTTTTCACCTTAAAATGAAACACAAGTCAGAATTGGAATAACTCAGGCTGGTATCGAGGGACTGGCCGGCCAGCCTCTGACTCAGGTTATAAAGCTAAATCAAGGCCAGTATAAATGTCATCTGTGTTTACTCGGTCAGTGGAAAGTTAAATGTGTACTTTACAAACCCGCATCAATTTCCGCTCACCTTCCTCGGTAATTCTCTGGGTGTGAGTGAGATAAGAGTGATAAACCCAGCCATGGTCGGGGCGGGAAGTGGTTCCTTACCCTGGCAGACAGGGGCGAGTGCATCCCACTGGTACAGGCCCAGGGGGCTGCGTCTGCAGGTGGCGTTGCTGGGGCCGACCATCCTGTACCCGGGCTTGCAGAAGTACTGCACCCTGCTGCCGAGCGTGCCTGCCGTCCTGTTCAGGACACCCCCGTTCCTCAGGGTGTGCGTCAGGCTGCAGTAGGGCGCTGTGGACACACGCACACAGAGACACAGACACAGATATACAGACGCACAGACACACACAAAGACACACAGAGACATAGATATACACACAGATACACAGTCCCAAAGACACACAGAGACACACATAGACAGACACACAGACACAGAGACACACATAGATAGATACATAGACACACAGACACACACAGAGACATGCACAGATACACAGACACACACAGACACACAGACACACAGACACACACAGACATAGATATACACACAGAGACATGCACACAGACCCACAGACACACACAGACAAACATAGACAGACACAGACACACAGACATACACACAGACATGCACACAGACACACAGACACACAGACACACACAGACATAGATATACACACAGAGACATGCACACAGACCCACAGACACACATAGACAGACACACAGACATACACACAGACATGCACACAGATACACAGACCCACAGACACACACAGACACACAGACATACACACAGACATGCACACAGATACACAGACACACACAGACAGACAGACAGAGAGGGAGAGAGACAGAAAGAGGTAGGTTAGTCCTGCTGCATTTCCCCAAGATATGCCAGGAGAGGCACAGTCTGTCTCTGAGGGGCAGCAGGGTGAGACCCCTGACATAGCAGCACTGTGGAGGGTAGAGTGTGGGCTGAGAGAAGATTGGCTCATGTCATGGTGGGTCTCCCCAGGGAGCGCCCCGCGTCAGCCCACCCGGGGAGATGCCTGCTTCTGCATTTTCATGCTGTGGTTTCTACATTTTGCCCACGGCAGTGTTCACGCCCCCTCCAGTCCAGGACCCCAAGTTCTCCCCCTCCCCAGCCTGACTCCTCAGCAGACCCTTCTCGAGTGGACTGTTCTTGCAGCACACCCGGAAACCGAGTCTTCAGCACTGAGCCGAGGGACGCCGAGGCCAGGCCCCATAGGGGTGGATACGGGTGTCTGTGATGGCCTCCCTGGCCCCCACTGCTGGAAGCAGCCCAGTGGCCCCTCAGTGGTGAAGGGAGAAGGTCTGGCCATGCAGACACATTGTGGAGAGGTGTGGTTGCCCTGAAGTCACACCGCTCGTGAAAGGGCTACCAAGTACATGCTGCAGAACCTTCTGGAAGAGGCAGAGCACTGGTGGTATTCACAGAGGGGTCTGCCGGAGCTCTGGGCTGAGGGGTTGGGGCAGAGGCTGAGGTGCGTGGGTGGTGGGCACTCTTGCCCACATGCAGGCTGTGTGCGTGCACAGCCCCCGTATGCCCGAGCCGTGCACAGAACTCCACGCTGGGTCCGAGTCACCCAGTGTTCCAAGTGCCCCACTGGTGCAGGCTCCCACCCACGGGCAAGGCTGTGCCCATGGGGGTTTCTGTACTCTTCCTCAAAATTTTTCTGTGAGTCTAAAACTTCTCTGAAGAAGTTTGATTTGGGAAGGGGTCAGACAGGGTCGCCACGGGAAGGGCCTGGCTCAACTTCCTGCCTTGCTCTGCACCAGCATGCAGGAGCCTGGCCTCCTGGGGGGATGCTGCAGGCACAGTCACTGCGCGATGCTTTTCTCAGAACTGGGCATGCGCTTGAGCCCCAGAACTGGAGACGGCAAGGGGCGACCTGGAGCCCAGCCGCAGAGACTCTGCTCCACCCTGGAACACCTTCCTTTTCCGTGGGGAGATGAGAGAAGACCACGCCCAAGGCCCAAGCCTCTCACCAGGCATGGGCCATGACCACGTATGCAGGGGACAGACACAGGTGAGGCATAGGCTTCCTCCTGACATCTGGCAGGTGGAGAGACCCTGAGGGATAGCTCCGCCTGGTAGGAACCTGACAGCGGCAGGTAAAATAGCTGGTCCCCTCCCAGGACAGGGCTGTGGGCTGACTGCTGTGGTCATCAGTGCAGTCAAGGCAAAGCTCTCTTGTTCTCAGGCCAGTCTAGGCACCAAGTGCCTCTTCCTGAGCACAGGGCATGGCTGTGTCCACTGACAGAATCTTGTTTTGTTTTGTTTTAGGGCCATACTCAGTGGTGCTCAGGGCTGACTTCCAGCCATGTTCACGGATTGCTCCTGGAGTGATTCGAAGGGCCAGACTGGGGTGCTGAGGATCAAACCTGGGTTAGTGCAAGCACCCTACCTGCTGAACCAGCCCTCTGGCCCTGACTTTTAATCATATTTAAAGCTTAATTTTGATCATATTTTATTATCATTGGGGTAAACTCCTTTGCTTTCCTAGTATATATTTTGGTGGTGTATAGTCTTAGCAATGCATTCAAAATATTTAGCAATAAATGATTTTCCCAAATGTAGTTCAGAGACACTATAAAGATCTATTTCCCTCCCTGAATTTCTATTGCTGTGAGCACTGGACACTGGGCACGTCTCTGGATCTCAGGCTCCAGTCTAACGCAGGGCCCTGCCTCCTGCACTGACCTGAGTAGCGGATCTTGAAGCCCTTCTTGCTGGTGGCATGGTCTGTGGACCAGCGGAGGTAGAGCTGGTTGCTCCTGCTGGTGTAGTTGGATTGCTCTGTGAGGTTGCCGCTGAGGACCACCAGAAGCGGACTCTGGCCAGAAGAACCTGAAGGCAACAGAAGCAAAAGCCTGTGTGTGACTCATGCCTGTGACACGCAGACAGCTGTGGGCTTCCGGTGAGACTGAGTCTACATGAGCACTGCACAGAGTTCACGTCCAGAGAGGACAGAGAATTCACGGGAGTCAGCGCATATCTGCCTTGATAAGAATGGGGGAAAAAAACCCTATTGAGTCCAAGTCATTGCAGCTGCATGTAGGGCTGACATGCATTTGGGTCAGGTGACCTGCATCTGAGTGGCTGAGAGTGCGGGTCAGCACCAGTATTGCTCTCCCTGCTTGGACCCGAGGCACAGACATTCCAGAGTGACAAAAGTGCTGGGTGAGACCAGAACAACTGCAAATGCAGCCCTGCCACTGGCAGGCAGGATTTACACCTTCCTAGAATTTCGGGAAAAACACACACACACACACACACACACACACCTATTTCAATATCCACTTAATATTTTACAAAAGCATAAATCTCTGCTCTGACATGCAACTCTGAGGTGCTTCGTGTTTGTGTGTTGTATACAGTGCAATGCAATGCAACATAATGCCACCCTGAAATTCAAATATGATTCTTCATCCTCTGAGTCTTGGTAGGAGAGTGTGAGCTCAGCTCCCGTGCACTTGTCACCTCAGAAAGGCTGCGGTGTCATCCCTCAACACTTCCAACTGAGACCCATCAGGACAGAGAGAGACACCAACACTCGAATGCCCGGCACCCTCTGCTCCCCTGAGCCTGGCAGCTGTTCCCGACAAGCCTGGCGTGCAGCTATCAACACAGCTTGGTCTGATTTCCTGAGTTATGATAATGCTTCTTTGCACAGACAAATAGTAACATTGGTCCCATTGCAAATTGATGGCAGAAGCATAACCACCTAAGCACAGTATTGTGATATTAAAACAGTCACCAGATATATATTTATAGACATGTCTCCAACTAGTATTGAGGACAGTTGAAGCATTTGTTTACCTGTATGTTAAGGCTCAATTCTTCCTTTTTTTTCTTGTACATTATTTTTTCTTGTATTTTAAAAAATTTCTTCTTTTTTTCCTTATACATTAAGTCTCCTTTTTTAGGTTAAATCCAGAAATCTGAATCATAGTTTTTTTTTTTTATAAATCTTGTAAAAAAATCATCTGGATTGATGAATGTGCCTTTAGGTACCTTAAATTTCCTAAAATGTCCTCTGAATCAGAGTAATAATATAATTTATTATATTATACTATGATTGTGTTTAGTAAAACTGCGTAAAAATATGGTACTACAAGTAATACATTATACTGACTAATATATTGAGTAGTGCAGAATAAATAAGACAGAACTATAATATATTCTATCACACTGAGTAGTTATAAATAGGCAAAGTGATATTTATTTATTTATTATTTTTAATTTATTTTATTTTATTTTTGCTTTTTGGATCACACCCAGTGGTGCTCAGGGGTTACTCCTGGCTCTGCACTCAAGGATCACTTCTGCTGGTGCTCGGGGGGGACAGTATGGGATGATGGGGATTGAACCTGGGGTGGCTACATGTAAGGCAAATGCTCTCCCCGCTGTCCTATTGCTCTGCCCCCCTCACAGTGATATTTAGACGTCAACAAAGTATATTAGGTTTCACAGACTGCTTCTTCTCCATGACCCTACCTGGTCTGTGCAACTCGTGATGGGGCAGCACCAGTGTGGGGTCTAGGCCTGGGCAGGGGACCTGTGGCCACTGCAGTGACCCTGGCAGACTCACCGTCAAACACTTCCAGGGCATCGAACTGCCTCTCGCTCTGGAAGGTGTCCACCAGGAGGGTGATATTGTACTGGGGCTCCACCCGGATGCTCCAGGAGCACGTCTGCGAGTTGAAGTAGTTGCCAGGGTAGCCAGGACTGAGGATCACGCCGGAGGAGTCCGTGCGGACTTCGTTAGCTGGGCATTGTGCTGATGAGACAAGAAACAGGAGACACTCCTTAACTGCATGGTAGCATTGGCTGACCACATGGGCCAGAGGGGGGCGGCAGGCAGAGGCGGGTGGGCAGGACTGCCAGGACTCGGAGTGGTGAGAGCTTCTCTGATGACCATATGAAGCTGCACGCCTGTGCACAGGGCCGTGTCCTGTGCGTGAAGGACACACGGCGCTCTGAGGGCAGAGTCAGGCAGGATAGAGGTCCCGCTCGAGACTCTTGCTTCCCAGCACTGGGTGCCACAGTTGACATGGGGACTGCCCAGCATGAACCATGGGACCACGCATGACAGGGTGAGAAAAAACACAGGTCACTCCATGGGATAGCAGCTATTGTCTCACCTACACTAACACTGAGCAGATCTGGGGGGAGTCACAGAGATGCAGATATCAGAGAGCTTCACTGACCACCTCGGGGACCATGTCACTCACCACCTTGGGGACCACATCACTGGCCAACTCAGGGACCATGTCACTGACCATCTTGAGGACCACATAAATGACAATTGCACAGACCAAGTCACTGAACACCTCGGGGACTATGTCACTGACCATCTTGCGGACCATGTCACTGACCACCTCGGGGATCACAGAAATGACATCTTGGGGACCAGGTCACTGACCATCTCGGGGACCATGTCACTCACCACCTTGGGAACCACATCACTGGCCATCTCAGGGACCATGTCACTGACCATCTTCGGGACCACATAAATGACCATTGCATGGACCAAGTCACTGAACACCTCAGGGACCATGTCACTGACCATCTTGGGGACCACATAACTGATCACATCATTGTTAACTTGGGTTCCCGCAAAAGAGAGATGCAGCCAGGCCTGACCCACCTTCGCAGGTTGGCAGTGGCCCTTCAAATTGCAGCTGGGCACTGAGCTTGCAGGAGAGCATGTCGGGCCCCGACAGCGTGTACCCCGGGTGGCACTGGTACTTCACAAAGTCTCCTGGAAGAGAGAAGAGGGCACGTGTGAACACGGGTGTTGCAGCACAAGAGGGGACTGGCAGAAGGGGCAGCCCAAGGGCTCCTGGTGCCTCTGGGGTGAGGCCACAGAGCAGCACCAGGCCCAGTCGGCAGCTGAGTCAGTGTGGCCAAGCCTTTGGTTCAGGCTATGAGGGGGTTGTAATGCACCCAGCGAGCAGCTCGGTCCAGCATGGCCTGACACGTGCCCCATCAGCTGCCAAGGGTATGCTGGAGCTGAGCTGGGGCGGACTGAGTTCTGGAGCTTGGCTGGGCATGTTCACTGAGGGTCTAGGTCCCTCTAATGCTCCTGCAAACGTCAGCTTCTTCCTGAAAACTGGTGATTCATAAAATAAGCCACTAGTGTGGAATGGCCGGGCTGAAGTGCTGAATATTGTTCCTGAATATATGCACCCATTGTACCCCGATTTCTGAGAAAGATCAACATTACACTGATTATTTCAGCCACAAATCAATTTCTTCTGAGGCACAAACATGCTTCCTTGGCAGAAGAGACCCAGGGGGCTTGTGGCTTTTCTTGGGAAATGTTGTTCAAAGGGAAAAATGGAACACTCCATGACTTGGGGCCCAAGGGATGCTGAAAACTGACGATTTTCACACACAAATGACAGAAACCTTCACATTAATGGAGAGTGGAAGGGGCTCGGCTCCACACGTGAGTGAGCTCCATGCCCAGGAACCCCCCGAGGCATGGATGCATGTCCAGCAGGGGCAGCTGTGGCCAGAGGAGAGTGGGACGCCAAGGGAAGTGCCCTGGGATGGAGCCAACATACCTATCTCAAAGTCCTCATCCTCTGTGAGCATTTCTGCCCGTGGCACAGCTGGGGGTGGTGGGCATTTCTTCAGCTGAAAGGCTGCAAGCGTGTTTGAGAAAGAGAAGTTGCGTTACACACGCTGGATCCCCCAGCATAGGGAGCGAAACGTTTCTCTTCCTTGGCTGTGACGCTTGGGCACACGGGAAGGCAGGAGGGAGGAGGATGAACAGAGCCCCTGGACTATCTGTGCCTGGGTTTGTGGGGTGCCGAGCAGTGGGACAGCAGAGGAAGGAAGCATGCTGTCCAGGGTGTGGTAATAAAGTCACTCGCTATGTATCGGGGCTCAGCTCTCTCTCCCCTAGCGTGGCCTCTGCCGTGGCCTCTACCGTGGCACCACTCAGCTGCAGCCCTGGCATGGGAGAGAGGCCAGAGAACTCTCCTCATAGGCCATTTTATTCCAGGGGTGCAGAGGTGGCATCAGGTAAAACACTTTCCCTGCACTTGGCCAACTGGGGTTCACTCCATGGCATTCCCACATGGTCCCTAAAGACCTACCAGGAGTGATCTCCGAGCTCAGAGCCAGAGGAAGCCCTGAGCACTGATGAGTGTGGCCCCAAACCAAATTTAAAAAAACTTAAATGACATAAAACCAGTTTATTCCAATCCCCCTGAAGATTTGCACTGATCATGGGAGTCCAGCCCGTCCCATCTACAGTGACTCTCAATCCGAGCACAGCCCGAGGCCACACTCCCAGTGCCAAGGTCACTTGTGCCCATGCATGGAGCTCCCGGCAGCCTCTCTGAGAAGGCCAGGGCCATGCTCGGGGGCCAGTGACCTCCAGCTGTGGGGAAAGGTGGGCTGCACTGACCCTGGAAGTTGAGCACGAAGAAGCCGCCATTGGAGAAGTCACTGTGGAACTTGAGCAGCACTTGGTTGGTGGAGCTGTACGCCGTCTCCAGGGCCGTGTTCCCGCTGAAAATGCCCAGCTGTGGGGCGTTGGGGTCTGGCCCGTCCCTGCAGGAGAGTGAACAGGTGAGAGAGAGCTGGACAGCCTAATGGTTGGCGACAGAGCAGCAGCAAAGCAGCGATGTGGATGCTACCCTTGTTCCTGTCTCTGGACGCAGCAGCCTGTTCCCTGTGCATCCGGGGACTCTGGTGGCTTGAGAGAGGGAAGGGTTAGCCCTTGTGCGCCTCAGACAGATCTCAGTCCTACAGAGGAAGATCAGAACTGGCTCCTCCATTCACTGGTGGAAGGTCAAGACATGAAATTGCATCAGAGACAGCACACAGGCCAGGGTGCCTGAGTACTTGCCCTGCATGTGGCTGCTCAGGGTTTGATCTCTGGCAGTGCAGAGGGTCCCTGAACAGTGCCAGGAGTCAGCCCTGAACACAGAGATAGGAGTGATCCCTGAGCACAGATCCGGGAGTGAGCCCTGAGCACAGATCCGGGAGTGAGCCCTGAGCACAGAGCCAGGAGTGACCCTGAGCACAGAGCCAGGAGTCAGCCCCGAGCACAGAGCCAGGAGTCTGTCCTGAGCACAGAGTCAGGAGTCAGCCCTGAGCATTGTCAATTGGAGGCCCAAAACTTTAAAACAAAAGGCAGATTGGGGATGGGGGTGATGGGAGGGAGCCTGGGGACACTGTCTGGGAAATGTGCACTGGGGAGGGACAGATGTTGGACACTGTATGACTGACACCCAACCAACAGCTTTGTGAGGGTCTATCTCACAGGGATTCAATTGAAAAATGGTAAATTTTATGTTACAGGCACTTTCACAATAAAAATATGATTTAAAAAAGAAGACACAAACAAAAACAGCTACAGAAGTGATGAACACTCAAGAAAAAGTTGGGTTTTCTCCAGTGCTGAGGGAAGTCTGGGTCTAAGGAGGGTCAAGGGGAGAGGGGAAAGAGGAGAGGGGAGAAGGGAGAGGGCAGAGGGCAGAGGGCAGAGGGCAGGGGGGACACCAGGAGCTGAGCCCTAGGGGAGCGGCTGTGATCAGAAGTGCTGGGCCTGGAATCTCTAAGCGTGTCCACCCACTGCAGCCTGACCTCGCCGTGGCTCTGGGGAGCGAGCACTTCAGAACTTTAGTAGCAGGAGTGCCCGGGCTGGCATAGTGCAACGTTCCCCACATGCTGAGCTGTTGGGGTTCAGAGCCTGTGACCCCCAGCTTCCTGTCTGAAGGCCACAGTCTAAGGTTTGAGCTGACCAGTGCAAGGCTCTGGAGGCTTTGTAGCTGGACTAAAGTGGTGAAGGCTGGGTGGGCAGTGCTGGGTGCTAAACGCCACCCAGGGGTGAAGCCTTCCCTCGGCAGCCCTGGCAGGGGCTGTGCGTGCCCCTGAGGCAGCAGGACTGGGGCCATCGGTATTGACTCCTGTTGCTTTGCATATAAAGTGCAGCCCACGGTGCCAACAGAACACCGGGCTCTTGTTTTCATTCTAAACTCACTGGCTGGACTCACAGTCTCTTTCAGGGCTGATCCCTGCAGCCCGGGCACTGGCCTCTCCTCTGCCAACGGGCCAGCCACACTTTCCACCACCTCCAACCTCAGCCCCTTGCTGGGTCCCTACCAGCACTGCAGTGAGACCCCTGGCCAGCTCCTCTGTTCCCCCCCCCCCAGGAGGATATGAACCACTCTCAGGGGGACCATCGGCCATGCCACTCCCAAAATCACACAATGTTGAGCTCATTCTGTCATTAACCCCAGCCCCAAACTCAGTGCCACCCAGCAACACAACCATGCCCATAGATACCGCAGAGAACATGTGAGAACACACACAGACCACAGACCCCCACACATGTGAACACGTGAGAGCACACAGACCACAGATACCCACACATGTGTGTGAACATGTGAAAAGACACACAGATCACAGATGCCCCACACATGTGAACATGTCAGAACACACACAGACCACAGACCCCTGCACACATGAGACATGTGAGAACACACAGACCACAGACCCCTCACACATCTGAAGACGTGAGAACACACACAGACCACAGACCCCCCCACACGAGTGAACATATGAGAACACACAGACCACAACCCCCCCACATGTATGAACACATGCACACAGATGACAGATATCCACCTATGCTAACATGCAGTCATATAGAATGCATATGCCCACACACATGTGGACACATGTGCATACATGCAGTTGCCTGAGTTGCCTGTGTGTGTGGACACATGCAACCCATAGACACCAACATATGTGAACACATGCATATCCACAGACCAAAGATACCTTCACATATGTGAGCACACGTACACGTGTGTGAGCACAGACACATGCTTACACAGGTACACATAAGCACATGTGACACAACTGGCTGTGGGTGCATGCACCCTGCAGATGCACAGACATGTGAGCCCACGTGGGCTGGCATGTGGAACACGTGAGACTTAGCGTGAGGTGTGCCGTGAAGGAGCGGCGGGTGGTGCGTACCACACGGCAATGTAGTCGTTCACGGCCTCCGTCTGCAGCAGAGAGAAGTTGATGTAGACCCCGTGGCCGGGGGGCACCGTGACCAGCCAGGTGCAGTCCTTCAGGATGGGGTACTCGTCGGGGAAGCCGGGTGAGTAGATGGTCCCATTCTGCGCCGTGATGTTGTAGCCACAGGGAGCTGTGGGGGCAGAGGGAGTCAGGCTCAGTGTGGCACGGCCGGGCTGTCCCAGGGCATCCCTGGGCCCAGCGTCCCTGCTGAGAAAGAAATGTGGCCGGTTCCTCAGGAACAACTTTGCCAGCATAATCCCCCAGCAGTCCTAGAGCCCGGGAAGAGTTAGACTGGAGGCTAGGATATCCAGCGTGCGTTAATTATATTCTCCAAACATCCGGAATCCCTCCGGGATAAAGTTAATCACGAGTAATTAGGAAGAAAGATAAAAACCCTCCTTCTGGCCTGGTTCCCACCTGCGCTAAGCTGCTAATCCGCCCAGCCGCAGGCCCAGGATCCGGGAGAAGCACTCAGACGGAAATGGCTTGTTCCCGGGGAGGGTCTGAGGCCATTTCAGGAGCTGGAGGGCCGTGAGGGGCTGCTGCTGGGAGGGAACCGGGGGGCTGGCCGAAGCTCTTGAGGTGAAAGGGGCCACGTGGACAGCGCCCGGCTCAGACCCCTGACCTCCGCCTAAAGTCTTCAGTTCTGCGGGGTTCTTGCAGCAAGGGGTCCTGCTCCCAGGACAAAGCAGAGGGGTCTCCGGAGGGCTAGGTCTGTCCTACCACGTGATGGATCATCTGTGACCTGAGAGGGGGGCATCCCAGACCGCTGGCCCCTCTGAAGCTGTGCTGCTCCAGCCCTGCTGGAGGTGACTGTCCTACACAGCCCACAGGACCCCCGGAGATACTTTCAGAGCCACACTGCCTGCTTTGGGGTCATCGTCCTTTGGATGATGACCTGGACACTTGTTCAGGTTGCTGCCTGGAGGTTCAGAATTCCTGAACCTTTATCACCTCAGTTGCTTCATTTTTGTTTTGTGTTTGGACCACATGCAGTGATGCTCAGAGCTGACTCCTACGAGCCTTGGGGGGACCATATGGGTGCAGGGGAACTGGGTGCAGGTCAAGCACCTTATCTTTTGGGGGCGCAGGGGAGTTGCTTGATTTTTTAATTGTTTGTTTATTTTATTGTCTTTTGGGGGCACACCCGGAGATGCTCAGGGGTGACTCCTGGCTCTGCACTCAGGAAATACTCCTGGTGGTGCTCAGGGGAACCTATGGGATGCCGGGAATTGAACCCAGGTCAGCCACATGCAAGGCAAACACCCTCCCAGCTGTCCTATCGCTTTGACCCCAAGTTGCTTGATTTCTTAGATGCCAGAGGTGTTTCTACGCACCCAGATGACCACTCACCCCGCTTCTCCTCAGCTGGACTCCAGGGCCTGTGCTCCCGAAGCCCCTGACAAATGCTGAGTTGGGGGCATGCGCGGGAAATGCCTAGGCGGGGAAGAGGAGCCTGGCCCCCGGGCCACATTGGCTGCGCTGAGGACTCATCTTTGCTGGTCACCTACACCTCCCTGGTGGAGGACAAGGGCTCCTGCAGGCAGCCTCGCGGGCGTGGAGGGTTGCTGGCTTGACTGGTGACTGGCAGAGGGAGGAAAGCCCAGCTACTGACATTTGGGCTTTAGGAGCATGAAGAGGGTCTGGAGTGTGACGAAGGGCAGCAGTGACGCCTGGGTCATCCTTAGCACCAACTCGCTAGGGGTTTCTGTGTCCTCCTGTGTGCATGAGGAGCACGCGGCCGGTGGTGAGGAAACCAGCACCTCCACCTCCTGTTATGGGGTCAACCCTGCTCCAGTGTTCCAGGGCCTCTGTGGGCTTTCCCAGGAGCTCTGGGTCTGGTGTGGCGTCAGAAGGAGACCCCGGGGCAGGGTGGACAGGCCCTTCCTACTGGCACTAACACTCAAACTAGGGTCATACCAGGCTATCCCGGGCATGTGCCATGGGCTAGGTAGGGCCTGGTTCCCAGGAGGGCCCCTCAAACTCTGAGGAAACAGGCCTGGGACACCCCTTGACCGCCCTCTGGCGGTCCTGCCAGGCCAGTGGCATCTCCAAGGCCCAGAGGGCTCAGATGCGGATAAAACTGATGAAGTCAGATTTCTCTATCAGGCAAGAGGGCTCCCCTCATGCGTGAGTCCAAAGCTTTAGGCAAGGAAGGATCCATCCCAACAGCCCCAACCACTTTTTACCTAGAAACTGATGGAATTTCAATGGAGAATTGTGTAAGAGGGTTCTGTTCTAATAGAGTGAAAATGTGTTGCATTTTGATAGTATTTTAATAGCGACATGTAATAGCACTACTTAGTTCATCAAGTACATTTAAAAATGATATTTCATTGGTTCCTAAATGTGCACTGGACTTCAGTCAGGATTTAAAAAAACATCAGCCCTAGGTTTTCCCATTTGCTTTTGATGATACAGAGCGGAAAGACTCCACATCTTTGAAAATGATCTCAGAAGCCCAGGGACGGGTGTTTGTTTGTTTGGAAGTTCTTCAAGGGGCTCACACCAACTGGCACTCCTGCCTGCCCAGGAACTCATCAGCATTTCCAAGCCCACCATGCCATGCCCTTCCTCATCTTCCTTCCAAGGTGACGCCTGTTTGCTTTGCTCTGGACTTTCTGTTTTTTTTTTCCAGACAAAGCTCTGGATCTGGTTAGTTTAGCTGATACACAACATTTTAAAAGACATCCAGAAATTTGGGAGCCTGAGAGTTTCTCAGGAGACAAGCTGTCAGGGAACCATTAGGGGACAGCCTGGGAATGGCCCGGGGACATCATTTCAGGTCAGGAAGATACATACTGGACAGAGAGTCAGACAGTGATGGGACCTGGGTCCACTATGCTGGAGGCCAGTCACCTAACCAGACGGTGATCAAGGGCAAAGGAGCGGTTTGGGGGTTTAAGAGGGACCTGAACCCGCCTACTGAAACTGGACAAGAAACTCACTGATGGGTGTGAAGAAGAAAACAGTACAATTCTCAAGAAATCCTCCTCAGGGAAGAACATCCTCTTTCTGGGTAACAAGAATAGCACACAAGACCCAGGAAAAGTGAAACAATGCATTCACAGGATATCCCCCTGTGAAGGCCGCCCCCCACCTCTAGGGGACCCTTCTTGCTACAGCTCTCCAAGGGGGCCCTTTTTGCCACACTTCTGCAGGGGGCCCTTCTCACCACACCCCTCCAGGGGACCTTCTCACCACACCCTTCCAGGGGTCCCTTCTCACTACACCCCTGCAGGGGGTCCTTCTCACCACACCCCTCCAATATTGGTTACTTCCAGTGTTTTCAATATATACCATTTTCATTAGTGTGAGACAGTATCTCACGGTGGTTTTAATTTGTATTTCCCCAATGATCAGTGATGATGAGCACTTTTCATGTGCCCACTGAACATTCTATATCTTCATTGTCTGATTTCTCAAAAACATAAGAAAGTAACTCCTAAAGATAGGACCAAGGGATGCCATTTCTTGACATCTACCTCCAGAAACCCCCAAAGGAAGTCTACAGGAAAGGCCTCCTGCATACCTATGGTCAGCAGTGCTTAGTGCAACAGCCTGATATGGATATAGCCCAGATGTCCTGGGATGAGCAAATGGAGGAAGAGGCTGTGATGAGCACACAACAGAATTCTATGCAGCTGAGACCAAATCTTGGGGCTTGCTGCTCTGTGGGCTGCCAGGAGAGTCACTCTGTGTGAGTCAGTCAGGAGAGGGACAAACGCAGAATGATCTCTCTCACACATGCAGTGCAAATAGCAAGGTAAGAATATATGGAAACTCTCGTCCCCCAGCCCTGATGGGACCCTGAGATGGTGCCCACCAACTGCTTCCGGCTACTACTTAAGATCCTCAATGGCCATGATCCAGAGACACACAAAAGAATCTCTCACCCGAGCAGCTTGCTGCAGAAATCTCTTCAGATCCTAATTATTAAAATTTTAGAATTTTGGGAGCACACGGCCTCATATGCTATTCATAACAAGCGAAACAAAATAAATTGTCTAGCATTGCCTTTTCGGCAGAATTGAGTGATGGTGGGAAAATATCAAATAATAATGGTGGGACTGGTGTCAAAATATTGAATGTAATCAAAGTAGAGAGAGAGGATGGTAGAAATTGTCTGCCACACAGACAGAGGTAGGGGTGAATGGGGTGGAAATGGGGACTTTGGTGGTGGAAAATGTGCACTGATGGAGGAATGGGTATTTGGTCATTGGATGACCGAAACTCAAACATGAAAACTTTGTAACTGTATCTCATGGTGATTCAATAATAATAATAATAATAATAATAATAATAATAATAATAATAAAATGTGGTAAAGGCACCAGACCTAGAGAGCTGGTTCACAGCTGCACCTAGGGAGCGGGTGGTGGGTGTTGGGACCCTGGTGGAGGGAAGCGGCCCCCTAGAGGCTGGATAGAGAGAGTGTGTCTGAGACTCTCCCTAACAGTGTCCTAAATCACAGCACCTCAGTTGGAACCAAGGAAGTGAAATAATGCAACCCCCAGGGTCATAGTAACAAGCACCACTGAATGGGCCTCACGCTTGTCCAGCAGCATCGAATGAACTTGGACACCAATCTGGGCTGCCCCAGACCTCACATACTATTATTATTACACAGAGTAATTACCCAGTGCACATCCCAGGCTCCCTACGGCACCTCCTGCTCTGCTTCATATCATAAATCTGTGTTTACCCTTCCTTATTCTTTTCATTCCCATGAGAGCGAGACCTTAGTATTCAGATATTTGTCTAAAGCTGCTGCAATTTGGCATCTTCCTGAAATACCGGGTAGAGGGAATTTAACACTCAATTGCTAACCAAGCTTTGTTGCACAAACTAATGCTCAGAAAATTGCTCACAGACCAGAGAGCTCTCTGAGTCCAGGAGAAAGGAAGGGCTGCAGGCACACGCTGACCGTTACGGCATGGCGCTGACTGGCTCTGGGCATGCGCTGACCCACTCCAGGCATGTGCTGATCCCTTCCTGCATGGTGCTGACCAGTTCTGGGCATACACTGACCAGCTTTGGCTTTGCGCTGACCAATTATGGGCACGCACTGGCCTGCTGTACAGGAGTTGACCTACCGTCACACCGGGGAAAGGGGTGGTTCCAGTTCCTGTTGCTGCCGTGCTGGCACGTGAGAACTGGGTGGCCAATCAGGATGTAGCCGGGGTAGCACTGGAAGGACAGAGACTGGCCCACGCTGTAGTCCGAGCTGACCATGTAGCCATTCTGAAGCGGGGGTGGGTCTGGGCAGTTCTGCAGCTCGTAGGCTGGAAGGAAGAGAACACAGAGCAGCTGAGAAGCAGGCATGGGCGCAGGGCAGGGGGTGGATGACCTGCGTCTTCAGGCGCACTTTCCCTCTTGTGAAGCAAACACCTTTAGAGTGGACGGAAGGGGCTGTTTCCGTCCTTCTCAGGGAGCAAGACGGGGCTGGACCCTTGGATACCAAGTCACTGTGTGTGTGTGTGTGTGTGTGTGTGTGTGTGTCCCTCCAGCCAACACTATGGCCATGTCACTCACTGTTGCCCAACAGACACTGGAGCTGTGTGTTCCCCATGGGGGTACTGTCACCGTTTGGAGTCTAAGAAGGATCCTTGGCTTCTGTGGAGAGGCCGACACAGAGGAGCCTCCGGAACTGCCCTATGGCAGTTACTAAGCATCATTGCCCCACATCCAGGGCAATGCAATTGCCCAGGATGGAGTTTTTGCTGAGAGTGTGTTACTGAGTGATGGATGTCCTCTGGTCCTAGTGCTCTAAGATGGAAAGGCAGGTGTAGGCCTGAAGGTGCCATCACCTGGAATGTCTGCAGACCTATGGGGTCCCCTGTGCGGGGGTGAAAGGAAGGGTCTCTGGGTGCAGGAGTGAGGACGGCCCCTTTAACTCCCAGAACCCCATGGAGAGAGCAGTCCAGTGGGGCAAGGTTTGCCTTGGGATCTGCATCTCCTGAGCCCATGAGAGGGAACATAGCCAGAAGACAGTGGGGACCCTGGGGACCAGAAGGGCTGGTAAGGGGACTCCCCTACATCTGCTCACCACTGCTCTAGCTGGCAGCGGGGAGAACCACCTGCTGCCAGAGCCTGGTTCTCACAGGCAGATGAGTGAGAGGGAGGGAGCCTGACTACTGCTCTCCTGTCCACTCATCCAACGCCAAGACAATGGCGAGAGAGGGGGGTGGCCATGAGGAAATCGCTTCCCTGTATAGATGTGGGCTGTGTTTGTAGAACACCTGTTGTGCTTCTACCTGTACAGGTGTGGGATTGTGTCTGCAATGAATTTCCATGTCTTACCTGTACAGGTGTGTATGGGCTGTTTATGCAGCATACTTCCATGTTCCGACCTGTAGTACAGGTGTGCGCTGCGTCTGCAGTACATTCCTGTGTTTCCCCTGTACAGCTGTGAGCTGTCCCTGCAGCACATTTCTGTGTTCTGAACTGTCCAGGTGTACACTGCAGCACTCAGGGTGTGGCTACCATCATTGAATTCTCACTTGTTCTCATTTCCCTTTTTTTAGCCCTAGCATCCCATGGGATGTCCTGTTCTTCCTTAGATGCAATTCACTACAAACGCAAATTTTCTGGTGTTATAGTTTACTAACAAGAGTTAGCTCTAAGATAATATTGGTTTGTCCTTTCTCCCTTGCTCTAGGGAGCTTAGGTTTATTTGGTTTCACTCGTCACAGTGCTCCTGAGTCATTCCCGTTCCTTTGCTTATCTGTAACCTCTTTGTGTTCTGCTTCCACAATCGGTCTATCACCTTTTCCCCCTAATCAGACTCTGTTAACTTGTTAGGTCAGATCCTTCTAAGGACACTGACCTTGTATTCATAAGTGAAATATTGCTTTTCTCCTTCTCTTATGTCCTTTTGCATAGTTTACATTAAAATAATGTCCTTTATGTATAGACACAGGAAGACAGTTAATATTATGCTTTTGTAACTTGGAAGCTAATTGACTCTGAATAATATTCACTCCTGGCTATCTGCTTTCTCAACTTAAGCCTCAGTTGCCTTAGTTCCTAATACCCCAATGCAGGGTCCTGACAAGGGGCTGGATGGATCTATGGCAAGCTGTGAGCTACTCTGGCATTGAAATGGGCCACATCAAAGTGCCACAATACTTAACTATAAGTTAAGAGTATAGTCATGGACAAATTCTGTCATGATCCCAAAAAATAACGACTGATTTAGGACCCTGCTAGGGTTAGGAAAGACTTATCTGGCCTGAGCACTGTAGTCTGAGATCTATAGCGAGATGTCCCCGGGAGAGCAATATTATAAGCACAATGTATCTCTTACCATGACTATAAAATGACTAATATTATGAATGCTTATATGTTTGTTGGATTAAGGAAAGGAGAAACACTCCCATAGGTGGAATTTTGCTCTTGGGTGGATTGTCTTACTGAATGAGAATTTGTCCTAGAAGAAGCTTCTCCTGAGGGAAGGACTTTACCTCTGTTGATTTTATGACCACACCCACGTGTAATTATTACCCTAACCCCTCATGATCTGGGATTTAACTAAGGCTGTAAGAGTGGGCTGGGGGAGGCAGAAGCAGGAAGGAGAAGTATGAAGGAGCAGGATCCAAGAGGAGGATGAGGGGAATCGGGGAAGGGGACCCAGAGGAGGAAGAGAAAGGAGATGGGAATGGAATAAACTGCAACTGACACCAACCAGCCTGGCCCTCATTCCCTCTTTTGGTCGCCCATCGCCATTGGCTACCCCGGGGTGGGGGAAGTGGCACCGCTGGCCTTTTGTATTTATTTCTTGAATACACAGTTAGCAAAGGAAAACTGAAAACTGAAATGGGCTGGAGAGAGCACAGCAGGGAGGGCACTGGCTCCATGTGGCCCACCTGGGTTTGAATCCCTGGCACCACCTATGGACTCTGGGCCCCACCTGGAGTGCTCCCTGGGCCCAGAGCCTGGAGTGCTCCCTGGGCCCCACCTGGGGTGCTCCCCAGACCGAGAGCCGAGAGTTCTTGCACAGGAGCAGAGAGCCACGGGTAAGCCCTACGCATAGCAAGGAGCAGCCTAGCCCCTGCAGTCCCCAAGAGAGTTGAAATGTGAAGAAATATGCATTTTTTAAATTTATGAAACAGTGACAGTTGCCTTTAAGTTTTTCCTTACTGCACAACTATGCTTTTTTTAGTGCAGAGAGAGAAAGAGAAGGAGGAGGAGGAGGGAAAAGAGAAGAAAAATATTCAACTTCTTCAAATGTCAAATTATAAAATAGAAACAAAAGGGCAAAGAAGGTGGCAACCATTCCACAGGGATCAGGAAGACCCCATCGCTCCAGAGCTCAAGCCAGCCCCACAAGTCGGATAATAGAATGTCATCTTCCATAGGGGCAGTGCCTAAGATTCGGGAGAATAACTCTCACTCCCATCTATCCATCCCCAGTGATATTTGAGTCAAGAGTTAAATTACAGGTGCTTACTGTGACGGCAGATGGATCGTGTGGCCACCCCCCCAGAGCCAATATGTTTCCTGACGAATATCTTATTGTTGATGAATAACACTGTCATCTGTTTCCAGCTCCTGACTTAGAAATGGGGCGATGGACTCGCTTCTATTTAACATGATCCTTCATCGGCTGCTTCTTCATTCGGAATCATCATTTAACTTCAAGGCAGCTACATCTACGAGTTAGATTTTTGACCTTTCTGTGGTCGTGAATAAATGACAAGCTTAAGAATAGGGCATATGACCCAGACATCATTGAGACTGACAAGAATTATCTGCATGATTTATGTATCTTCTTACGAGTCATTAATTATCAGTTTAACTTAGAAATCTCAAGTAGGACTTGGGAATTTTGATTTGACATACGAATCAGAGTTGTGTCATTTTGCCAATTTATAAATTTTATAAGATGACAAACACTGATAAATTATCTAATTAAGTGTCATCCTCGTTGGAGCGATGTAGCCTAGAAATCAACACGGAGATTCATGTTCTCATGCTTTTCACTTCTATTTATCTCTTAACGACAGCACAGCGTTCCATTAAAATAGGCTTAAGAGTCAAGTGTGGAGCTGATCGGACCTGGCCCACTGCCTGTCTCAGTCGTGGTTTCCCTCGTCAGAATGTCCAGGCACACAGAGCAAAGCTATCGTGGGCTTACGGCAGCTCTGGGAACCCTTTCTGGGCTGCCCCTTCACCTCCAAGCTCTGGCTCAGAGAAGAAACGGGCTGTTGAGTCTGTGGGCATCTCACAAAACACATGAACCTCAGCCTGAGTGCTGTCGATATCAAGCATCTATACTCCCCCAGCCCATGTCAACCTGATGCGCTTCCACCTAGATGGGCTCTAAGCAAATATTTCTGTGCTTTTCTTTTGCTTCCTTTTGTTGATCATTCTTTAAGGGTTGAAGCAACTGGCAGCTTCTTTTTGATACTCCAAAGAAACGGCCTTACTCACCCAACTGGAATAAATGAGGAGAAATATTTTTAATATAAGTTTTTTGTTTTTGTTGTTGTTGTTTTTACATTGCAGGTTAGAGGTTATATAAAATAAAGTGCATTTCAAAAAGCACACAGACAATAATGCTGTCATGGGATTTGGTACTTGGTATATATATTTTGCAATGTCAATAGAGAAGGAAAAGTTTGATTTTGAAAGAGTACTTAAAATGTTGGGCCTGAGAGACATTAGTGTTTGCCTCATGTGCAGCTGATCTTGATTCAACACCTGCCACCACATATAGTCCTTGAGCACTGCCGGGGTGATCCCTGAATAAGTCCTAAGCATATCAGGGTAAGCTCCCAAAACAACAACAACAACAACAAAACCCTGCCCCCGTCAAATATTCAAAATGCTTGAGTGTCCCCATGGAGACACACACACACGCATGCACACACACTCACACATGCACATATACATACATGCATACACCCACATACTGCATGCACACACCCACATTCTGCATGCACACACATACACGCACACACACAGGCATGCATGCACCATGAACACACACATGCTCGTGAATATCCTTGGGGGCAGTTTCTCAGAAGCTTTCTGCTCAGCTGAGCAGGTAACCACTGCCTCTTTTTCATCAGCTCAGCTCTATCGACAGTGCCCATCGGACAGCGGAGACCACCATGGAGAATCCAGCTCTGTCTGGGTGTCTGGTAGAGGGCAGCGTGGGCACCAGACCTCAGGAATGCCCTGACATGAGCCAGCAGGAGAAGAGCAAGGAGCAGTGAGTGGTGCTCCTGGGGTCCTACCTTGGTAGGCGAGCTTGAAGCCTTGGCGGTTCTGTGAATGGTCGCTGGAAAAGCGCACGAGTGTCTCGTGGGTGGTGCTCAGGAGGGCTGCGGGCAGGTCAGGGCCGCTGAACTGCCCAATCATGGGACTGGTGTGGAACGGCCCATTCTGGATCTCCAGGTAGTCGTGGTTTGCCTCTGTGGAAAAGTTCAGGAACTGGATGTGGACGCCTGCAGGGAGGGAACGAACGTTACTGACCCTTCCTGGGAAAGCCAGAGTGGGGAGAGCACGACTCCTCTGGGAGAGACAGGCATGTCGGTCACCGCCGACTTGGGCTGTTTCCTCCTTCCACCAGGGCGTGGCTCCCCAGCACAGAGGTGTAGCCACACTGCTGAGGTGGGACCAGAACACGTGGACACGGGCATCCTGACCGACCACGCAAAGGACGCGAATGTACAACCTATCACTCACATGTGGATTTAGGGCTGGGCCTGGGAAGAGGCCGTTATAGCCTAAAACACGCAACAAGCTAAAAAAGTGGGTTGGGAAGGGAGGACCCAACACCACATAGACATGTGTGCATCTAACAGGTTTCTGTGTGAACAGTGTCTTGGCAACAGCAGGAGGTTCTGGGTAAGTATCTCCTGCACCCACCATTTCCTCCAACAACCCAGCATAGTCTGACAGAGACCATTTAAACACCCTGGGACAGTATACTGCATGGGAACAGCTGGGAATATCAAAGGAAAGAAGCAAAGAAGGAAGCAAAGAAGGAGAAAGGGGGAAAGGAGGTAAGAAAGGAAAGAAGGAAGGAAGAAAGGGAGAGAAGAAGGGAGGGAGAAAGGAAGGAGGCAGGAAGGAAGGAGGAGGGAGGAAGAAATGAGGCAAATAGGATGGAAAGACCGAAGGATAGAAGGGAGGAAAAGAGAGAGAGGAGAAAGGGAGAGAAGGAGGGAGGGAGGCTGGGAGGGAGGGAAGGAGGGGAAGAGAGAGGGGTGGAGAGAAGAAGTAAGGGAGGGAGGAAGGAAGGAGGGAGAGAAGGAAGAGGAAGTGAGGGAGGGAGAGAAGAAGGAGGCAAGTAGGAAGGAGGCAGAGAGGCAGAAAGGGAGGGAGAGATGAAGGAAGAAGAGACGGAGGGCAGGGGAGAAGGAAGGGAGAGAAGAAGCAGAGAGGGAGGGAGAAGGGAGAGAGGGCCGGAGGGGCAAAAGGAGGGAGAAGCACCATCTCCTCCAGCTGCCCTGTGCTGTCTCTGCTGGGAGCTGCTCTCCCAGAACTGCACATGTTCCTGCTTTGCTTCCTCATTCACTGTGTCCTGCCACCCGCTTTCTTTCCCAGCACACTGTGACCCGACAGATGAGCTGCAGTAACCGGCCATGGTGGCAATTCTCGAGTGCCTATCCCAGGGGCAGGCGCTGAGCCTGGGGTCCCTTCTCAGCTCCACCCACAGTAGCAGGGGTCCTGAGTCTGGCACAGGGGCATTATCTGGACACAGACCCACACAGAGGTGCTGCCATCCGCCCGTTTCAAGTGCGGTTGCAAACAATGGCACAGAAGGAATCAGGAGGGAAAGGCATGAGGTGGCAGCTCCCTGGGCGCTGAGGGAGGGAGCATCCAGGGGAGGGAAGCCGGAAGGGACCTGGGCTAGAATCACTCACGATGGATGGAATTAGGGCAATTAGGAGAGCAGGATTTAAGCAGGGTGACTGTCCATCCGCATCTCAGTGGCCTAAGACAGGCCCTGACCCAGTCATAATCCGGCTTAGACGGGTCTTATCGGGCGCTCTGTGTCTTAGCACCTGGAGACAGGTGGGCAAGATTGGTGGTGGTGGTGGTGGGGGAGGATGCAGTGGGCAGGCCCCTGCCTGCTCTCAGGCCTCGGCTGAGGGGGGAGCAGGGGTGTCACCGGCGTCTCTCCTGAGACAGCGGGCACCTCCTGTGGCTGCGTCCCTGACACCGAGTGGCTGGCCACAACCCATCCTCAGATGCAGCTAGAACGGAGGCAATGCCAGCACCCAAGAAGGCAGAGCTGGACAGTCCAGCTTCCCTGCTCTCTGTCCCAGTGGGGCAGCCGGGGGATCCAGGGATGGCTGGGGAGAAGTCGGGGAGACCTTAGTCTCCCGTGTGAACATGCATGCACATACATGAGCAGAGATGGCATGCGTGTACACACAACACACACGTTCACTGCTACATACTTGTAAACACAGCACTGTAGCACTGTAGCACTGTCCTCCCATTGTTCATCGATTTGCTCGAGCAGTCCCAGTAATGTCTTCATTGTGAGACTCACTGTTACTGTGTTTGGCATATCGAATATGCCACAGGGAGCATGCCAGGCTTTGCCGTGCGGGCGAGGTACTCTCAGTAGCTCGCTGGGCTCTCCGAGAGGGGCGGAGGAATCGAACTCGGGTCGGCCAGCAAGGCAAACGCCCTATCTGCTGTGCTATCGCTCCAGCCCGTAAACACAGCACACATACATAATACATAAGTGCACATATATGTGTAAATATGACACACACAATCACAGACACATAAATGCCTAAACTACACACGTGCAGGCATGGCACAACAGTATACTACATACATAATTTCAACACACATACCTACATATTCATGAGGTAAATATGGCACATGCACATGCAAGCTCACATACACACACATGCGTGCAAACATAGTACACATACATGTATAAACATGGAACTTCATGCTCACCGATACATGTACACTTGCACACACACCCTGTCATAAATAGCACGTGTGTATACATGAGGGCATAGATGCATGTACACAGGCACATAAACATATAGTCATGCATACACAAGTAAATACAGACACAGTGCACGCATAGTCACATGCACACAAACACATGCAGACACATGTGTACAGGCATGCACACTCAAACACCCATACACACAAAACACACATGGACACATGCATGCACACACTCACACAGACACACAGATGAACACCTGTTTGCACATGTGTAAGCAACCCAGGAAAACGTGCACAGAGCTGGTGACAATCAGGAGTCATGGCATCTTCCCTGTGTCTGCACACCTGCACACGCATGTGCCCATATGACCAATGGTCTTTCTTTGCAGGCACATGGCCCATTTCATGCCTCAGTGCCAGGGTGCTTGCAGGTATGTCCTGAGCCATCACTTGGAACTGAGGTGGTCTAAGTGGAAGCTGGGGTTCCTGGGCAAGGCTCGACAGAGCGTGAGACCATCGTCCTGACGCAGGCCACGGCCCTCAAGAGGTCTGAGGGCAGAGCAGTGGACTCTGGAGAAGACCACATGCCCCACATGCACTCACAGGCAGCCAGCAGCAGCCCAAGCCGTCCGGGGCTGAGACAGGTGAGGGCGGGCCAGAGAGGACAGGGTCATGCACCCACTGTGTCCTCCCATCGCGCTGAACTTTGCCTCTGGAGGGTTCAGTTCAACTGAGCTTCTGCCCATCCCATTCTCTGGACTCTGTGACCTCGCCCCTTTCCGCTGGACAGAGACTCTGCAGCATCAGTGCTGCCCCTGGGCACTCACCATAGCCCACAGGCAGGGAGATCCTCCAGACACAGTCCAGGTTGTTGGGGTATGCACCGGGAAAGCCAGGGCTCAGGATCACGCCACCCAGGCTGGTCAGCGTCCCCCCACAGGCGGCTGCAGAGAGACAAGGGCACTGAGATGGGGGCTCCCTCGGGGGCACGGGGGCGGGCAGGGGAGGTGGTGGAGTATGTCCCTACCGATGCAGAGTGGAGACGGGTAGTTCCAGCGGCGGACGGTCCCCGGCATGCAGGAGATGTGGGAGCGGCCCTGTGGGAGGAACAGGTGGGCTCAGGGTGGCCCCACGGGCCCCCTCCAGGTCTGACACAGAGACAGACCCAGAGACAGAGACCGTACCCAGATGCACACAGACCCACAAATATAGTCACTGCCAGGCCCTGCCAGCTGGGGTAGCCCGAGAGCTGCTGACCCTGGCAGAAGGTCTGATGACCTTTGATGGCCCCGGGATGTGAGCAGGTGAGGGGGGCAGAGCTGCTCCCAGCCAAAGTTCCCCTGAAACGGTTCAGATGCTGTCTCCCAGGCTAAAGGCACAGCTTTCTGTGTCCCAGGCTAAGAGCACGGTTTCCAGGGTACTGTGTCCAGGCTAAGAGCACAGCTTCCTGGGACCCCAATGTGGGGAGAGCAGCAATTCACTATTTTTCTGGCCTTGTGCACCAACATGGCCAAGCCCTCTTGGCTCTCTGTCAGCAGGAGAATTAGACAAGAATTTTTCCAAATTGTAGAAAAAACGATTCTGGAGTAAATTTATTCACTCTGCAACCAGGAGGTAAATAAAACAGAAAGACTCATGCTGTTTCCCCTTGGCTGACTAAAACGCCTTCACCAGTTCTTGAACAAAGCTCTGAGATGGTCTAGGAGACCCTGCATGCTGACCCCAGCTCACCAGGAACCCAGAGCAAGGCTCTGGGTGGGGGGAGCAGAGCCTGGGGGTCCTGTGCCCCCACGTGGAGGCAGACTCTGGAGCGGGTAGAGAGGCCCAGCTGATGCGCTGAGAGTGCGTGTTCACGGAATGAACATGTGTGGGAGCACAGTGCACCGAGCACTTGCCCAGAGCAGGAGGCCGGCGTCCCACGCACCCACCTGCAGTGTGTAGCCGGGCTCACACTGGAAGGACACGACGTCGTTGACCATGTAGCGATCGCCCGTCTTGATGGCATTGCTGGGCATGGCAGGCTCCTGGCAGGCAGCGAGGCCCACGGCTGTGGGAGCAAGGACAGACACGGAGCACCACGGTGCTTCACGTTAGAAGGTCTGACTTTACCTGAGTCAGGCCAGGCCACGTTGCCACGGCTGCATTCACAGGGAACTGTGAGCTCGACAAATCAAATGCAACAGTGAGTGATGTGATTATATTTTAAGGTGTAATGATCACTTCGATCATTAGCACATTGAACTTACTCATGTGCCCAAGTGTAAGAAGAGAAAAATCTCCTTTTGCTCTCCCTGGTAAAGTATGACCACCCTCACAGTGAGAGTTTCCACACTTCCTTTCCTTCATCCTTCCTTTTGTTCCCATTTATAGCAAGCACCAGTTCAAACTCCTTCCTACCTTTCCCAGAATTAATATCTACAGCTGGCTCATGGCTGTCTTTCCTTCCTTCCTTCCTTCCTTCCTTCCTTCCTTCCTTCCTTCCTTCCTTCCTCCCTTCCTTCCTCCTTCTCCCAAAGGCTGTGGGCCCGTCCCAGCCTTCCACTGGAAGCTCTTCTCTACTAAGAGCCCAAGCTAAAGCAGGCAGGATGTCTCTGTGACCTCAAGGATAATAGCAAGCCTCCTGCCCCACTGGAGATCTCAAATGCATTTCGAGAAGAAGCTTCTCCAGCTTGATCCTGGTCTTCTCAGAGATCAAGTCTCACAGCTTACAGATCACAGAAATGTTTAAACTCTGCTGTGGCTGATGGGAAAATACCTCCTGAGTAGGGCAGTGAAATAACAAATGTCCCAGAGACAGGCTTGTCTGGGCTCAGAGACCCACAGACCAGTGGTTCAAATACAGTCGCTGAGTTTGTAGCATTAGCTGGGAGGGATGCAGCTTGAAGGGGTCTCTACGGCTCACGGTGGACCCAGAAATTAAGTATCTTCCAACTTACCAAGATAAACTAAATCACAACAATAGTGGAATTTAATTGAAAAGAGATTTAATAATGAAAAGTGTCATCCTCAAGGAAGCATCGCCATATGTATAAATCAGATTTCTATTTCAGGACCTCTTTAAATGGGGAGTAATTAACAATGAAAAGAAAAGGCCCATCTGGCTTATGCTGCTAATGCTTTATTTAAAATGTAAATATAAGTCCAACTTGACTTTACAATTTATCCTCACCTCTCTCTTAAATTTTCCTAAATCTTGAAGAACCCTACAGCACCTGTTTAAAATTGTGTGTCTTGGATAAGTGGCTGGATAAATGCTCTCGTTTTAAAATGAGTCCATGGTTTACATGTACAAGCCAGCTCTGTGCTCATACACTTCTATCCTGAACCAGAGGAAGCAAAACTGGGAGGCACTGATGTGCAGAGCAGGCCCTCCCTTTCACTTCAGCTGAGAGAAAGGGGCCACTGCACAGGGGCCACTGGGCTCTGGCCCAGCAGGGCCTGAGGGGCAGGATCCGGGCGACAGCAAAGTGAAAAAGAAGACGTTCCTCCAGGGGATGCAAGAGAGCCCTCTGAGTGCAGGAAGCAAAGGGGGGGGGATTCACTTACACACACTCACACTCTCACACACTCACATGCTTCACATATTCACACACATGCTCACACACTCTCACACATGCTCACACACATGCCTCACATATTCACACACTAACACTCTCACATTCACATGCTTCACAAATTCACACTCTCACACTCACACATACTCATATGTTTCACATATTCACACAGACACACTCACTCATGCTCACACACATTCACATGCTTCACATCTTCACACACTCACATATTCACACATACTCTCACATACACTCACATGCTCACATATTCACACACTCTCTCATACGTAGACTCATGCACACTCACACATGCACATACTCATACATGCTCACACATCTCACATATTCACACACACCCTCACATATTCACAAAACTCACACTCACACACTCACATAAGCTCATACTCACACACTCAAACACATTTTCACACACATTCACATACTTGATACACTCACAGACTCATACACTCACTTACACATACTCTTACACACTATCACACATTCTCACACACAATCACACAAACTCTCACACTTACATTCTCATATACATTCACACACACTTATACATGCTCTCTCACACACACTCAGTCTCAAACACACAAATCACACGCTCTCATACAGACTGACACTCACACACACTCTCTCATACATACTCACACATACTCATTCACACACATTCTCACACACAGACTCTCAAACACACTAATTTAAACACTCACTCTCTCTCTCTCTCTCACACACACACACACCTTCACATCCACTCAAACACATCCACTAACTCTCTCTCTCTCTCTCTCTCTCTCTCTCTCTCTCACATACATACACACATACACACACACACGTCAGAACCCCTAACACTAATGTCTCAGCAGCCACCAAGCTGAGAAAAGATGTCTAGTCCTCAGAGGCCAGAAAGAAGGCATCTCCACAGCCTGACACAGCCTCTCTTGTAAGACTGGGGGATTCAGTTGTAGATCCTGGAATAGAACACGAGTGTGAAGATCCCCAGGACAGACAGCGCACGACTCCTATGCCTAGGCCCAGAGCTGCAGTGGGGCAGGAACAGGTCATGGATGAGAAGCTCTGCATGGGCAGGTCTGGGCTGGCATGGTTCTGAGGGGGGTTGGTGTCAGGGAGTCTTGATAGGAACACTGCAGGAAAACCCACCAGCCCTGGAAGGGAACTGGGAGGTGGAGAGAGTCATTCTCAGATGAGCAGGGCGCCCTGGACCCCAGGGAGTCTCCGCACAGGTCACACAATGGGTGGGGGTGTGGTTGGGGCCAGACACCACCTCCAACCAGGTGCTTCACGGTCATGACCAGCTAGAGGTCGGCTGCTTTGAATTCACCTATTCCTTTTGGCTTTGGGGCCACACTTGGCAATGCTCAGGGCTTCCTCTTGGCTCTATGCCCGGAGATCACAGCTGTCAGGGCTCAGAGACCCTGTGAGGGACTTGAAATTGAATCCAAGTCAGCTGCATGCAAGACAATTGCCCTACCCATTGCACTTCCTTTCGGGGGCTTATGATACACTATGGACACGGAGAATATCCGAAGTAAGTGTCCGGCATATCAGGCCAATGTGAGAACAGTTTGACGCCTGTAGCAAACTCAGAACTCACCCCAGCTCAGCTCCTATGAGTCAACAGACCACTGAGTGAGCCAAGGTCCGTCTGACACCAACTGCGACTCTGCACTCTTACACCTGACCTCTAGTTTTGACAGTAAGAACATACAAGGTACACATGAATGCAAGAGGATGTCGCTGTATACGCAGAGACAAGGCAGGTGTCAGAACCACACCTGGCCATGCTCATATATGCTTAGTCTCATTTGTCTGAATAGGAGACTAGAATCAGGAATATTAAGCTGATTATGAGACTGACACTATGCTCAAAGATCTAGTGGAAAGAGAGCATCCGTGAAGATATGGAATAACTTAGTGAGACAAGAATTAAGAGAAAGAATCAAAGGAAAATTCCCGGGGGACAATCTAACACTGTCAGAGATGAAGCACTCTCCAGTGCAATAACTGATATGGCAGAGGAAAGAACCAAAACCATTAAAGAAAGTTAATATCACGGTACAAACATAAAAAGAGAAGAGTGAATCAAAATAGAGCTGTGCAATAGTAACTGTGAAAAGGCATCTAATGGTTTAATAGGAAAAGAAATGGGATCCCAGAGCTAGTGGAAAAGGAGAAAGGAAAGAAGGAACATCTGGAACAATAATGAACAAGAATTTTTCATGAATTATGAAAGACCAGAATTAACAGATCCATGAGCATCAAAGAAACACACATACAAATACATCGCAGCTGACTTGGTAAGATGACGAACAAAATTTCTGAGTAAATCAGCCAGAGAAAAGGGCAAAAAGCCAGACATAAAAGACACAGCTGACTTCTCATCACGAACTATAACAAAAAAACTAACAGTGGGATGGGATTTCAACCAGCCTTTTCCAGCCACACAGACACCTTACACCACTTGTAGGCCACTGTTATCTCAGTAAAAAGTATCAAGAACTCCAAATTGAAGAGGGAAGTGATGACTTTTCCTCAGAGAAGCAATTTTGGGAGACTTCATTTTTCTCCCAAAGGACAAGAAATAGTCAAGGAAATTAGTTTTCAAAACAGGAAAGAATTTAGACAGAGACTTGGATTTCTCCAATAAATAAAGAGCCCCAGAGATGGTAAGATGAGGGCGAGCATACAGGACAGTTTTATTTTTAACCACTCAAAAAAAGATCATTGTCTCAAACCCCGAACAGTTAAAATGGTGGGCACTGAGGCTTATTTAAGGTGAGACACAAATAAGAATCATAATTGCGGCCAGGACGAGAGGAGAAAGGCAGGAGCATATCATGGAGTTGTTCCACTGCACTCAGAGGGGAGCAGTCTCATCTCAAGGTGAGCTACATCCAAGATTCATATTTTAAATGTTAGGGAGGTCATTAAAATTTTATTGTTTGAACTAATAAGTCTGTAGTGGAGATGAACAGGAGCAATAAAAAAAAAGATCCAATTAAACCAAAAGCTGGTGGGAAAAGGTGGAAATCACAAGCTATAAATAGGCCACATAGAAACACTCTCATACCATCTTCCAAGCAAGCCCCACACACGCTTGTGCCTTGACACATGTGTGTGATATAAACAACATGCAGTTGTCAACGAGAGCCCAGCATCGGCTCTGTCGTGCGCGTGTTTCCAGAGGAAGGAGCGCAGCCTTCACCCCTTTAGCCTGCGTGCTTGCAGGATCTCCAGAGTTTCATCCTAAGAAGTTGAGGGCCAGCAAGACTCTCGAGTTACACACTAAGATGGGGGCCAGCAAGACTCCCAAAGTTGCACGCTAAGATGGGGTCCAGCGAGACCCTCAAGTTACATGCTAAGATGAGGACCAGCAAGATGCACTTCAGCGTCCCCAGGGGTCCCCAGGTGCCACCTGAGCTTAGGTGGCAGGAGTTGATCCTGAGCACACATGCACCATTGTCTTTCAGCCCCACTGGTCTCACGAACCCTTTGTCACTTGTACCTTGGGGTGAAAGGGGGTATTTGAGAACCACCCGGGGCTTGGGGGAGCGATGTGCTGTGGTGATTCTCAGGGCACTGCCTGCATTTTCCTGAGAGAAAAGGGCAACTCTTCTGTGGAGCTGAGGAGGACCAGACCTCTGTCCAAGTCCTCCTGTCCTTCAGAGCTGGAGCCCTGTAACCCGGCTTGCTGGGCACCATATGGCTCAGTTCAGATGCTCCATGAGATTCCTGCAGGAACAGACCTGGGAGAGCTGCAGACATCCCCTGCTCTGTTCCTGCTCCAAGACGGGTAGCACCACAGGGTAGGTTGTTCTGAGCAAAATGAGACTGAAGCTGTGAGGAACAGGTCAGGCCCTGCCTCGTGACTCCTGTATGATGCACTCTTCAGTGGAGAACCAGGACTTTAGATGTGCAGACTGGGGTTGTTCAGTTTTGATAGATGCAAAACAGCTCAAGTATCAGATTCTTGCTCCTGGCCACCTACTTGGCCTGCTGTCTGCTGTTGCTCTTTTTTTTTTTTTTCTTTATGGGTCACACACAGCGATGCACAGGAGTTACTCCTGGCTCATGCACTCAGGAATTGCTCTTGGAGGTGCTCAGGGGACCCTATGGGATGCTGGGAATCGATCTCGGGCTGGCCACGTGCAAGGCAAATACCCTACCCGCTGTGCTATCACTCCAGCCCCTTTGCTATTGATCTTAACCTGGCAAATTCCACAAACACTCAGACTATCATCCACCTCTGAAACCGAGGCACAAAGAATTAGGTAGGGCCACGACTATGACAGTACACAGGAGTGGAGGAAAGGATAAGAGATAGAAATATGATGCAAAGGCCAATCGATTAGAAAGGAATCATCAAGACCACCAATTACTGAGTAAGCTTGGTTCCTCAGAGAGCATGTCAGGCTCTCTCTTGGGAATGTTCTCACTGGCAGGACCTCAGGGTAAGTGGTCCATCATAACTTGTCAAAGCTGAAGTTCATGTGAACACGTAAATAACTGTGCCCAATAATAACTGGAGACTAATTATTTCACAAGCACCTCTTTGGGTTAGAAGCGAATGAGAAGGCATAAAGGACAAGATAACTGAGGAAAAGAGATAAGAGCACCCATCCATTCCCACACTGCTAAAAATATTAGAGAATTTATTATCACCATCATAAATAAGCTTTATGGTTTCTTGTCTACAGATGTTCACGAAATGCATCCAAGCAGCAGATTTTTTCCAGACATGGCCCACATAAATAACATCCACGATACCATTTTACACTGTCACTGAAGAAGCCCTATTCAAATAAATTGGAATAAACATGCATACAAATGCCTGTAATAAGTAAGGAAATTTAACCAGAATGTGAAACAGCTCTGGGGTTTGCGTCTGCTCCAGAATATTTATCATCAGCTGGAATTCTGGCCTTTCAGAAAAGTATGCATGCATTTATATCCCTGCAAACTGTTTATCTCAATTCAAAGGATCACTTATTAAAGCTTATCCTTGTATTTGCTTATCTGCAACTGCTTATTAAAGGAGATGAATATCAACATTAAGCATTTTTTTTTAGTGCTTGAAAACATGTCCTAAAATAAACTTCTCTCTCATTGGAAATTCTTATTTTGCTTTCACAAGGTTTACCTGCATAATCACAGCCGGTAGAAGACTTAAAAATTGACCTTTGTCATTCATTCATCAGCCCATTAACTTGGCTTCTCATCCATTTGTAAAAGGTTAGTCTCCTCCTCGATCCCTTCTCCCAATTAAAACGAGGCGGTGAGCTGTGCTCATCCTCACAGCATGGGACCAAGAAGGGGAGACACGTGCTCTTCCATCGGAAGGCACATGTGTTTTGGGAGGCTAACACAGACATTCGCTACCACTCATGAGACTAATGCTGTCCCCAGCGGCCACTTTAGGCATGTTTGAACGCAGCCCACAAAGCCAGCAGGCGCCGAGCCCCCTCCTGGAGCTAAGGTCTGAGTTCCCTCTTCACTTGTCTTTTTACTAAATAGAGTTAACAAAGATTCCGTGTGGCCCAACTTCAGGCGACTTCCAGACACAGTTTTAGAACACCATGATTCCTCCGCATAATGAGGGGAGCCCGTGGGTGGACACAGCCCACCTGTCCTTACTTTTGTATTCCAGGTGAAAGCCCGCAGCCGCCACGCTGATGTCCGACTGGAAGTGCAGGTAGAGCTGGTTGGAGGTGCTGTTGAGCAGAGCAGGCACTGTGGTCCCTGCGGGAGAGAAGGCAGGCTCAGCCCCCGCACATGCACTGCGCCTGCTCTCACGAAGGGCTCGAGGGATGCTTGTGGGGGTCTCTGTCCCCTATTCCACCCGAGCGTTAGCTCCCATCCTGACCTCCGCTCCTCTTCAAGTGCCTCTTCCAAGCACAGGTAACTCTCCTGATCACACTACCATAGAACAGTTTTCCTCCACGCTTTCCTTAAAGACATCACGGGATTTACACATCGCTTCCTATGAGACATGCAATCATTGTCATTATTAACCTTTTTTCTTCCGTGACTAGGTTGAGGAGGCAGAGCTGGGAGGTGGTCGGGCTGTGCTCGCTGACCCAAAGCTGTCCTTGGATGACGGCTTGGGAGATTGGGCACTCTGGGCACTGGGACACACTCCCTTACACGAAGTGCCCTGGCCTGGAGCCACACGCCCAGCCACACATGGAGCCCAGGACATGGGCACAGGGAGGCTCTGCTGGGACTGAGGGGACAATGCTTCTCAGCAACCAGCAACAAATCTCTGGCAGACACGGACACAAGGGGAGGATTATGGGCTGGTCCTGGGCCTGGGGCTGAGGGGCTGCCAGGGAGAAGCACCAGAAAACATGCTGACAGCAGTGCATTTGCACCTGAGACGGAACACAAGGGGATCCTCCTGGGCAGACATGGTAGACACTAGGGCCCTCGCCCCATGTCCCACTGTGGGCTCCACAGCACCATCCACAGGAAAGGACCCTGTGTCCGTGGCACCCAGCAAAGCCAGGCAAGGCAGGACCTGTGTCCTTAGCACCCGGCAAAGCAGTCTCTTGGATGGAGATGCCAAAAAGAGTCTCCGTCTGTCCTGCCAGACCTTTCCACGAGCCACAGAGCATCAACTCTTGCCTGCCCAGGAGAGTGTCCCTGTTCTCGGCCAATGCCACCTGTTGGCACCCTGGCCTGTCTGCTTTGTTTGTACTGTCGCCATCTCTCATCTCTCAGGTCCCACTCCCAGGGCCCACCTGCGCCCGCCAGCAACAAGCTGGCATGCACAATTTCTGAGTTGCCTGTTTCCAGAAGAGAGTCCCACCGGCTTACAATACGAGTCCCTCACACCAGGGTGAGCCGCACAGACATGAAAAGCGAAGCCCTGACATGACCAGCTGCCAGGCCTTCTCCAGAAATGTGAGTCTGCAGCAACTACTTTCCTTGGCTGTTCCCATTCCATGGCATGAAGTGAGTTTAGCAGCTTCTCTATCGACACTCTGAAGTGACAGTGCTTTTTCAAAAAGTATAAGACTACTGATTGTTTTAGAGCAGTTTTCTGGCTGAAAATTCTTTTCATTTGTTCCAGAGCAATCATTTTCCTTTATAATAAGTCCTTTCTAAGTTAATTAGTAAGTTGCAAATATGGAACACAAAATACCCCTCTCTCTCTGGATATTATAGCATTTTATCATCCCACCTCTAATTTATATATATGATTTGTTCAAACGTATTTTATTCAAATTGTGAGCAAATTGTAGACACAATGTCAATCTCTTGTGAAATTCTAATGTGTATTTCTTAGAATATCTCTCGAAAGAACTGAGTGTTGAAGGTACTTAAAGGGACAAACATGACAACCTCTCAGTACCTGTATTGAAAACGATAAGACCCAAGAGGAGGGAGGGAGGGAGGGAGGGAGGAAGGGAAGGAGGGAGGGATGGAGGGAGTGAGAGAGAGAGGGAGGGAGGAAGGGAGAGAGGAAGGAAGAGGAAGGGAGGGAGAGGGATAAGGAAAGTGCTGCCACAGACGCAGGCTTGGAGAGGGGGCCTGGAGGGAAACTGGGGACACTGGTGGTGGGAAATGTGCACTGGTGAAGGAACATGTGACTGAAATTGGGTCATACACAACTTTGTAACAATTTATCTCATTGTGATTCAATTTAAAAAATGAGGAAAAAAAGTTTCTAGGGGCTGGGAGATAGTAGAGGGTGAAGGAGTTTTCCTTGCTTCAGTCAACTCTGGTTTGAGCCCAGCAGCACCTGACCTGCGGGGCATCACCAGGTGTGTCCTGGGCACCCTGGAACACCATCACCGGGGCGGGGCCCAAGGGAGACGGTGTTCTGGGACTCCCTGGTGAACCTCGGCCTGGCTGGTGGGCAGTCACCATGCAATACACGTATGATGATCGGTACACAGTGCACATGTATGATCCATACACAACGCACATGGATGACTATCAGTGCACAATGCACACACATGATGATCAGAACTCAATGCTCACGTATGAAGTTCAACACACGTGATCAGCACACAACGCACATGCATGGTCAGCACACAATGCACACACATGATAACCAGTACACAATGAGCATGCATGATCAGTCCCTAATGCACATGTATGATGATCAGCATAGGATGCACATGTGTGGTCATCAGCACACATGTACTCACATGATGATCAGTACACATTACACAGGTATGATGATCAGTGTCCAGTGCACCATGTAATTTCATGACAGTCCGTGTTGTGACTGGTACACAATATACATGTATGGTGATTCCCATGCAAAGCACGTGCATTGTGGCCAGTGCATTCCTTCATGTGTATGAAGATCAGTACAAATGCGCTGGCATGATGACTATTAGGCAATGCACATGCCTGATAAAAACACGCTGCACACATACAGAGGTCAGCCTCTGATGAACATGTGTGACTCAGCATCCAGTGCCCCCAGTAACAATCAGTGCCCGACACACAAAAGCTGCAAACAATCATGGTCCAATGCCACCCTCTTCTGAGGTGGCAGCTTTGCCTGATTTAGGAGAATCGGTTCCCACCCATGTCGCCTGCTAGTGAGAATGTATGTGATGACGTCAGCAGGGGTTTGAAGATTTCTGGTTCACACTATTTCATTATGCAAATTTCCCCACCAGAACCTTGGATCAACACGTGTCCAAGAAGCTTTGGATCTTTTAAGGGAGAAGAGCATTTATTATGATATTTAGAAACCCAGATGTGGGTTTACTATGATATTTAGAAACGCAGCCCAGACGGTGAGCTACGAAACAGAATCACACACATAATCATGAACATGCACACACAAGTGCACGCGCACACACACACACACACACACATACACACACATACATACACATGTCTGCAAATGTTCACGTAGAATGGCAAGTGCATGCCAGCATCTTGAATCCAAACCCAGCACTGCCAGACCCTCCTCTAGAGACTCAGCAACACTGAGGAGGTGGGGGGAGCCAGAGATTTCACCAGTGGCTCAGAGAACCAGGGGACTCAGGACTCTGGGGTCTGTGCCCACCCCAGGATTCCACAGTAGAACTGCCCAACAATGTCACTGGTGCCAAGGCCCCCTCCAGCCTCACCCCAAATCTCCAATAAAGAGGAGACCAATTCTTCCTTTGCTATTTTTTCAGGAAGTTGCTTTGCTGCTTCTGTCGCTCTGCCCACTGTACCCCCAAGCACCGACCTTCTTAAGCCCCAGATGTCCACCTCGGGGGTGGGAGGGAGAGTCTGCCCAGCCTCCCACTGTGTGTTCACAGCCCAAGAGGAAGCAGGAAGTCAGGCTGAGAGGTTGAGAGGGTGCAGGCCCCCCCATAGATGAAGAGCGGAGGGTGCCTGTCCAACGCCCACCCCTCCCCCTGCACGTCTGGTGTGCTGGGAGACAGGGCAGGGCACCGGGGATGAACACAGACCCCCAGAAAGGGCCTGCGTGTAGATGCACGCGGCTGTGAGATGTGCTGTGGAGGGAGCAGCTGTGCCTGCCCGCATCTCTCCCAGCCTGAAGCTCTACTCAGTGCTACTCATGGCCCCGCTGTCTGCACACATGTCTGCAGTGTGTGTCGGTGGTATCCCCCCGCCCGGTCTTAGGAAAGGCCTGTGCGTGGCTGTGTTTGCCGACTGCCAGCTTGGGTCTCTGACAAAGGCGAGATGAGAGGGGAGGTTCTAGCATCCCCAGTGGGGCTCGGTTTTGCCACCACTTTAAGGAAGGAAGCTTCTGAGAGAGCACTGGAGGTGTGCCGAGTTCCTTCCAGAGCCCTCCGCCAGCACCTGAACGCTGATGGCAGAGCTGGCGCGGAGGACATGGGGTTCACACTGAGCACTCAGGGGGATCGGCATGGGTGGGCCATCAGACACTCAGGCACCAGAGGTGGGAGCAGCACAGGGAAAGGGATTCCTGTGACAGGCAGTGGGCCGTAGCTGCCCTGGTCTCCGGCGGATTGGGGCTGTGCCCTTCTCTCTTGGCTCCCCGAGACCAGCTGCAAGACCCCGAAGTCTCTCAGAGGCACGGGGTCCCCCAGAGCAGCACAAGGCAGAGGTGGGGCGCAGAGGGAAAAGCCCCTCCCCCCTTGGAGGTCAGACAGACCCGGAAGCAGGCTCAGGCCAGAGGGGAACGATGCGTGATCTAGTGTGAGTGTTTGGGGCAGACGGAAACGCTGGACAATCTGGAACGTCACATCCGTGAGTAAGGACAACAGAATCCAGGTCCTTGTTAGCCCGGCACTGAGGCCAGTGGCCAAGGCTGGAATATGCTCACAAGGGAAGGCGAGGGAAGAGCGTGAGAGCGGGAGTGAGTGGTGGTACCGGACCATCGTGGAGCACGTGGCACGGCTAGAAACCAGGGACTCTGGTGTCCCTACACTGGATGCCATTCTTGGCTGGCTGCCTGTCACAAGGCAGGGCTAACAGATCAGGCCCAGAGCTTCCCACGCTGCGTCAGCCTGGACAGAGGCTCCCACACACAGGCACCGTGCCTCGGTGTCACTCTCACCTGAGAAACTCCCCAGCCGCGGGGAGGACAGGCCTCCCCCGTCGTAGATCTCCAGAGAGTCCCAGTTCTGCTCCGTGGCAAAGCTGATCACTTGGATCTAGCAGGCGAGAACGAGAGTTACTATTTGTTTGGGGTTTAAAGGATTTGGATGAATCAGGAGGGGTTTCCATGACACTGACTACAGCTCTGTAAAGAAACCGCAATACCGGAGGGAAACCCTGGCAAAGACAGCCATAGTCTACAAATGTAGCCTACGGGGATTTGGATAGATGTGGGGGGGAGGGTATGATTACCTTCCTCCCGAATCACAGAGACATGATTAGAAGCACTTTGCAGGGATGGAAGAGAAGACACAGGGATGATGGACATTTGAAAATGACGAGTATAAAAATGAAAAAGAGAAGAAAGCTAAAAAGAAAGAAAAGTTGGGAAGGAAGGAAGAAAGGGAGTGAGGGAGAGAATGAATGGGAGGGATGGAAAGGAGAGAAGGAAGAAAGGAAAAATGGAAGGAAGGAAGGAAGGAAGGAAGGAAGGAAGGAAGGTAGGAAGGAAGGATATGAAGGAGGGAGGGAGGAAGAAAGGAAGGGAGGGAAGGAAGGAGGGAGGGAAGAAAGGGAGGGAGGGAAGATGGAGGGAGGGAAGGAGGAGGGAAAGAGAGGAAAGGAAGAAACAGAGGGAAAGAAGGAAGGAGGAAGGGAGGGAGGGAGGAGGGGAGGATGGGGAAAGAATTTCCTGGACCCCCAGCACACTTGCCTGAATTCCTGATCCCTCAGTGACTATGATTTTCCAGACACAGTTTAGGTTGTTCCCGTAGGGCTCTGGGTACCCAGGGGAGAGGATGGTTCCCCGCCTCTGCGTGAAGTTGCCGCTGCAGGGAACTAGGAAGCAAAGTCAAAATCAATTGACTAAACTGCAGAGGGACCCCACGACCACCACACACACAGCTGTGCATCCACTCTGCTCTGTGTCAGGCGTTAAGAGAAATATCACTGGAGCGGGGCACTTGCAATGTCCTTCCAGCTGAGGTAAAATGGAGCCTGTTCTCTGTCACATCAGCAACGCCAAGGGTCTTGGCGTTGAGTCCTTTCCAGCTACCAAGCTGGGCTCTGCACCTGACAGCCATTCTCAGCAAGTTCTCCAAGAGGACTCTCGACCCACACAGGAGGTGGTAGGAGCCGTCCGGATGACTTATCCATTAAAATCTAAGGAATTTGGCAGATTTTTCTCATCAATATGCAGACATGCAACTAGGGATGATACGAATGGGGTTTATGAGCAAAGCCAGAAAGAAGAGACCCTTCCAAGCCAAAGGAGCTCGGGAGCTAATCACAGCAGTGGTGCGAGGCTCTCAACGAAGCAGGTGTGAGACCCCTCGCAGCCCATCAGCATTCAGGCTGCAGGGATGCCCTCATTTCAAACCTGCACCCACGTGCGTTTATGTGGAATGAAAGGACATCCACCAGGAACAGTGAATCTGCATGATAATGACCGGCCCCAGATGGAACGGTGTCCTCAGCCCCTGGCTCCAGGGCTGCTGGCTCACTTATCAGGCGCTGGTGGGGACAGGCACTACCTGCGGGTTAATGGGGTGTCCGCGCTGGGGACAGCGGTTTGAGGGGTTGGCTGCAGCTCTGTGATCAGTGGGGAAATCATTGCTTCTGACACAGCATCAGGAGGACAGACACAGACTCACCCACGCAGCTGGGCACCGTGTCGTTCCACTGGGCCAGGGCATTGGGCACTGCCCGGCAGCGGATGGCTGTGGAGCCTTGCAGCAGGTATCCCGGGTTACACTCGAACCGGACGATGGACCCCGCGGAGAACTCCAGCCCGATTCTCCGGCCGTACCTGGGCTCGGGCACCGAGCTGCATTGGGTGTCACTGGTGCGGGGGACAGCTGTGGACAGAACACAGGACATGGGACATGGGAGTCTGGTTGTGGGTAGAACACAGGACATGGGACATGGGTGTCTAGCTGTGGGCAGAACATAGGACATGGGACATGGGAGTTTGGCCATGGGCGGAACATGGGACATGGAACATGGGTATTTGGCCCTGGGACATGTGTGACTGGCTGTGAGAAGAACACAGGACATGGAACATGTGTGTTTGGCTGTGGGCAGAACACAGGACACAGGACATGGGAGTCTGGCTGTGGGCAGAACATGGGACACGAGACATGGGTGTCTGGCTGTGGGCTGTGGGCAGAATACGGGATACGGGACATGGGTATCCATCTGTGGACATAAAACAGGACATGGGACACGGAACACAGGTGTCTAGCTGTGGACAGAAAACAGGGCTTAGGCACCTGACTATGGTTAGGACATGGGCGTTCAACTGGACAGGGCATGGATGTCCAGTTGTGGACACAGGAAATAGGAGACTGACCCTGTTTGAACAGGCTGTGAGCTGTGAGGGCTCCTGTCTACCCATCCAGGAACATGCAGGCTGCAGGGCCACCGGGCACTGCAGAGGGGCTGAGACCACGTGGCTCAGGCCTTCAGAGAGTGGAAAAACCTGAGCAACTCCCGAGGGACTGAGTCCTGGTGGCCACAGGGGGTGCCTGTATCCACACGGCTACTGTGGGGACAGGCCAGCGACAGCCTCTGCCCCAGCCCATGTAGGGTAACTGGCGATGGAGAAACAGACCCGGACCCCATGGACACTAGCGTCAAAGGGCATGGTGGGGTTTCGCCGGGACATTCCCACACATTCCCACATCTGTGTGGGAAATCCAGAGCTGACTGTCAATGAGTAACACTCGGGCCCAGCTGGCAAGCTGGCAGGACCTGTGCAGGCACAGGTCCGGTTTTGGCCACTAGGGTGTCGGCTGGTCCCCTGCCAACTTCACCAATCCCCCCCTCCCCCACCAGCACCACCACCACACACACACACACACACATGTGCCACAGCCTCGGGCCTGGGGAGCTCACAACTGAGAGGCCCCACCCCAAGCTGTCTCCACTGCGGGGGGCTTGCATCTGCTGTGGCTTCCAGGGGTCTCCCTCTCCAGGAGGGGGGAAATCACCCTGAGCCGTCCTGTGGACCCTGAAGTCAGTTCCTGGGGAAGGGGTGCTGTGTGACTCGGGACAGGAGCTTGGGGCTGGCCACCCACCTGGGCTGGCCACCCACCTGGGGAGGTGCCAAGAAGCGGCCTGTGGGCCTGTGGGGTGTGGGTGGCAGGTGTGTGGCTGCTCCTCCCCGTGCTGTGGCCACCTCCTGGTCTCTGCCCCAGGTTCGTGGCCGTGGGGAGGAAGCCGCCAGGAGGCAGTGTCCCTGCATCAGGACCAAACACCCCTTGGGCACAGGGCACTGGCTGTCGTGAGGGCAGCAGGCAGCGTCCACTCTGGCCATGCCTGGCTGACCCAGACGCTCCAGCCCTTTCTCCACAATCTGACAGTGGTGCTGGCAACCTGACAGTGGCTTTGCTGCTGTTGGATCAGCCAGGGAGGATAAGGACAGGGATGGATGGCTTCACAGGAGGGCCCCTGGGCTCCCCTGAGGCTTCATCAGAGGAGGGAGGTTCCCTGGAGAGCTTCTCCTGAGGGGTCAGTTGGCCTAAGTAGACACCCGCGAAGTTTCACACTGCTGAGACACTCCACGTCCAGCCAGTCCAGGTTCGGGAGGAGGAGAAACCCACCCTGGGGAGCAGCTGGAACTCTAGAACATTCCAGAGACAACTGGGACTCTAGAACATTCTAGAGAGCAGAGGCTGGTGTTGGGAAGTTCACAGCATGCAGCTGGCAGAGTGTGAGGGGTTGAAGAAGTTCCAGAGCCTGATTCTGGAGACCTCGGAGCACGCGTGTGACCTGGTCCTCGCCCAGTGGGGACCCAGAGCCACCTGCCTTCCGGGTGCTAGCTGGGGTGCAGGCAGCCTCCCGCCCGCTCAGGTTCCATCCTCTAGGAGAGTGCAGCACTCTCCACATGCCTGCCCCTCACTTTGCTTCACCTAAAGAGCAGAGGTGCGGTGATGTGACTGATCCATCACGTGGGTCCAAAGCGACCCACATGAGCAGCTGCGGCGTCCACAGGACAGTGATGGCCTCCTACTGGCCTCCTGCTCTTCTCCCTTTTCACACACTGTCTGCCAAACACTGCGACTTTTGGCAGTGGAATATTGGTGGGTGTGAATTTTGCACGAGATGATTGGAAAAGATTTAGAAGTGGCATGGCCGGGTCATTTGCCAGTTTGGGGCAGCAACAGCAGTGAGGCATGCTTCCTGGAGGAGATGTTACATATGGAAACCAGCCAGCACAAGCCGGTGGGTGCAGGCACGTGACAAGAACTGTTTGTCCTCAGGTCTCCTCAGGGAGAACCGAGCCTGGAAGGTATCAGCACCACTGGCTGCTTTTGAAGCAGCTTGTCTCCATGGAGGGTCTCTGCTAGACTCCAGCCCGAGAACCACACAGGCTGCACCCCAGACCACACTGGGCCTTGGGAGGGCGGAGGCAGCTCGGGAGGTGGGTTTTCTTTTTCTTTTTCTTTTTTTTTGGGGGGGAGGTGGGTTCTCAAAGTTGTCCAATGAGCATGCAAAACAAAGGTGAGCCAAGAATAGGGAAAAGTCTTCAGTTTTAGAAAAGTTGAGCACTATCAAAACCTTTGATATAGTTATAGATTTAAAAATAAATGTAATTGTGTCAAAGTACTAAACTTAATAGAAGATGAATAAAATCAGATACCTAGAAAAGGTAAGTATAACATGAACAAAATAAAATGGGAACACAAGATCTATATGTACATGTACATATATACCCATTTTATTTTGTATATGTATACATATAGATAAAAAACAAAATAAAATGGGACACAAGATTTATATATACATACACATATATATGCCCATTTTATTTTGTATATACACTGGGTTTTATTTGGCTAAATTACATTTTTAATTTGTTTTTATAAAAATGTGGACCTTTTAGTATTTTTAAGTGAATATTATTAAAAACAGTTATTAAAATCTAAGCAATTATAAAATATTTTACCTTAAATAAAGTATTTTTGTCAAATGGGACATAATATGAAAAGGTATGGAGGTAGAATTGTTATATTGAAGCATTGAAGTAAAAGTTTGCCATCTCTGAAACAATTTCATCACAAGTGAACATTCTGTGGCAGAATGTTCTATGAGAGAATTTTGTGTGGATGAATGTTCTATGAGAGAATTTTCTGTGGAAGAATGTTCTGTGGGAGAGTGTTCTGTGGTAGACTGTTTCATGGAGGGATGCTCTGGGGATAATATTCTATGGGAGAATGGTCTTTGGGGAGGGCAGTCTGTGACAGAATGTTCTATGAGAGAATATTCTGTGGAAGAATGTTCTAAGGGAAGAGCGTTCTGTGGGAGAATGTTCCTGTGAGAGAATATTTTGTGGAAGAATGTTCTGTGGGAGAATGTTCTGGGGATAATGCTCTAAGGGAGAATGGTCTTTGGGGAGAGGTTCTGTGGCAGAAAGTTCTGTGAGGGAATGTTCTGTGAAGACAGTGTTCTATGGGAGAATGCTCTGTGGCAGAACATTCCATGGGAAGAATATTCTGTGGGAGAATATTCGTGGAAGAATGTTCTGTGGGACTGAGTATTTGGGACTTGGGGCGGGGTGGGGGGCGAGGGGTGGTAGGGGTTGTGCTCTCTGAGGACCCTGTCTGTGGACAGTCAAGAGCAGTCAGAATTGTACCTTGGTAGACAAAGTGGAAGCCCCGGGCAGACGCTCCACTCTTTGCGCTGAATCGAAGGAGAATTTGATTCGAAGTTGCCAAAGGTAACGTCTCACCTGCGAAAAGGACCCAGAAACAGAGCTGGCACACAGGACCCGCACAATACCCTGGGCTGTGCTGACACACGAGAAGGGCAACAACAACTTACAATTCCATGCTTAACTTTCAGACATTTAAAAATTTGTGCCCTGGGATCTAGAAATTCAATAGATTGTTTCTACAAAGATTCTAAGATGTTGTCCTTGCCTGGAGAGCCATTAAAACATCATTTGAATCACAGTCACAGGTGCTGTCTCTTGAAACTTGCCTATAGTGGCCTATTGGCAGATCAGGTGGCAAATGTAACTACTGGGTGAGCAGGGACTCAAAATCATCTTTACATGATAGTTACTTGAAAGGATTTCACTTACAAGGGCTCTAAATCCAAGGTTGCTTTCTCTTTTTGTTTTAAATAAAGGGATCCAGGAAAGCTCTGTGTCTATCTCCTGCTACAGCACAGTCTGTGGCACACGGGCCCTCAGGACTAATGAGCAAGAGAATGGACGGTGCTTTCTAGAGGGACCATGACAGTGCACTCATGTCCTGGGTGTGTCTTCTGATACATTTCCACTGACATCACTGGGCATTTCTGGACATTACAAACTATAGGCTAATGACTTTGAGCTAATAGTAGCGAACCACTAGGAATAAACGCATCTTGATGTTGGCACAGGCTAACCCTGGTCAGCCACAAAGAGAAAGCACTGGGAAAGTAAAGGTTTGAGTCAAGTGCACTTGACCCTCACCCCAGAGGCCCTCAGCACACAGACTGGAGCCTGGTAAAGACACCTTTCCCCAGGAAGACACATCTGAAGGGGAAGCTTTTGATTGAAAAGGGTGGGCAAGTGCCCTGAGTGGGCCTGCATATATGTCTGCAGGCAGATATGCATGTGGACACAAGTGCCTCCCCAGGAAAAAGGGTAATATCTCCCAATGTGTGCATGTAAAGGTTTAGAAAGGACGAGACGGGAACACCAATAAGTTTGACGAGAAGGAGCTCTGGACACATACAAGAGAAACTAAAATATCGCTTATCCTTTCTATCCTGGTCATTTCTGCTCTCACTCAGGTGTAGGTTACCTTTCCCCAAATCTTAGCAAAATGACAAAAAGAGGGTGTATTTATGTGTTTTAAATTGAAACAAGATTTTAGCAGCAGAGAGATAGTCCCCAAACCAACCAATCTTTTTGTTTGTTTGTTTGCTTAATCAGAAAGCAAAATCTAAGATAGTCAAGTTTCTACTTAATACACAAATAAATAAATAAAGCAAGTGTCAAGTGGATTGCCCTGGTAGTCCTTGAGATGCCAAGATGCAGTTCTCTTCAGTTTACCTGAGTGAGATCCAGAGAGGGAGCTGAGAAGTCTGGCCTGAGGGCTTGCTCCATCGAACAGTTCTACCAAATCGTTCCGCGTTGTCTGGAAATAGACAAACTGTCCAAATACCACTGCAAAACAAGAGGGTCAGGCAAGATGGGATTTTAAACAAGAAGGTTTGGGTGGACTTATTTACTAATATGTCCAAAAATTTGTTATTTCATGAATCCTGTAATTGGGATTTTAAACAAGAAGGTTTGGGTGGACTTATTTATCAATATGCCCCCAAATTTGTGATTCCATGAATCTTATAAAAGTAATCAATTAATTATTAAATAATGTGATGTTGAGTTTTAGTAGCTTACACAATTTATTTTGCTTCTCAATTTAATAAAAGAAATGCAATTATTATACTCTGTATAGTTTGACGACTGAATAAATATTACTTTTGTTTTCATAAATGCTGCTCCAGTTAGTGGCTTGTGGCCAGAAATTAGCTCTATGTATTTGTCATTAACATTTCCTTGAGTGAATTAAGAGCTATAGTATGGGGACGCCTGCTTTCTGTTAAAGCATGCTATTTGACAGGGATTAAAATGTCTTCACTAGGATTCTCATCAGGACAAATTCCTGTGAGCTTGTTGAGCTTGCACATGTAGAAATCCATCGCAGGAACTGTGCTCTCTGATAGAGGCTACAACATGGCAAGACTCATCTCCAAGGAGAGCCTGGAGATCCCTTTCCAAGTAGCGGCTTCACCCACTTAAAAAGATTTTTTTTAATTAAGCCACTTTGATGTACAAAGTTGTTTTACTAGAGTTGTTACATGCATACAGTGTTCTGGCACCCATCCCACCACCAGTGTCACCCTCCCTGCAGCAATGTCCCCAGCTTCCCTCCCACCCCCAGCCTACCCTTTGGGAGGCATCTAACAAATCTACTCCATATTACTTTTTCTGCTAACGGAGGAGTGGAAAATGGAGTTATCAGACAATAAGTCACTAAAGGCCTCTCTGTGATGACTGGCTGCTAAGTGATTTGAACCAATGTAAATCCATTGCTAATTCATTACTGACGGTATATAAAGTCCCTAGCAGGCGAGGAGTAAACAGACTCCTTAATCTAGAGTGGACAACCACAGAAGCATCAGAGAGTGCCATACTCAGTGTCCATGTTGGGAAGTGTGTCCTGTCTGGTAGAGAAGCTCCTTTAATGGTTCTTGCAAAACCACTTTAGAGGCTGTGAATTCCCTAAGCTGTTGCCTGTCTGTGAAGATCCGTATTGTCCCTGATGGGGAAAGATCAGAATGATAATGTAGCTGGACAGAGTATCTTGGCGAGGTGCTTGCTTTATTGAAGTTTTGTACTATATCCCTTCATTCTCCTCTGGCTCACATTGACCTGACAATGTCCTTTATCACCCAGAACACTTGAATTCAGTATCCATTCGCAAGCAATGGGTCACAGTTACTGTTTGGGGGTCAGGCCGAATCTAAGCTCCCTCTAAGTCATCCTAGATCAGAATCAGAAGGTTCTGGTCTGTGTGCTCAGGAGGACCCAAGTAATGCCCCAGCAGAGCCACACAGCATGTGCAGAGCCTGGGATGGAAGCCTGCACATTCACAGGTACAGATTCTTACAATGGTGCCCACTCAGCGCAGGCACATTGCAGGATCCTCCCCCCGCCCCCGACCACACACATGCACACACATGTGCACACACGCACACCCGTGCACAGATGCATACAGGTATACCCATGCTCTCAATCACATATACACATCCACGCACATATACACATGCATACACACAAAACTGGCACGCAGAGTGAGGACACTCTGAAAAAGGAACAGCAGTGGGTACTGTGTGGACTGTGTTTGGAAAACCTGCTTCTTCAACGCAGCTTTTATGCTTTCTGATTATGGCACATCTGGAATTTCTTCTTAGACAACAAACAGAAAATTATCATTGAAAGAAACACGACAGAGGTTGGGAAGAATTTCTTACCGAATTCCTTGGGCACCGTGATGGAGTAGAGGCAGATCTGACCAGCTGTGTAGTTATGCGGGTAGTTCGGAGACAGGACCACGCCCTCTGACCCTGTGTGCTGGCCTCCACAGGGAGCTGAAAGCAGAGACCCTGTCTGAGCTTCACTGACCCCACTCTGGGCAGAGAGCCAAGTGGGAGCACTGTGGGGGTGCTCGGAGAGCCCCCTGCCAGGCTTCTTGAAAGTCTCAGAAGCGATTAAGGCTAAGGGTGTGTTCCGAGGCTCTCTAAGGAGCAAGAAGAACAAGAAGACTGAGAAGGCAGAAAGCAAAGTGACTCTACCTGAAGGAAGAGCTAATGTTATTACCCTATTATTACCCTATTATTACCCTAGCAGCAGCAACTACAACAACAAAACGACCCCAACAATGACGGCAACAACCACAACTACAACAGCAAAAACAACTACAATGGTACCAGTGGCTAAACCAACAACAACTGCAGCAGAAGCTACAACTCCAACGAACAGAAGCCAGCTGCAACAGAGGAACCACCACCTCAGTAATAGCAACTTACAACACAACAACTACCATGGCAGCACCAATTACAGAACAACATAACACCAACAACCACCACAAAAATAGCAGCAACCACCAAAGCACCAGTAACTACCATAGTAGCAACAGCCACGATAGCAGTCACAGCAGCAGCAACAACTGCAAGTACCACAGCAGCACCAACTACCACAGCAACCACTACCACAGCAGCAATTACCACAACAACCACAATAGCAATAGCTACAACAGCAGCAACAATGACAACTACAACAGTAACAGCAACTACAACAGCAGCAACTACAACAGCACCGTTAGCTGCAACAGCAGCAACTACAATAGCACCAGTAGTTATAATAGCAAGAACCACAACAGCAAAAACTACCACAGTGACAGTTACCACAACAGCCACAATAGCAATGACTACAACAGCAGCAATGGTCACAACTACAATAGTAAGAGCAACTACAATAGCACCAATAGCACCAACAGCAGCAACTACAACATCAGCAACTACAACACTAGTCGCTACAACAGCAGCAACTACAATAGCAGCAACCACAACAGCACCAGTAGCTACAACAGGAACAGTCACAACAGCAGCAAACACCGTAGCAGGAATACCAACTACATCGACTGTAGCAGCAAGTGCAGCAATGGAACAGCAGTAATGACAACAGCAGCAGCAATGACAACAGCTCAACAGCAGCAACAACTGCAGCAGCAGTAACAGCCAGAACTACAATAGCAGCAACTACAATGGCAGCACCAGTCACAGCGGCACAGCGGCAACAGAGCAGAGACAAACAATCCGCAACTTCTAGATTTGCTTCCGGTGTACGGCAGACAGCGAGCATACCCAGAATCTCAGAGCCTCAGGGACACAGCTGTTTTCTGCTGGTTTTACATTGCTGGTGGGCTGGAAAACTTGCTGCTGCTTAGATTGGATTGACCGGACTTGGGGTGTTGTTTCTGCTCATCAGCTGACCCTTGAAGTTCCTTCCTCATTACACTTTTCTGTTCTACTGCTTTTGAGAGTCTCCCTTTCTATAGCTGATTTTGTTCTGGGTTAGTTTGAGTTTGAGGGTGCCTATTTAGTGAGGAGCGCTCTGATCCCAACTCACGCATAGAGAGTTTTCTCCCTCCAGACCCACAGAGGCCCTTTAACAAGGTGGTGGGTCTGAGGAGGTGCCTCTTCACAATCCCTTGGGTTTCCCAGACCAGGTGCTGGACACTTAAGCATGGTTCCAGGAGCCTGGGAGATCCTCAGACCCCTGACCTTGCTCATCTGTTACTGATCAATGAGTTTCTTAGCTGAGTGTGGCTCCATTTGCAGAGTGAGTATCACAGAAGAGTTAGTTTATCCTTCTGCTAAGTTTGCATTGTTATTTTAGCATTTTAAATAGGTATAATTTATCTTAATTTTTAGATAGAGATAGGCATTTCCCTGAGTAGAGCCCCAAACTGGATGATTCAAGTGAAATAACGGAAAATTCATTCTGCTTGAGTGAGTGGTCAGTGGTTCTGAGCCATGGACTGAGTGGGGCCAGTCTGGTCTACATAGAGGTGAGAATGAAAACCCCCCTCATCCAACTTGATCTTCAAGGCAGAAATAGTGACAATATTTCATCCGTAAATGCTCCAAAATCAAATTTTTTAAAGTGCAATGAAAAGTATAGTTAATTTCAACTACTAGAATGTATTTTCTATTGGCATAAAGTTCAAGCAGAGCTTTGTGCAAATATCTCCTTCCCATATGAAACAGTCTCCTATTTCACATTTGGACAATACACATCAAGGACATGTGGGAATCCCTCAGCTGGCCCCTTCCTGGGGCTGAACTCAGTTGGGGATGCCGCTGGGCGTGCGGCTGAGAGCTAATGCCAGGATCTGCCTAGGCCAAGGACAAGGTCAGGGGAACATCACTCTCTGATCACAGGACGCACAAGATCAGCCTGAGAATAGAGCACAAAAGTTGCTAGGTCCAGGCTTGCAACACAAGCAGGGTTCTGCGCCCCCTTTCCCTGGTGAGAGTAGGCTCTAGGCCACAAACACAGCCAAGCACTCTGGAATGAGTGGAAGTGCAGACAGTGTTCACTGAACTCCTCAGCACTGTCCTGTCCAATACTGGCTCATAAAAATACCAGGCTTGGTCTCCTGCTGGGAGATTTTCACATGAACAAGGTATTGAAGGAAAACAAAGGTGAATCCACTCTGTGTGGTTGGCATCTTCAATAGACTTTGCCTGGCTGTTTTCTACATGGAGGGACCAGAAGCCCATACCCTAGTTTGGCTCACCAAACCCGCGTCTCAGAAACAATGGGATACAACCAACAGAATGGAGACAGGAGAAGCATGAGCAACAGAGTTTCTTCACCTTTGGAGCTGTCTGTTACCTCAAAAGCTGTCACTTTATGAGCTGCCTGTCACCTCAGGAGTTTTCTGTTACCCCAGAAGCTATCTGTCACTTCAGAAGTTCTACATCATCTCAGGAGCTGTCTGTCACCTCAGGAGCTGTCTGTCACTTGAGAAGCTATCTGTCACTACAGGAGCTGTCTGTCACCTCAGGAGTTCTACGTTATCTCAGGAGCTCTCTGTCATCTCAGGAGTTCTCTGTCACTTCAGAAGCTACCTGTCACCTCAGGAGTTCTATGTCATATCAGGAGCTCTCTGTTGCTTCACAAGCTGTCTGTCACTTCATGAGCTGCCTGTCATCTCAGGAGCTGTCAGTCACTTGAGAGACTATCTGTCACTTCAGGAGTTCTACGTCATCTTAGGAGCTCTCTGTCACTTCACAAGCTGTCTGTCGATACTATTTGGGCTGAGGGAACCAGTAGCACCATGAACTGTGGGAAAAGGCTTCTTCTGCAAATTCAGTGCATTTAACTAAGGAATCTCTGGGTAACCCCCAAATATCCAGGGCAATTTCTCTCCACAGACACTTGGATTGACTCTTTGTAATGCGGGCATCTACTCAGGGGAGTGGATCCAAGAGGCCCCTGTAGCTAAAAAAGTATCATCCGAGACCCCAAGACATCCAACCAGACTCCGACTGCAGGTTCTGAGCCCCACTGAACCCCTCAGATCAGTACATCCTCCCAGCCTGGATCTGACTTTTGTCTTCAGGGAAGAAGCTCAGTTCACTCCTTAGTGGCAACAGGATACAACCGACTGAACGGAGGCAGGAGAAGCATTAATAACAGAACTTCTCCATTTTTGGAGCTGTCTGTTACCTCAGAAGCTGTCACTTCATGAGTTGCCTGTTACCTCAGGAGCTTTCTGTTGCCTCAGAAGCTGTCACTTCAAGAGTTCCACGCTAAGTGATTACTTTAGTGTCTACATAAGGAGCCATAGATAGAGCGGGCAAATGACCACCATTTCTACATATTCTTTGTGCATGCACATGATATGTGTGATGGAGGCAACCAGAGAGCATGCCTGTGTGTATATGAATGTGTCTGTGACATACTACACATGTTACACATGCAGGTATATATGTACTTGTGAGTATGAGGGAGAGTCTGAGAAAGAATGAGAGGAGAGACAGAGAACATGCCCACAGATGGCCACCAATGTATCTTGTACATGAGACAGCACCAAGCTTCTCAGACTGTGGGTCTCTCATCACTGAACCTGTCTTTAGGGGAGATAGCACAGAGCCAGACTCAGCACCATCCCCAGCACAGCTGGGTCCAAAGAGCACCCTAGTGTTGGGCATGAGTGTTGGCCCAAGCATGGGGGGATCAGGGGTCCTGGGCAGTGCTCAGGAGCACCCAGATCGCTTTAGAAGAAATCTTTAAGCTTCAGTGCTGGTGAATATTTGATCTGCAGACCTGTTTATGCCCATATAGCTGCAGCCATAGAGAATGTACCCAGGATGCGTGGAAGACATTTCTGTGGGACTAGAACACGCAGAGACGGTATCAGGCAGGGGACCCCAGGGCAAGGAGCATAGAAGGCAGACACCCAGTGGGGCACAGGGGAGCCTACCGCTGCAGGCAGGCAGTGCGTGGCTCCAGGCGGGTTTGCCATCTGCCCCGATCACACAGCTGATAGAGGGTGGGTCCCCCATCCTGTAGCCAGAGTCACACTGGTAAGTCACGGTGGAGCCCAGCTTGAAGTCGGACCCAATCCTCGTCCCATTCATGATGTTTCCAGGGTCGAAACAGGCTTCCCGAGGCTTCTCTGCAGGAGAGACGAGGGAATTGCGTGAGGGCAGGATCTGAGTGTTGGGCTCAGGGAAGTCCCCAGAACTGTGAGGAGACAGAGACACAGAGACAGACACAGACACAGAGGCAAAGACAGAAACAGAAGCAGAGACAGACAGAGACAGAGATACTCTCTGACAGAACTCAGAGGCAGAGACAGACAGAGACAAAGACACAGAGGCAGAGACAGAGGCAGAGACAGCCCTGGGCACAGCTGACACGCTGTGAGAACTGATGGGCGAATCAGCTGGATGATGGTGGGAGCCACCACTTCTGCGGCTGAGTCTGTCTTTGTCCCTGTGAATGGTTCCAGGGCCTGGGCGGGTTTCAGTACGCGGGGCCAGGTGAGCTCTGTAGGGTGAGGGCCCCCTACCTTTGAACTCGATGGCAAACCCCGACAAGCCCACGGAGGCGTCACTGCGGAAGGCCAGGAAGAGGCTGTTGCCACTGCTCTCGATCCTCTCAGGTGCCTGCGTGCCCTGGAAGCTGCCCACCAGGGGGCTGTTGGAGTCGTCACCCTCGTAGATGTGCAGGAAGTCATAGCTGGGCTCCATGTTGAAGCTGCAGGAGAGGAGAGTGAATGCAGCCTGGAAGCGGCTCCCCCCTCTGGGTGGAACATTCCAGGGTGGACCCCGGGACAGGTCTGCCTTCCAGAATATTCCAGAGTAGCCCCTGGATGGCCCCCAGGAAAGCTGCCTGGCAGAGCCCTTTGTAAGACCCCCCTCTCCCCCGAAGAGATGGGTTCGTCTCACAGCAATGGTTGACACGCAGACCCCCTGGCTGGCATCTGTCCCGGGACCTCTCAGAGGAGGACAGTGGGGACACACACCACCTGACGAGCAGGTGTTGGTGGGCAGAGGACAGCTCAAACAGGCTTGTGTCCACCCACGGGTGCCGCTCACCCCATTTCAGAAAAGTGGGTCCTGGGCGAGGTGGAGAGAGGTCAGTGCCGGAGACTCTAGGCCTGTGGCTTGGAAGCCTCCAGTTTCCCTCCCTCTTGCCTTTCCCCTGTCTTTCCCCGTGTCTCTGCCTGGATGCTCAGGCCCAGGCCAGATGATCTTTGCCACTGCCTGGCAGGCCCAGGGGGTACAGTGTGGGGAGCAGGACCAGGGCCCCGACTACAGGACCAGCTCACGTTCTTTCACTCTTCAGGGACGCCTGCTGACAGCAGCTGTGACTTGGGCACCCTTGAGCACGGGTAGCCCGGCCTGGTTCCCCTGTCTCCTCACTGGGGACAATTCTGTATTCCCACGTCCTCTATCTGTACTCAGCAGACCCAGGAGGAGAGCACCCTGCATGCGCAGCTGACACCCTTCAGGCACAGCTGAGATTCCTCGGAGACACTGTGGGTCAGACACAGCTGCTGGGCTGGGGGGTGCACGCATTTCCAGCTGCAGGGCTGAGGGGGGACACTCTATCGCCAGCTGCAGGGCTGGGGAGGGGGGCATGCCATCTCCAGCTGCAGGGCTGAGGGGGGCACGGCATCGTCTGCTGCAGATACAGTGGCCCAAAGTGCTTCTTGCAGGGGGCCCCTTTCTGAGTTTCCTGGGGGGCCTGGGGGGGAGGCCTTGTCTCCCCCCTCCCCCCCCCCCACCAATCCCTAAAGATGCACTCCCTGGCCCTGAGGCTTATTCTGTTAAGGCGGGTCTTCCCGGAGTGGATCACTGATAACCCCCCACGACATCCCAGAAGACAGCCCGCAGATGCTTCCCGGGGCGGCCATGCTGAGCGGCACCATCAAGAGCTCATCACAGGTCATTTGTCACCGCTCGAACACATTCAGGAAATGATGGCTTATCAACGCTACTTAGAACCGGCCGTCGTGGTCTGAAATTACACCGAGTCAGCTCTCATCAGGGGGAGAGAGTGAAAGATAATCACAGCAGGCCGGAATATTGCTGCAAGCGTCTCGGAAAGAAAGAAAGCATGCACAATCAAGAGATAAATAAATGTAATTAGACCACTTTGCCCCGGGGAGCAGAGAGATCAATGGGAAAGGCTACAAAACACTTAGTTTTTAAAATATCGCTCTGCTGAGATCAAAAAAACCAAGATGTAAAGTTGGAAAGATCTTGAGAATTAAAACAGTGCAATCGCCACAAACAGAGTATTAATAGGATCGTCCTGTAGAACTTAAATTTGTCAAAACAGCCCTCACAGCTGCACTTGGGTCGCCGAGCCCAGCAGACAGAAGTTACGGCTAATTCCAAGCCCAACGACGCATTCAGACTCAAGGGGACCAAGCGGGCAGTTGAGCCCGCAGTGTAGACTACCTCGGTGATGAGACCAAGGGGCCAGAATGGACCCATCCCACACCCAGGGAAAGCATGAGGAGCGGCCTAGTACTACTGCCGCTTTCTCTGCCCTAGAAGGGGCACTATGCAGTTTCCGGGACCCCCTTGTCTGGCGGGCTGACCCTGGACTTGGTCCCATCAAGTCCTGCACTGTGGAACCACAGACCAGCATGTTCTAGGCCCAGTTGGGAGGAACCACTCCCACAGCACCCCCAGGGGGCGCCACTGTACCTTTTGAAGATTAAGGCGATGACGAAGTCGGGGTTCACCCTGATCCTCCAGTCACACTCCTTCCCAGGGGGGTAGGGCTGCGGGTAGTTGGGGGACAAGATGACGCCCGCTGGCCCCGTCAGATTCCCGCCACACGCCGCTGCCACGGGAGAGAAAGAGGTGTCAAGTGACTGGCCACAAGGACCATGGGCCCCCAGAACTTCCCTCAGCGCACACACTCATGTCATACACACTCACAGCCTGTGCGTCACACACAGATACATGCTCACATGTGTGCATCTCTACACGCAACACAGCACGCCTAGTCTGCACATCACATGCATGTGCACACACATGCCCCTCACATGTGCACACACGCACACACATGCACACACAGACCGCACCTCAGTGGCAGTTAAGACACAGGGGCACACTTTTCAGTGCTCCGTGTGTCTGTGTCACTAAACATGCACGCAGCATTCTTGAAAACCTAATTTTCCACAAGAAGAAATATAACAAATCGCCTTATCATTGCTGACTCATCTGAGGCAAACACCGGGGAAACTGTTCACAAGGTTTCCTGACGCATCCAGGGTCAGGCACTTGGGAACAATGATGGACACTCGGGGACATAGTCGGCGGCCCTGCCCACACCCGGCCTGTGTCCCCACAGCCCCCATGGCTCTGTCTGCGCCCATCCCTGGAAGCCAGGACACACAGCGGGAGATGGGATTCGTGTGGGGCCAGGTCACACAAGGACCCAGGGTCACAGCACGCCGTGGCAGGCTAAGGGACCCAGGAGAAGGGGGATGGTGGGGCCCCTGGCGGCCCTGCACAGAGCTGCACCCCCAGGGGGCTTTCAGAGCACCCACACAGACTGACTACACTCCCAGGAAAGAGGAAGTGTGGCTCAGACGCCACAGGGACACTGCAGAGTGAACAGAGAACAGAGACACTGCGGAGATACCACAGACACCATCACAGACATACCACAGAGACACTACAGAGATACCACAGACACCATCACAGACATACCACAGAGACACTACAGAGACACCACAGAGAGACTGCAGAGATGCCACAGAGACACCACAGAGATACCACAGAGACACTCTAGAGATACTGCAGAGACACTACTGACCCATTTTTCAGCCACACCCACAAACATCTCCTGCACATGCATGGGAACCAGAGCAGGTATAAAAGGACACATGATTTCTGCTCTTCCTCTTAAGGAAAGCGTAGAAATTGTCTGCCATGAGCACATATGGTCTCCTCATAAGAAAAAAGCTAAACAAAACCACAATCCAAACAGAAAATTAAGTGATCCAAATCCGCAGATCAGAGGTGTGTGGGAGCAGAGAGGCAGGGGCTGAGCGACAGGGGCCTGAGTCTTGTTTCTGGAAACGGGTGTTCCAATGCCTGGAGTGGGCATCGTCCTCCTTCCCTCAGCACCCTCTCTCTGCCTTTCCTCTGTGTGTGTGGGGGGGAGCTTCCAGGGCTCCTGTGCTCAGCTGCTGTCTGTGTGGATTCTCCATCCTGTCAAAAGGAGGACCTGAGAGAATCTCGAAGACTGCATCAGCTGGGAAGGCGATCAAATGTCACAGGTAAGTGAATGCCCACAGAGGAGCTTCCAGAGGCAGAAAGATAAATGCTGGCGCTTGCACAGATTCTTGCTTGGGCTTCTGATCACATCAAATCAGGGGGGAAAAGGATAAAAGAAAAGCACCTTTGCTAATTAAAAAGCAGGCTGAGGGTTGAAAAAGATTACTGTGCTTATCAGTAATGTCTCCACTTTAGAAAAGCAACAGAGAGATCTTCCCCGCCTCCTGATGACTCAGCTGGAAATGAAATTCACGACTATAGCTGCAAAACGGTCCAAATGAAATGCAGCCTGGATATTAAATAGACATGCAGAGCCCGTCCCAGCATGCATGATAATCAGCCGTCCTGCCAGTCCCTTCATCTGCAGATACACAAGAAAGATTTGGCAAAGGGCATGGTGCCAGCTGACCCTCTCTGGAGCTGCTGGGAGGGACATGGAGGTCACTTGAAATAGGACATTCTCTCCTCACAGATTAATTTTCAAACAGTTGAGGGAGAACAAACAAAGCCTGGGGAACTTCATCAAAATAAAAAATCTCAACAGCAATTCTTGAAAAAAAGTGGGGAGAGGTCTGCTCAGATGATCAACAGCTAAAGGGGCCCTCTGCTGACAATTACATGTGGATGGTGCTAAAAGGCTGCCAGGGGTGGGCGATTTCATTTCACTATAGCCTGTGAAACCGAGTCCCGTCATCTTAGCAAGTTCAAACTATAGAGTCCCAGCGAGCTTCAGAAACAGCTTCCCTGTGCTTCTGACTTTGACATAAGCAGCATCATTTCTAGGGTGGGCTGTTTGCTTTTAAGCTGCAGATACTCCAAAAAAGCCACGTGATAAGAAAAAAGCTATTTTGTATTGAGTCCTTTCCACTGCAGAACATGAGTCCCTATCACACACCAGAGCACGGGCGGGCAGCCTATGAGTTGTCAGCCATGGAATTCTAAGTTACAATGATTTGATGGATTCCTATTTTTTATAAGGGTACATAAAGATAGGAAATGTCAGGTAAATGTCAACCACCAAACACTGAGTGAATGCCTCTTGAACGTCACCGAGAAGATGGGGTGGAGAGACTCACAGCTACGGCCCTGTACTGTCTGCAGGACCCTGCAGATGGGGGCAGCCCCTCTAGGGTACCCGGCACCAGCAGCCCCCGAAACGCAGCGCCTACCGATGCATGTGGGAGGGTCCGGCTGCCAGAAGAAGCGGCTGTTGAGCTGCACGCAGGTCACCTTCGCCTGCCCTTGCAGCTGGTAGCCGGAGTCACACTGGAAGGTGACGGTGTCTCCCGGCTCTCGGCTGTCCCCATAGCGAGTGCCGTTCTGGGGCATGCCCGGGTCGTTGCAGGTGGATGCGACAGAGGCTGCAGAGAGAGAGAACAGAGTGGGGAGTGATCAGAGGAGGTGTGGGGAGGGTTTTGGTGGATGCTATGCTCGGGGAGCACCGTGCGTCTGTCCTGCCCCCAGAGGCATCACAGCTTGGCCCTGTAGGGCAGCAGATTCCTCCTGTGATGGACATGCTGCCACGGGGGCCAAGACTGGGGTAGAGCACACATGTCTTCCCAAACCTCTCCAGAGAGCATACCCATGAGAAGAAGCTGGATTCCCTCGATGATGTGACAAGGCTTGGAGAACCTGAGCTGACTGAAGTGCCCATAGTCTGTGCTCCCTGGCCATTCCAAGTGGGCCTGTCTCTGGGGAAACAGCCAGAGAACCAGGCATCCCTCTGTCCAGGCCCTGAGCCCACAGCCTCTGCGGCTGGTGACAGCCTACAATAGCCCCTTTGCTCTGGACAGATGTCCATTCATCCAGAATGATCTCTCCTGCTTGCTGAGGTCACACTGCACTATGCTGGTAGGCGACTCAGGGAAATAAAGGCGTGCCCATGCTACATTAGGCTCACAGGGCACGCCTGAGACTGACCCTCTCTGTCCGGCTGTCCCTCTGCAGACTTTGACTTGGGGGATCAGGCTAATGGCTCAGCAGTGAAGCTCTGGGTTTGGTCCCCAGAACCACAGGAAAAGAGAGCTAAGGCTCCAATTCAGACACGGCATTAGGGACTTGTCCTGATTTTCGTGAAAACCCTGAAGATCTTGCTTTTCTGTAGACGAGGAGAAGAATTTGGAATTTCACCACAGTTTAGTAGAGAACAGACTCTCCCATCAGCTGGGGGTGGGGGTGGCAGAGACGCAGAAACACGACGGTCTCCCGGTTATTCCGCAGACAGCGAGTGACGTGGTCAGAGCTGCCCCTCACCCACACCCAGGGTCTCTTTCGCACACCCGGGGTCTCTCTTGCACACCCGGATCCATGGTGCTCAGTGGGGTGGCTGGTGGGTGGCGGGCGTCTCCACAACCCCAAACTGCTGCTCTCAGAATTAGGAGCCTAATCTCTCAAAACAGAAACAGACCCTGGCTCTACACCCCACGGGGCCCCTCCAGGAGACCACTGTCAGGAGACATCCCTGAGGACTGAGCACAGAGCCAGGAGTCAACCCTGAGCACCACTGGGCGGGATCCCCCAAATCTCTCTCCCCAAACGGAAACTCCGTCGTGATACAAATAAGTATGATTTAGTACTATTTGTAGTCAAATTAGCAATAACTAGAAAACAAAATCATTATATATTAGGATGATTTAAAATATTAGCGTGTAGAAGACCAAGAAGTCATGAATAAAGCTCATGGTAAACTTTAAAATCAAGATGAGTGATTCTGACTTCTTTTGAAAATTTCATTTCAATGTTCGTTGAAAGTAGAAGCACATAATCCCCACCAAAGGAGCTCGGGCTCCAAGGTGAGCACACTTGCACAGGACGAGGATTTTACACACAAGCCTTGGGGAGCCTGTTTCTGAGAGCGAGTGACGGCATCTCCGCTCCACCACAAGGAGTGAATCTCCCCGTCCTCACTCCCCTGCATAGGTCCTTGCTGTGTGTCGGGGACAAAAGGCTCGTGGAAGCCTGGGGCACAGCCCTGCGCCCACCTCCTTAGCACCAGTTGAACCCACCATTTCCTGAACTGCACACGGTTCGTGGGGTACATTCTGTGACTCAAAATCTTACAGGCGACAGCCACAGATGACCGGTCCACAGGCCTGGTGTGGACCCCCTGGCCCAAAGCACCTTTTAGGAGCTGAGGCTGGATCCACTTTCCCAAGGACACCCCCCACTTCTGAGCCAGAATCTCACTTGGACTAGCTCTGGCAGGAACATGATGGGAAATTCAGCCACACAGGCAGTACTGTTGCAGAAGCAGCAGGACAGGGAGGCCACATGACTAACAAGGACAGTGTTCACTGGCCAGGACAGCGCCCACAGGTGAGTTCGAGTGAGACCGTCTAACTCTGTGCTAGGAGAGGACCCATCTCGCTGATGCTTCTCTGATGATGGGGAAGTCCAGGAAGCGAACCCCGAACTGCTTTTCCTCTGAGAAAGATAAGACTAGACCCAGAGGCTTCCAGAAACCCAGTTAGGGTGAAAAGCAGGAAGTTTCAGACAGGACACAGCACGCTCCTGACTCAACTTGCTCTGAAGTATTTTTCTCCAAATGGGATTTGGGTGAGTGAATCCTTTCAGTATCTTGCCACAAAAATGCCGTGATCTGAGCCACATCTGGCCTCTGATATAGCATGTGGCCCCTGCAATGGCGAGAGTGTGAGTTCAATGATGAGGAGACAGTCCCAAGGACACTGAGGACAGAGACACTCAAAGGTCTACCCCACATCTTGTCTTCCAGAGCCCAGAGCTCCCTGCCTAACCAGAGAAGCCCAGTTTCCCCCAGAGGGGACCCAGCAGGGGGCATTGTGGGCACTGAGTCCGGCCTTCTATTGTGAGCCACGGCCCCTGGCGCTCTGGTTGCTGTGAGCCCGTTTACAGGGGGCACGGGGATGCCTCCCCTTCCTGGTCTATGGGATAAAAACCCAGAATGGGATCAGAGCCTGGGGCGGGGGGGTTGTGCTCTGGAAACAAGAATGAAGAGCACTGTGGGAGGAGTCGCCTAGCTACAGAGAAGCAGCCGATGCAAACCACCATGTGAAGGAGAGGTTCAGACATCAGGCACAATGCAGTCCTTAGGACTCTCGGTGCCCCATATAATCTGCCACTGCAGTTCTCGGTGACGTTCTTCAAAGAGAGACATTGGTTTTCAGGGTCTTTCTCCCTGACAGGGACTGCATAGCTATGACAACACACCCCAAAGTGAGGTGTTCTAACCTGAGTCTAAATCGGGCTTTACCACTGTAAAAGGTGAGAAAGAAACTTCAGCACGCGACAAAAGAAAAAAATAAAAAACAAAAAAACAGCCCCTTTGATCTTCCAATGGAGAGTGAATTTAATCAAAGGCTTCATGCCAGCAGGAAGGACGATTCTCACGTAGCAGCTGGTAAACTGGGCCACACGCACGCCTGCCAACACTAGCCGGGTCCAGGGTCACCTTTCCTCACAATTATTCTCATCAGGTAGAACCAGGGTGTCTTGATCTGTGCAACATGGTTCTTTTGTTTTAAATTAATTGGCTTAAGTTCCCATTTTAACATTACTCTTTAAACGTGATCCAGGGGCTGGAGCAATATAGCACAGCAGGTAGGGCATTTGCCTTGCATGTGGCTGACCTGGGTTCGATTCCCAGCATTCCATATGCTCCCCCGAGCACTTCCAGGAGTAATTCCTGAGTGCAGAGCCAGGAGTAACCCCTGTACATCACTGGAGATGATGTAAAATTAAAAAAAGCAAAATAAATAAATAAATAAATGTGATCCAAGGCTTCATTGTCGATTGTTGAAACAAGAAAACCAGCGGCCCACAGGAAGCACCCCATGTAGGGGACCCAGCCAGTCTGAGATCCATGGGAAACGCCCCATATAGAAATCCCAGCCAGTCTGCAGTTCTTTCTGGTTCTAGACCTTCTTGCGTGTGGGACTCTCGTTTTGAGAAAGGAATGGTGGGTGTGGAATATTTCAGAGACCAGAACCTCTTGCTGGTGAGGGTGTTCATGCCTTTCTGCAATCCCACATTACCACATCGGTGAGAAACAGCAAATCCAGCCTGTTTGTTCTCCGGAAACAGAACTTGTGAGCTCTTTAGAATTCCATTTACAACTTGAAATCTCATAGCAGCAGAGATACGCAGATTTAGAATGTCTGTTAGCTTCGTGGCATGGGTGATCCTTTATTCAGTTTTGTTAAGTTTTCAGCTTGTTTATACAAAATGTGATAGTCACAGCCAAGCCCTCACCCGCTCCTTGGGGGTTTGCAGTTGGTGGGATCCTCCACTCTCTCCTGCAGGCAGAGACAGAGACAGACTCGCAGGAAATGCTGAGTGTCAAAGCTTTCTCCAAAGGTCCTGCCCAGTGGCCAAAGCTCTCCTGAGAAGGAACACACAGCTGTTCCCTTCTGTGAGCTTTAAAACTATTCAGTGGCTGTGGCAATGCCCGGGAACAGAATGCTGGCAGGGCTAGGAGAAAGTGAGTTCATGTTTTAGTATCTGCCTGTTGCTCCACCCAGCCATATCCCCTCCATCATATTGCTGGGCGACGACTGTCTCAAACTCCAGCACAGGCTCCAAAACAGGTATCTGGACAGTGGGCCAGAGAAGAGCCAGCGTCCATCTATGTCCAGAACTGAGAGCGATCAGCAGGGACCCCCATATGCAGAGGAAAGTGCCCATCAGAGTGGTCGGGCATCTACCTCTGGAGCGGTGGTCATCAGAGTTGGTCAAGGCTCACTAGGCTTTCTCAATTTGCCCGATCATTGACGCCTCCTCAGCCCCATCACTGATGCCCCCTCAGCCCACCATGAAGCCCCCTCAGCCCCATTACTGACGCCTCCTCAGCTCCATCACTGAGGCCTCCTCAGCCCCATCACTGACTCATCCTTAGCCCCATCATTGATGCCTCCCTAGCCCCATTACTGAGGCTTCTTAGCCCATCAGTTGACACTGACACTGATTTTCATGTGGCAATTGACCTTTGAGGTAGATCAGTGAAAGGCAGAACTGAATCAGGTCAGGTGTTCAACTGCAGACATACGTGGGGCCAGTGACTGTTGTACAGATCCAGGTGGTACCCATTTATGAACTACAGCCATGCAGGGGAGTGTGTGTGTGTGTGTGTGTGTGTGTGTATCTGTACAGACCCCTGTTGTACAGATAAGTCTGTACAGGTGTGGTGGGGTGTAGCTGTGTAAATTTTTGCTGTACATCTGTGCAGGAGTAGTTGTTTGTGCCTGTGCATGTGTGTAACTATGCAATTTACAGCTGTGCAGGTGCAGGTGTGTGTGTGTGTGTGTGTGTGTGTGTGTGTGTGTGCATGTACCGGGTTTATTATACAGCCTCCAGTCTTGCAGGTGTGTGTGGGGTGTGAGCCTGGGGTGTCTGCTTTGGCACCCTCTCTGTGGGTCACACACTCAGGATTCTGCTGCCCAAGATTATGGGGAAGTGCTCAATACCCTTCTTCTCATGGACACACATGTTGCTTCACGTGTTCACATGACACATACATGCGTGAACTCTGTTAATGTTGGGCACAGACCTGTGGAGAGTTAACCCCCTTTGTCTTGCTGAGTTTATCCATTTGGATCTGCCCCTCTAACGTCAGTTATTTCTCACCCTCCTCAATGAGTTTGCATGTTATTAGGGAGGACGGCTTTAAGTCACTTTAAATGCAATTGGACACACACCTCTGGGTGATTGCTTTTGTAATCAGACTCATCCCTAGGAATGCAAATGGGAGAAGAAATATACAAAACTAATTATTTTAGGGAATTCACAGTCTCAGTAGAGCCAATAACTAAAATATATTAAAAATCAGCAGAAAATGAACCTAGATGCAAACACGAGACACGGGGAATGAAACAAAGACCCCCGGGGTGGGGCAGAGGACACGTGTCACTACAGATAAGAGGAAGAACATGGCAGGGATGGGTGTGAGAGCCGGTCACGCATCCCGGCACGGTCTCCTGAGAAGAAAGCAAAGGCGAGAAGAGGAAGGAGCCTACAGCCCTGAGCACGAGGGCAGTGGGGGCCCCAAGGATATGCAGAGGATGAAGGTGGCGTGCCTGGTGGTCAGGCTTCCAGCCCAGATGGGGAGTCTGGCAGGTGGTGGGCAGACCTGGGTGCTCTCTTCAGCCCAGCCCCCACCAGCTCCAGGAAAGGCCAGGAGGGGAGCTGGGGAAGACGCATCCCAGGTCACTGAATGAAAACCAGATGTGTCACCAGCAGAACCCTAGCAGCTGTTTGAGGGGCCCCTAAAGCATGGCAGACGGGGCTGAGGTGTAAGTCACACCTTGGGGGCTGTGCCTCGTATTCTGTAGAGCCACAGAGGCACAGCAGAGGGAGGAGGAGATGGGGCACAGTCAGGGAGGGGCACGGAGCAGCCGCCCAGTCAGAGGGCACCTCTGGAGGGTGACCCTGGAGGCCCTGTGAATGCACACATGTCACGTGTCAGTTACACGCTTAGGACTGTAGAAAATGATTCATCCTCCAATATGAGAAAGTGCACGTCCAGGCGGATCCCAGCTAGACCCCTGCGTTCCCCAGGGCCGGGGGGGCCACAGGACCCACTGCACCTATAGGCAGCCCCTCTCCAAGGACAAGAGGGTCCTTCTCCCTCTCTCCTCCAAAGACCACCTGCCACAGCTCACAGCCACAGCTGGAGACACTCCCACTTGCCAAGCCTGAGATGAAGGGGGACAGAGGGGAGAGACACGGGGGAAGGGCAGGAGAGGGGACAGATAGGGGAGAGACATGGGGAAGGGACAAGGAGGGAACCAGGGGAGGGACATGGGAGAGGGTCACAGGGGAGGGTCACAGGGGAGGGACACGGGGGGTCATACAGAGGATCATGGGGAGAGACCGGGAGAGACACAGGGCCCTGGACTGCGCCCAGCTCCACCTACTGGAGAACTGGATGGAGAAGCCGGACTTGCTGATGAAGAAGTCGCTGGAGAACTGCAGCGTGAGTGAGTTGAAGGTGCTATGGGTGTCGCCGGGCAGTGCCGAGCCGCTCCACTCCTTCAGCAGGATGGCGCTGTCCAGTGGCCCGTCCCACACCTTCAAGATGTCGTGTGCCAGCTCCGTGTCAAACACGATGAAGTGCAGGCTGTGGGGACAGAGAGCCGGATTCGGGGAGGGCCGGGTGGCTGCAGCCTGGGTGGTTGGGCAGGCAGAGAGGGCTGGGCTTGGGGCTGACTCTGGGTGGCCACTGTGTGGTGACATGCCCACGGGGAGCTCAGGGCAGTGATACCATTGCCGGGGCAGAGGCACCGCTGCACTGAGCTGATCCAGCCCGGGAGGGGAGGCAGGCAGGAGGGTGGTGTGGAGGGGAGGGTGTGAGCAGACAAAGTTGCCTTTCCCATCCAAGCCTGTCCACTGCAGGAGGTTGGTTTCAAACACAGGGCAGCTCCGGGGGCTCTGGCCAGTGGCCACCACAACACAGGAACATTGGGGGAGGGGTGACAGTGCACCCACACTGCACCAGTGTTCCAAGTCTGCAGGGACAGTTTTGCCTATGTTTGACGCCTCTCATACTTCCACACTTTGTGAACTTTATGAAGGAATTCCTGCCAGTGCTGGGGAAATGGCAAGTCCTCAGGGACAGAAAGGCCACGAGGGAGGGCACCGCATCCCTGCATGCAGGCCCCAAGGGAGGGTGCAGGGACAACCCTGAGGGCAGGTCCCATGGGCCAGGCCCCGCCCCACCGGCCAGGCCCCACCCACAGGTCAGGCCCCAGCCCGCCCACTGGTCAGGCCCCACCCCCACGCTCAGGAGACATTTTCTTTCAGATGTCAAAGGTTTATTTACTTAGAACTTCTCTTGCAATTTTATTTCCAAGAGCTAGAAGGAACTTTAAAGGTGTATTCCTTGGTGTAAACCAGCGTAAGTCACTCTTTGCAGGTGAATCTAATACCTCATTCAAATTTTAATAAGAAGAGAGAAACTAAATTATTAAAGAATGAGTTGAGGTAATAAAAAATTTATGACTTTGCTATCAATACTGACTTTAATATTTAGCCATTAATGTTGTAGAAAAAAAGACAAATGCCAATTAGTTGTTTGGGGAAATTTTCTTCTCTCATGTTTAAAATGAGAGTTTACCTTAAAAATACGTGGAGGGGCTGGAGTGATAGGGCATTTGTGGGAGGGCACTGCCTTGCAGCGGTCACCTGGGTACCATCCTGGCATCCCATATGGTCCCTGGAATTCCTTAGTGCAGAGCCAGGAGTAACCCCTGAGCATCACCAGGTGTTACGCAGCCCCCAAAAGCCAACATATATATATGCATATATATGTATACATAGGACCTTTTACATGTATCTAAAATTTTTATTTAAAGAACTGTAATTTCCAAAGTCATTTATGGTTGAATTTTAGGCATGCATTTCCTATGTAATAAATATCAGGCATACACTGTTTCCACCAGCCTCACCACCAGAGTTCCCTCCCCTGCATCTCCCACTTCAGGCACAAACTCCCCTGGAGATACAGAATGAAGCACCAGTACCTGATGGTCCTGCCCGGGTCCGCCTCGATCACCCACGTGCAGTGCAGGTTGTTGTCGTAGGGCGCAGGGTAGCCTGGAGACAGGATGCGCCCGGAGGTGGCCGCCTGGATCCGGCCCCCGCACTCCGCTGCAAGGGACACCAGGCGGTGGGGGAGGGGAAACGCCTCCATAGGCACAAGCAGGGGGCCCCACCAGCTGGGGGGGACATAGGGGCCCCGTTCATGGGGAAGGCCCCGCCCACAATTCCCCGCCCACCGTAAGGCCCCGCCCCCACCAAGCAGGCCCCGCCCACAATTCCCCGCCCACCGTAAGGCCCCGCCCCCACCAAGCAGGCCCCGCCCACAATTCCCCACCCACAGTAAGGCCCCACCCACACCAAGCAGGCCCCGCCCACAATTCCCTGCCCACAGTAAGGCCCCACCCCCACCAAGCAGGCCCCGCCCCACAGTGCAGGCCCTGCCCCCACCTTGCAGGGTACGCCTCACAATTAGGCCATGCCCCACGAAGGGACCCCTAATCCCACTGAGTGTGCCCCACCCACATAGCAGGCCCCACCCATGATCAGGCCCCACCCCACCATGCAGGTTCTGCCAACAGACCAGGCCCTGCCCACCCGCCCTGAGCAGGCCCCGCCCCCGAGCAGACTCCACCCCCATCCCTTTGTCCCTAGCATCCCTGCTCACCCACGCAGGTGGGCACCGGCTGGTCCCACACCCTGCGGTCTCCACTCAGGCAGGTGAGGCTACTGCTGCCCCGCATGGCATAGCCGGGGTTGCAGCTGTACACCACGGCCGTGTCCGAGAAGTGCCCTTCGTCCCGGATCCTGTAGCCGTAGTTGGGGGTCCCTGGGTCCTCACACTTGAGCAGATCAAAGCCTGGGGGCAGGGGCGTTGGGGAACAGATGGTGAGAAACAGGCCCGTGTAGACCCGGGTAGGGGCTCGCCAGCTGCCTCTGGCAGACGGGGGAGGAGTCTTCTTTCCTGGGGAGGGTCATGCTCAGGGATCACTCCTGGTGGGGCTAAGGGCACCCTATGGAGTGTTGGGGTGGGCCTGGGTCAGCCACATGCAGGCCTAGCACGTTAACCTCAGTGCCCTCCCCTGCAGGCACCAAGAATCTCAGAGATCCAAGGGTATCTGCGGGCCCAGCACCCGGCCTGGCCCTCTGCATTTCAGCAGGGCTTGTAAACTCAGGTACCTTCGTGGGACTGTGGGAAACCGCATCATTCTGCAGTGACTGTGAAATGGATCTGTGTCCATTGGTGTGGTTGATTCAAAATAGTTCAACAATAGTTAAATGATTTTCATCTAGAGCAAATCTGGAGTATACCCCTGCTCTGAGGAGGCTTGCCCACCCCTGTCAGACCTAAGGGGGTTGGAAGCATTCGCTGTGAGGCCAGCAGTCGGGCCAAGGCTGCCCGCCCCCCGGGAATGGTAAGTTGCCATGGGAAGGCCTCTTGGTGTTTGGCTTCTGGAGAGTACAGGAGGGTGAACTGGTGGCTGGAGTCAGTCTCAGCCCACGGGGGCTTGGAGACCACCATTGTCTCTCCAGGCCTCTCCTACAGCCACAGGCAGGAAGCGGCCATGGGCAGCACTGGCTGGAAAGAGCCTGAATTCCCAGTGAGGACCCTTGTGGCTTTGTGTGCCAGGAGTCCAGAAAGTTCTGTGTCAAGGTCGCCCTACAGGGTGGGTTCTCCTCTCCCCTGGGGACCCGGACCCCGACTCCTGGAGCTTCATCTCCGGCCAGGTGGGGCCGGTCAGGCGCATGTCCACCTGCAGGTTCCCCACTCTGTGAGCTCTGAGTGAGTGGCTGAGGCTGTACCATTGCTGACTTCCAGAACCTGCTGGAAGGAATCTCAGCCCTGCCCTGAAGCCAGGGCACTCGGTCTGGGGACTTTTCTTATGTGACAAAAAAAATCCTCCAGTCATCTAAGCAAACATGTCCTGTCCAGCAGCAGCCATGCCCAGTGGGGGGCTGGAACGCTTCCATGACTGCGTGTAACAAAAGGAACAGCAGCAGGACACTGACAGGTTTACATCCATATCTGCATGTGCTCCCAAATGGTGCTCAAGGGCCCCAGGGCCACCCTCAATGGGATGACGGTAGGACCCATATACCCCCCATATACCCAAGGAATCTCAGTGGTTCTTGACCAACCCACTGAACAGTCAATGTCCAGACCTGCCACCAGGAATGGCTGGAGGAGATGGCGTGTTGTGGTACAGGGCAGAAAGCAGAGACCTCGGGCTCAAGAGCCCGTGCGTCCATCCTTTGCCCTTGCCCTGAAGTAGCCCTTCTCAAAGGGATGATGTTGACCTTCAGGCCACCCAGAGGGAAGCACCACTCAGGACGAGAGAACCCAACAACACACACGTTCCTTTGGGGTCCATCGGGGGAGCTCACTGGTAGTGAATTTCCTGAAATATCTGATTCATGTTTTAAACACAGACCCTGTTAATCAGGCATGGCATTCTTGGTGAAGTGTGTGTGCGTATTTGATTTTCAAATCATTTCTATTGAATTACTATAATGGAAAATCATTCTCTATTTTATAGTTACATATAAAATATGTTTTTTTTCAGCTAGCATTGGGACTAGTTTTGAATTGATATTTTGATCAGCGGTTCTTTTCTTTTATCATTGATGCTGTTACTTGGTGATTATGTCATCTTCCTCCATGGGTACGGACCTCTGGATTTTAAAAAAAATTCTTAGCTGGATAGGGATCACATTGCAATAGAAAGGTGGGTTTCAGAGTGCCAGAATGAAGCATCAGAATGCCTGTCCGAGTGTGGAGAGGCCACGTTACCAGCCTGAAATGCCTGTATGAGAGTGGAGAGGCCATGGGTACCTGTCCCATGAACTCTTCCCTGAAAACGTGGTGCTTCATCTAAATGTGTCGTGAGGAATCACGGAGGCAGGGAGAGCTCGCTGAGCAACCCAGTTAGATCCTAAATGCACCCACCCACCTGGCTGCCCCTTAGTGCAAGCACAGGACCTGGAGTCACAGGGTCCAGACCACAGGATCCAGAACCATGGAACCCAGAGCCATAGATCCAGAACCACAGAACCCAGAGCCATAGATCCAGAACCACAGAACCCAGAGCCATAGATCCAGAACCACAGAACCCAGAGCCTCAAGATCTAGAACTATAGAACCCAAGGTCTTAGAATCCAGAACCACAGAACCCAGAGCCTCAGGATCCAGAACCACAGAACCCAGAGCCCCGGGATCCAGAACCACAGAACCCAGAGCCCCAGGATCCAGAACCACAGAACCTCCCCCAGTTCTCAGTGCTGAAAGCACACGCCTGAGTCTGAACTCCCTGGGGTCTGCTCCTTCTTGTCTGCTTCCGGCCCCTAAATCAAATGACATCAGGAGGATGGCAGAAAAGCCCCCTCGGAACCATCACAATCACCAAGTGGAGAGGCGGGGGAGCAGGTGGGGGGGCAAGTCCTGGATCTTGAGTGCGAGGGGCAGGAGGGATGTAAAGGTACCGATCTGCAGGCCCTGCATCCCAAGCCCACTCCCAGACCTGCTCAGTCTCTCAGAGGCTCCCACCCTGCCCACCTGTGCCTTTCTTCCAAGTCCAGCCCCAGAGCCCCTGCGATCTCCTGAGATTTCTTACAAGTCCCACACAGGGAGCCCTCCTCACTGCTGCACTTCCTCACGCCGCACAAGACCAAAGCTTGTTCAGGGCAGAAAGGAGGTGGGAATGAGCTGGGCAGTGAAGCAAGACCTCATGCTGGTGTCTGTCCACTCTGAAAGCCCTATTACAGTGCTCAGAAACTCACCTTCCTGCTGGAATATTATTCCCATGCAGTTGACTAGGGGTTCCCCCCAGGAAATCCAGGGTGTTTCCATGGACACAGCTCACTCTGCTTCACGGACGCTTTATGAGCTCTGCTTTGTTAATAAGTGCTTCGATTTTAATGAAACAGCAAGCTTCTAATGATACCCAGGCATATTTAAAACACCTCGGCACTCATGCCAGTCTGTGCTGTTTGTCCATCTACTTTGTGTGTCCATCTGTCTTTGCCAGCCTGTGCCAGCCCGATGCACCCTGCAGCTCTGCCAATCTTCTGTGTACAGCCTAGGTCAGCCCACAAGCTCTGAAGACTGTGCAACCAGAAACTTGTTCTGAGCCCAGCCTGGGGCTCAGGGCTGTTTTGATGGTATCCAGGATGATCGTGTGCCCATGTGAGGTGGAGTGAGGGAGCCAGAGTGGGGGCCACCCCCAGCTCAGAGCCCAGCCCTCCACGGAGGGGTCTGTGCATGAGGATCTCTGCAGCTGTCACCCGCTACATCTCCCTCTAGGGTCCCTCCTGGCTGATGGGGCCACACGGGCACTCCAAGGCTGTCCAGAGTGCCCTGCCCATCCTTGGATTAGAAGCAAAGGCACCCCCTCTCCATCCAACCACTTGGAGCCTCTGTCCACTCTGGTACGTGTGAGAAAGTAGTAGGGACCAAATAGTGGGTGCTGCGGGGACAAGCAGGCTTAGGGCTCGCAGCAGAAACCAGAAGGCTGGCATCGGGTTCCCGCAGCTCAAACCTGAAAGACGATGGGGCCCAGCAGCAAGGCAGAAAGCCCAAGCGCAGCTGCTGGTGGCCACTCAACCTTGGGGACACGGGAGCCACACGACACACCTGTGATGGTTGAGGAACCACGGGACTCGACTGAGGCCCCAGGACAAGCCAGGGCCCCTCTGGAGAGATGAGCTGTGTGGGGCCCCAGAGCCACCCATGGCAGTACCCGCACCAACTCAAGGAGGACTATGGCCAGCACTACCTTCTACCTGTGCTTCCCAGGCTGCGTGGGGCTGCCCATGGCGCCTGCTCTGCTGTCTCTGTGCCTCTGGGTCTCAGATGTCCACTGTGCCTGGGTGGGCCTGGAGAAAATCTGTGGGATTCTGGGTTGCTGTGCATAAAGTGGGTATCATGCATGAAGAAGAGTGATATTCAGGACACGAGTACGGCTCAGGAAGGCAAGTGCGATTCATGAATGTGAGTACTGCACAGGAGGACAAGTACTGCTCGTGAATGTGAATCCTATGCTTGGAGACGCTGTTGTTCATAATTGTGAGCACCGTACATGGAGATGAGCACTGTTCATGAGCGTGAGCGCTGTCCCGAGGAGGGGTACAATGCAGAGATGAGTACGATGATGCAGATGAGCACTGTCTGCAGAAATTAGTACTGTGTGTGAGGACAGTGCACGGAGAAGGGTACTGTGCATGGAGAAGAGCACTGTGCATGGAGAACAGAACTGTGCATGGAGGATAGTACTGTGCACAGAGATGAGTACTGTGCAAGGAAAGGATTACTGGCGAATGAGAAGAGTACTGCAGATGGAGAAGAGTACTGTGCACGGGGAAGAGTAAAGTGCATAGAGAAGAGTACTGTGCACGGAGAAGAGTACTGTGCACGGAGAAGAGTACTGTGCATGGAGATGAGTACTGTAGATGGAGAAGAGTACTGTGCATGGATAAAAGTACTGCTTATGGAGAAGAGCACTGTGCATGGCGAAAAGTCCTACTTATGGAAAAGAGTACTGTGCATGGAGAGGAGGACTGTGCATGGAGAATAGTACTATTCATGGAGAAGAGTACCATGCACAGAGAACAGTACCATCTACCCAAGCCCACAATTCCCAGGATGGTAGAGTGGGAATGTGTGCGAGCTTACTGCAAATATTAAAGGATAAACACAATTTGCGCTCATTTGTAAAAAGACTTCAGGATGTTTATCAAGCTATATATTTATTCTCTAGACATTCCGGGATCCACTCATGTGTGTAGATTAGTTATGGACCTGAAACATTTAAATATGAATGTTTCTTTAAGTAATGCAATTAACTAGCAAGAGATAATTACAAAAGGCTTTGGAAAATAGTTGAAAGTGTCTTTACATAGTCTGAGGCTTTAATAATAATTGGCTCAAACTCTTTTCTAAGCATTCATTACTCTCCAGCCCTCTTCCAGGGATGCAGATTCGACTTGGGCGTCATACCACATCTTGGAGCCTGCGATTTCTTGAGCTTAATTACTTAGCATTTAATCTATGAATTTAATGAGAAGCTAAAAATGTTTTGATTACATAGGCATCGTGCCATCCATCCGATATCCCAGATATCTTTCCCCTCCGGCAGAGCGTTCAGCTTGAGCAAGTAAGACGCCCACCCGGGGGTCTGTGTTTTGGTAGGTGGAGACAAATTGGCAAGCAGGCAGAAAAGCCAGCTCAGTTCTCCTGCCAAAGCGATGAGACCCTGGGCTACATTTCCATCTCTGTCAGTCCCGGTAGCTCCTGACGTTAGAATTGTGTGCTGCCGGGGGCACTGAGCACAAAGGATGCACAGTCGCGCATTTCCTGGAGGGTTCTTGGGAGAAGGAGCGAAAAAGCAAAGCTACATAGTGGTACCTGGCATGGGGGGAAGAGGGTGGGGAGTGGTGTATACCAGTGGGCTCAGTCAGGAGGCCACAAGGATCTGAGATGGGATGGGAAGTCATTTCCTCCACCAAGCAAAAGCACATGCAGACAGACCCTGTGTCCACCTGCCCTCTAGCCCGGCCCTGCTCCCAAGGCCATGGACCCCCAGGGAGGGGAGACTCCGAGGGGAGAAGGATTTGAGGCACAGTTCATAGACTTCTTTTGTAAGCCAGCTAAGCCCCACTGTGGACACTGGACTTGGGTTCCAGGCTGAAGATGACTCATACTGGAAAGCATCAGAGGGACCAGGGGAAGCAGGTACTGGGAAAGAGTGATGCGGTGAGTGAGCAGGGTTGGGAGGGCTGAGGGCAGCGCACACAGGGGCACTGTGGGTTCTAGAAGCTCAGAGTCCGGAGCCTCAGGCAAGTCAGGAGCAGCCCTTGGCTGTAGAAGAACCAAAGCCAGCCTGGGGGCCCTTCTCTAGCCCCCTTTGATAGCCTGAGCTAGGCCAGGGCTGAGCTTGTCCGAGGGTTAGTACCAATAATCACGCACTGCCCACGCCCACAGACAGAACGAGAAAGGCAAAACCTGAAGCTGCAACACACATGTTTTATCTGCTCTGACTCTCTGGGACCAGGACACAGACTTACTTTGGGAGTGGAGTCCTGAACAGTAGAATCAGCGACGCAAGGAAATGGTTTTATGCTGCTGCTCACTGCCAGCACACGCTGCATTCATATGATGAATCCGTTTCCTAGTTACTGAGTTATCTCAATGAAGTGACTCATCGTTGTTATGAAAGAACAAACAGCTTGTTTCCCTGGGTGCCAGCGACTCTAATTCTATTCCTGCCCAAAGTCTTACAAGTCTCCGACCAGTGATTGCTCCTGAAAGGGGGATCTGAGTCCTTTGTCTCAGGCTCAGGCATCAGGATCAGTGAGTTCCGCATCTGGGATGACTTAGGAGCATCCTAAGCCTTTAGTTGCATCAGCATCAGCACCAAAGGTGTCATTGATTAGGACACCCTCTCCTGTTACCTGTCCTGTAGTCTGACCTGATGGAGTGGTAGGTGGAGACAAACTGGCAAGCAGGCAGAATAGCAGGCTCAGTTCTCCTGCCAAAGTGACGAGACCCTGGGCGACATCTCCATCTCTGTCAGTGGTAGTAGCTCCTGCTGTTTGTTTTCTGTATTTTCAAGATTTCATGGACCGACTTGACTTGAATCAATCACCCACATTCCGTCACCAAGTCTGTGACTTTGTCTCTAACGAGAATGGTTTAAATGATGTCATCCTGCTATAAAGTTCCCTTTCTGAAAGCACAATTTCTTGATTTTTCTACTCTTTTGTCTTCTTCATATTCATCTTTAAAATGTTCGTTTCCACCCTGGGTCTTATCCATACAGGAGCAACGGAGAACACATGAGGCTGGTGATTAGGATCCTACTGCCCATGGCTGACCCAGTGGGACCAAAGCCCAAAGTGCTGAGATCTAGCAGTGAGCTGGGAGAGCGTGTGTGTGTGTGTGTGTGTGTGTGTGTGTGTGTGTGTGTGTGTGTGTGTGTGTGTTCTGGGAGCAGAGAGCCTGCATATGTATATGCAGTTGACCTCGAGTCACAGAACGGAGCCCACGTACATGGGAAGGGTGCCCAGTATCAAGAGACACACCACACCAGGGAGTACGAGGCAGAGATAGTTCTGATTAGGACTAGAAACACCCCTGAAATCTTTCCTACTTAAGAGCATGGAACTCTGTCAGCATGCAGTACCCCAAGATCAGTGTTTGGCTCAGAGTTATTTTCTTGTCACGCATAGCCATGTTATGAGACCACTCAGACTAGTTCCTAAGAGACCGTCTCAGGCCTTGCCTCTGATCACAAGTCTGCACCTGGCCACAGTCTACACGGGCACAGGTGGTTAGAGGCAGGGGGGCTACTTACTGGTGTAGGTGAGCTGGAAGCCGGGCGCTGTGCCTGAGCCGTTGGTGTTGAACTCTAGCCACAGGTGGTTGGACGTACTGTTCAGGACCAGCCCCGAGAGCTCATTTCTGGAGAAGGCACCCAGTGGGCGGGCAGAGCTGTCCCTCCCATCGAACACCTGGGAAGAAAGCACAGCACACACCATTCCCAGCTGGTGCCTCTATCCCAGTGGTCCAAGAGCATCACTAACTACTGTTGCCTTTATCCCAGTGGGCCCAGAGCACCATTATTGGTGAAGCTTTATCGTAGTGTTCTTAGCAAGGCATGAAAAACCTTCACAGGTAGAGTCCAACCCAGACAAAACTCCCTGGTACTAGAATGCAGGAAGGACAGACAGACATGTTGGGTGTCCACCCATCTCCCTGAAGACACAAACCAGGTCTGGATCATGGACCACCCCCTGCTAGGCTCTCTGATGAATCTGTTTCAGGGATAACTATCACTGCCATTGGCACAGCCCCCTTGGGAAAGGTGAAAGGCAAAGAGTGTTCCCAGGAGTACTCCCATGAGTGTTCCCATCATGTTCCTATGAGTGCTTCCATGAATGCTCCCATGAGTGCTTCCTTGAGTGTTCCCAGGAGTACTCCCATGAGTGCTCCCATCATGTTCCTATGAGTGCTTCCATGAATGCTCCCATGAGTGCTTCCTTGAGTGTTCCCAGGAGTACTCCCATGAGTGCTCCCATGAGTGTTCCCATGATGTTCCCGGGAGTGCTCCCATGATGTTTCCATGAATGTTCTCATGAGTGCACCCATGGTGCGCCCATGAGTGTTCCCATGATATTCCCGGGAGTGCTCCCATGATGTTTCCATGAATGTTCTCATGAGTGCACCCATGATGTTCCCAGGAGTGCTCCCAGAAGTGCTCCCAGGAGTCTCCCATGAGTGTTCCTCACGCTGGGCCCTCTTGTCTGTCTCTGGCTGGGAGTGCCACACTCAGGCACCTGGGGGAGCCCGGGGTTAGTCCTGCTCTCGGGTGCTATATGAGAATCTGGCTCCTGACCACTTCACCGTGGGGCAGACCGTGAAGAGGTTCCTCCTGCCCATGACACCAGGAGGCTCTGCTGAGCTATGGAAACTCACCTTGAGGACGTCCCCCTCAAAGAGCTGGAAGCTCTGCGCTCGGAGCCGCACGCCCTTGCCAGGCTCTGTCTCTATCCGGTAGATGCACTCGTGGTGGTTGTCGTAGTTGGACGGGAAGTTCGGGGACAGCAAGGTACCTTCGTTCCCTTTGACACTGGCTCCACATTCAGCTAAAAGAAACGGGACACGGAGAAAAGGGAATTCAAGAGTGGAATGACCGATACTTTCAGAGGCAAAACACACGCAAGGCTTGACACCCTCTCCTCAGCAACACGTGCAGATCAGAGCCACAGACTGTGGACGCTGCCTGCTCCTTCCCTAGCGAGGGGGTGGGTCCCACCGGGCCTGCCCAGATGCTCTGTCTCTGCCAGCGGGCACCACCTAGCAGCATCCAGGGCACTAACTCACTCTAACCCAGCACAGACTCACTCTAGAATCTCTGTCTTCCCGAATATATCTCTTATTGGGTCGGCATAGGGGCTGCAGGGGTGTGAGAACACCAGACTGGGCCCCCCATTCCTGCTTCCCCTCCCCTCAGGTCCAGCCCACAGGAAGGAGTGATGCTGTCCTGGTCATCCTCCTCACTGATCTCCAGACTGGACTACGCCCTCCCCCTTCCCTGCAAGGGTGGAGACTGACTTATGTCCAAACATGCACCAGGCGTTCAATTTCGTAAGAAACCAATGCTGTGTAGACCCCCGCCAAGCCCTGACTGCAGGGGCAGGTTCAGAGGATATGACTGCGTAGCCCCTCTTAGGTAGGGAGGCTGTTTTCTAAAGCACCAATAGGGGCCTGCTGCATGCACACATGTGCAGCGGACATGGACCCATGCACACAGAGACACATCCACCTGTGTGAGTATGCACAAAGGCATGGTCACGTGTGCATGTGTGCATCGTGCACACCCACAGGCACACCTGTGCAATGTGCATGTGTGGGCTGGCGTGTATCAGTGTGTGTACAGGTCTTGCCTTTGAGTATATGCACACGGTTCACATGCGTGCACATGTGTGCACGTATTTTGAACCCACAGTCGAGATGAAACCTCTGTTGGTGGTGAGTGAGTCATGGGGAGCTCAGGAGTGACCCAGAGTACAGGAGGTTGGGTGGCGAGCCCAGCACACAGGGAAGGACGTGGCTGGGCACGGGGGGCAGGAAGCTTGTCCAGGGCCACTGCACAGTCCACCTTGGGGGTCCAGCTCGTTCCCCGTTGCCATTATCAGGAGTATGGGTGAGTGTGAAGCCCCTCACACCTCACACCGCTCACACACGCCTCCTTCATCCCCACTGAGGAGGACATGCAGGGCAGTGTCAGTCACGGGTGGACTGGGCACTGGGTCCAGACACTGAGCACTCAGGCATTAGTTCCCCTGAACAAACAGCTCATCCCCAGCTCCCTAGGGTCCCTGAGTGATCCCCAGCACAGAGCTGAGGGGCACCCTGATCTCTACACCCCCAAATAAAGATCAAGTGTTTTTCCCTATGCCAGGCAATTTGTTTAGGTTATTGATTTGATATAAACTAAGTGCTGAGACAGTGGCCTTTTTATAGCTAAATTAATGTCGAGTACACCTTATAATTCATAATTAAAATGTTTAGACCAGCAAAATAAAAATATGTTTCAGAGGAAAACATACTTTTAAAGATTTCCATTCAAAATTGTTCAGATTGACCAGAAATTATATTAGTTTTTATACTGGCAATTAGAATGTTAACCATATGATTTATTTCCTATCACACAAGATGCTGCAGGAGAGAGAAGACTCACATTTGTCTACCTGGGAAATACATCAGCGTGATGCTGGTGACCAGCATGATGAAGTACAGACGTCATGAACTCCGTGGAGACCGTGAGTGCGGGAGAGCGACTTGCCCTTTGGCATTGATGAGCTCTGTGGGCAGCAGCTATGGACAGCACTGTCCCTCTCACCAACATGCCCCCTTCCCCTCAGCCGCCCAGTTGAATCCGAGCCAACTCAGTCTGACCCCAGACTAAATCTGCCAACCTTACCTCCCACCCCGCCATTACATCCAAGCTTCACTGACCCCCAGATTAAACCCTCCCAACTTCACCCAGTCCCCAAATTAAATCCAAGCCAAGTTCACCCCACACCCCCAATTTAATCCATACCAACTTCCTCCCTGGTCCCCCAATTCAATCTGCACCAGCCGCCCCCAGTCCCCACATACACTTGGCCCGCATTGAAGCAGCCTCTGTCCTCTTGGGTCACAGCTAGCTCCCCTGAAGCATGAGCCCAGAAGCCCCGTGTTCTATGCATCTCACACCCAAACCATCAGCTGCCCCCCACTCTGCGGGCAGAGGGGCCTGGTGGACCTAGCAGCATCCGGGGCCCCGACATGGTCCCAGCACAGACTCGCTCTAGAAGCTCCGTCTTCCTGACTATATCTCTTATTGGGTCAGCACAGTCACAGCTGAGGGTCTCATTGGCACAGGGACCACCAGAGTCTGATCCAGGAGGCAGCCCCAGAGTCTGGGGGATGTCCTTGTGAACACTTATGAGGGGCACCGGTGTGGGTATTGGCCTGCTGGAAACTTCTAGAGCTTCCTGTCTTATGAGAGCCGCCCATGTGGGGACTGACTCAGCTGGATGCTTCTAGAGCCTCCGGTCCTAACAACAAACTTGCAAACTGACCAAGGGATGCAGGGTCGGTTTCTCCCCTTGTGGAGGACTCCAGGAGCCCCACTGCAGATGTGTGAGGCCAGTGCAGGCCATAGACTCCAGGACATGGGGATGTTGTGAGTGGAGCGCCACCCGCCTGGGGTTGGCGTGGAGAGGGCACGGCCACGCTGTGCTCAGGGAGGGGGTTGTGTAGATCACCCACGATGGAGAACCTGGACGCGGGGTGGTCAGCACTGTGCTTGCTCACCCAGCAGGACTGCACACACTCCTGCGTCTAGAGGATTGCTGGAATCACATCGAGAACTCCCCCGCTCCCCTCACCCTCCCCATGCAGAATGTTCTTTGCAGACGTGGAGACCCCACAGGGGCCTCTGGGCGTCTGGGGAGGCATGAATGCACAGGTGCATGCGTCTGTCTGAGGGAGGGCACTGTCTGGCTGTGGGCATTGGCAGCGGGGCTGCCATGGAGAGCAGTTCTAGGACTAAGGGTGGCACACGCAGAGCCCCCTGGAGAGATGGACACACAGAGAGACCCCAGTGAAGGCAGATCTCACTGTGCAGACAGACCCTTGGCCACGGTGGCACCTGATTCTCTTGGCCCCAACCAACTCCTTCCTCCCGGGTCTGGTCCCCAGAGCACCGAGCTGTCCCCCAAGGGCCCTTCCCTCACCCCCGCTGATGGAAAGAAGCATTCTCCCTCGGTAGGACACGTTTGCTCTTTGATGAAGCCCCTGCTGAATGGAATCGAAGCTGCACCACCACTTCTAGACTGGACTGAGAGAGACAGCCCCATGGGTCTCAACATAAAGCGAGTCCCGCTGGGCCCCTCACAGCTCACCAGGGGCTGGGCAGCACGGGGTCACGCACAGCCACAGGCCGCTGAGCACCTGGGCCTGGAGGGACCCATGGGACCAGCCAGATCCATGGCTGTGTTGAGGCATATATGGGAACATGGATGACTGCATGTTTGGGGGACGTGCAGAGAGAGGAAGCCGCTCGGCTGTGTGGGTCACAGAGAACGTCCTGATTCAGCCAATCCTGGTCACGCCCTTCTGCCTCCCACCTGGATCTCTTGCCCACCAGGATGGTTTCTCTAATCACCATTTAGCATCTCTGATCCGCCACCCACCACCCACAATCTACTCTCTCTGTGTGAGCTCCACGTTATCTTAAACATATGATTCGCCGGGGGGAAAAGGGCTCTGCTCCTTTCCACATTGGTTTGTCTGTCACAAGAACCCCCTTGGAACACAGCCAGGCTCACGCTGAGTCTCAACCCCTTAATTTAATGCCAGGATTGGACCCTCTACTAAGGCTCTGCGGGGATTATTCCTTTTTTTTAATCTTAAAGATCATAAATTAAGAAATCAAGACACTACACTAGTTGGCTACACAGTAGTTTGCTACACGCTGCACAGGAAAATCTAAGTTAAATCGATTGTGTTAAGATACAAGCAGCATTTATTTCTTCACATTTTCTCTCTGAAATATCGTGGTTCGCTGACCCATGGCCACTTCTGGTATTGTTCCTTGTGTACATCTCACTTCGGCCACTGTCCTTTCTCTGGGAAGAGAGACAGCCCGAGGGTGGGCCTGGTTGGGGACAGTGGCACAGCCCACAGGGACACACATGTTCCCCCCGTGAGCAGGGCAGGGCCTGCATCTGGCTCAGGGTCCACCAGTGACACTTCTCTTCAGACACTCCTGACCGTGGCGCCCTCCCCACACTGCCAGAGAAGATGGGTATTATTCAGCATGGCACCAGCACCACCATTTCTAAGTGGCAACCATTCTGTAGCCAGAGCTTGCTTAGTGTAAAATTTGTATGCCATGACTGTGGCCTTGAGGCGTATCTCAGGATTGCAGAGTCAGCTAGTAACCCTGTCGCACGGCAGGACTTGGGAACCTGATGTTGGCCGGTCCTTGGAGAGACATGAGAGAGACATGGACCCCCAGATGGTCACAACCAACAGGATTTGACACAGCACTCGCCCAGCACAAACCAGCTAGAGGCGGCCAATCAAGTCAAAGGCCACCAGTAAGTTAGCCAGACCAAGAAATGGGTAACTTGCAGAACTCAGGGATAGAAAGAGTCCGAGAGCAAAGGAGGGGACGGCCCTGACCGGTCAGCTTCCTCAGCTTTCTCTGCTTTCTGAACTCAAGACTTGCTTGACTTGTACCAGATAAAACGTCATACTGTGAAGGTCACTGCTTGGCGTGGACACCGGACTGGAACACTGACTCTCAGATTCGCAATAGTTCATGAGCAGAAAATCCCCTTTCAAATCTCCTAACACCCCGAATCCATGCCGGCCTCTGGAAAGTGTCTGGGAGAAGCCCACCTTCGTCCACTCCCTGCTCCCATTCCCTGCCGCCTCCCTGTATCCCTCCTGAGAGCATTGGCCAGGCCATGGGGCAGAGCTAGTGTTCTCTCCCCAGGCTTGAGCAGGGCTCTGGCCACGCAGTGAACAGCCTGGTCAGCCCTCGGGTGGCCACAGGGTTCTGAGGCAGGTGCCGAGTCTGTGGAGCCTTTCCTCACTGCCCTTACAACGTCCCCCTGGCACCCCCCTCCCCCCCCCCACACACACAGGTCAGCAACTGCGGACACCTTGCCTCTACCCGGAGAAGTCTACTACCATCTGCATGGCCAGGCACACCCTTGAGGACACCCAGAGGACAGTCAGCTACATCCTGAGCCCTCTAGAAGACGAGAACCTTTGGATTTGCTGTTGGGCTGGTATAGATGGCAGGGCTTGGGCTCAGGGTTCCATGCAATGCTGATTCCTTGTGGACTATGGCTCAGTCACAGGAAATGCTGGTTCCCAGTGGACTCGGGGCTCAGTCATAGGCAATACCAGCTTCTCAGTGGACTTGAGGCTCAGTCACGGAGAGCTCAGGGGTTCCTAGTGGACTCGGGGCTCCTAGCTAGGCTCCTATCCCAGTGCTCTTGATCTCCGAATCCCTCACAGAGGCCAGTGCCTGCACCTTCCTCGGCACACACCAGCCAGAGTCTTTGAGGGGGTCCAAGGTGACGAGGACCTGCCCCCACCCACCCTCAGGTCCCCGCCCCCCTCGCCCGTCCCACCGGATGGATGAAATGAAGCGTGTGTCCACCTACCCACACACCTTGGCAGAGGCGCACTCCACACACGGCGGCCCCCACCCAGGCACGTAAGCTTGGTTGCACCTTCTAAGCGGTACCCAGGGAAGCAGGAGAAGGCCAGCGAGTCCCCCACGCCGAACTGGAAGCCGATCCTCCGACTGAAGGCGGGCACACCCGGGTCATCACAGGGTTCGAGGTCGTACTCTGTGGGGTGGGGGAAGGAGAGAGGAGCAGGGGGGTCGGGCAGGGCCACACTCACACACACACACACACATGCATGCACACACGCATGCACACACGCATGCATGGCATCCTCTGCCTGTCTGCCACACCGAGACTGCCACCTTCCCTTGTGGCCAGAGCTCCCGGTGCAGACTCAGGGCAAAGGCCTGCTTGGGTTTTGAGGCACACCAGGCAGATCTGGGGTACCCTGACTCTGTGCTAGGGCCCTGGGTGGCATCCAGAGAAATGCCTTCCCTCTGGAGAGGAGTCATGCCCAGGGAGGGCGGCCGCATCCTTCAAGAACCGCATTCCACAGAAAGGACAGCTCACCCACCGCACCACAGATGCCAGTCAGCTTTGGGTCTGTTTCTGCCCAACATGTGGGGGATAAGCATTATGCAGAGACGCTCGTCTGGAGGTTTGGGGGGTGTCAGTGTGCTCAGGGGTCATTCCTGGCTTTGTGTGGGAGGAACCAGGTGGTGTTGGGGAAAAGACTCAAGGCCACCTGCATGTGAAGAACATACTCTGGGCACGGCACAGCTCTCCAGCCGCTGTCAGGAAACTGGAGCAAACAGACCTGGGCATGTGATGGCTCTACAGGAAGTCTGGGATCTCTCGATGCTAAAATCAGGCACGTGCTCCTGGGGGGCACTAGGAGAACAGGCCCCGGTCACGGGAACAATGGAGAGGCTGTAGGTGGGGAGGCCACATGTCCAAGGCCCATGGGGCCCTGAACACAGCCACAACCTCGAGTTCACAGTGGCCACGTGGGGGCTCTGCCATGTGGGGGCTGAGCCCCACGCTGGCTCTGCTGACTGGAAGGAAACTGTCCCAGCTGGGCACTGGGGGAGGCAGCATTTGGTGCCCCTGGACATCACCCTTGTGGGGATACCGCAACCCAAGAGTCATCCTGATACCCACAACACAGACATACCACGCTGCGTGTCAGAGGACAGATCCGCCTCACAGCCCCCACCAGCCGACTGACCCTTACTCACATCCCAAGTCAGTAGAGTCCTGTCCCCACATCCTGAGTCAGACCCGACCCACAGACACTGTTAGCAGACAGACCCATTTTCTGCATGGCTCCTGCAGAGCGGAGCTATTCAAGCTCCAGAATCTCCCTGTGCTGCCCGTCTGCTCAGCCCTCTTCCCCCTGCCATCTGCCCATCTGGTCAGCTCTACTTTGCAGCAGGGGCATCCTGGCTGACTTATGTGGTCCACAGTCCGCCCTCATTCTGTCTGTCCCCCTCACTGCCTGCAAAGCTTGCCCACGTGCATACCTTTATACACTCGCACGTCTGCCCGCAGAGGCATACATTCACACTCTTACTCTCTCTCTCTCTCTCTTTCTCTCTCTCTCTCTCTCTCTCACACACACCACACACACACACACGGCACTCCAACATGCTCACACACATTCACATGGCCACATACAGGCCCTGACACAAGTCACATGCACATGCACATGTACACACAGTCACACACAGTCACATGCACAGGAATGCATAGTCACACAGTCAAACGGACAGGCACACACAGCCACACACAGTCACACACATAGGCACACACAGTCGCACGTGCAGGCACACACAGTCACACGCATAGGCACACACATCCACAGTCACGTGCACCAGCACACACATTCACACACACAGGCACACACAGCCACACACAGTCACATGCACGGCACATGCAGTTGCATGCGCAGGCACACACAGCCACACACAGTCACATGCATAGTCACATAGCCACACACAGTCACACACACAGTCAGACACAGTCACATGCACAGGCATGCACAGTCACACGCACAGACTCACACAGTCATACGCAGAGGTACACCCCCTCACCCGGCACCCTGGCTGCAGACACCCCACCTGAGAAGGTGACGTTGAAGCCCTCGTAGGAGATGGAGAAGTCGGAGATGAAACGCAGCTGGGCCGTGAAGTTCCCGAACAAGCCCGCCTTGACAGTGTGAGGCAGCACCGAGCCAGTGAGCCGAGCCACAGGCTCTGAGAAGCCGCCGTCCTCTGTGATGAGCAGGTAGTCGTGGGAGCTCTCCAGGTGGAAGGTATGGAAGCTCAGCTGCACGCCTGGCGGGTGACAGGGCCGGTGCTGGGAAGAGCCACTAGGATCCCCAGCCCGCACGCTGGGCACCCAGGAGCAAGCTCAACAGGCAAACCTCACCCCCAAGTTTGCGAAGCAGATACAGGGGTGCGTGAGATGGAGGGTGGGCAGGGCAGCACACATGAAGCCCTGCCTGCATGCGTGAGGTGAGGGGGAGGGTGTCAGAGGTAGGTGCAGGGTCGGAAGTGACTAGCCACACAGGCACGTGACCAACACACAGACGGAAGTTTGGAGACAGGCGAAGACAGAAAGATAAGCACTGAGGCGGTCTGAGAGCGTGGAACCCAGAAACAGGCCCAGTGGAGCCCATGGGTGAGACGGGGTATGAGGAACACAGAACAATCTCAAGAAAGCTCCAAGTCCACACGAGAGCTGTTGTGCAGAGGTTTGCCTCTTGCCGCTCACACATGGAGGCCCGCCTCCTTGCTGGTGCCGGTCACTCTGGTCTTGGGGTTGGGCACCACTTGCTGCTTACCTTTCCCATGGGAGACTTCGATGGTCCACGTGCAGTTCAGGGAGTTTGGGTAGAAGTCGGGAAAGCCGGGAGAAAGGATGGTTCCACTCTTTCCCTGGATGTAGCCTCCACACAGAGCTTCGCACAGGAAGGGAGGAAGGAAGGAAGGGAGGGAGGGAGGGAGGGAGGGAGGGAGGGAGGGAGGAAGATGGAGGGACAAGGGAGGAAGAAGGGAGGAAGGGAGGATGAAAAGGAGGAAGAAGGGAGAGAGGGAGGGAGCAGAGAAAGAAGATACTGTTAGCAGACAGACCCATTTTCAACTGCTCACACCTGCTCATACCTGCACACACCTGCCCCCACCTGCATATACCTGCATACACCTACACATACCTGCTCACACCTGCACATACCTGCTCACACCTACACATACCTGCACACACCTGCACACAACTGCTCACACCTGCTCATACCTGCACACACCTGCCCACACCTGCATATACCTGCATACACTTACACATACCTGCTCACACCCGTACATACCTGCTCACACCTACACGTACCTGTTCACACCTGCACACAACTGCTCACACCTGATCATACCTGCACACACCTGCCCACACCTGCATATACCTGCATACACCTACACATACCTGCTCACACCTGCACATACCTGCTCACACCTACACATACCTGCACACACCTGCACACAACTGCTCACACCTGCTCATACCTGCACACACCTGCCCACACCTGCATATACCTGCATACACCTACACATACCTGCTCACACCTGCACATACCTGCTCACACCTACACATACCTGCACACACCTGCACACAACTGCTCACACCTGCTCATACCTGCACACACCTGCCCACACCTGCATATACCTGCATACACTTACACATACCTGCTCACACCCGTACATACCTGCTCACACCTACACGTACCTGTTCACACCTGCACACAACTGCTCACACCTGATCATACCTGCACACACCTGCCCACACCTGCATATACCTGCATACACCTACACATACCTGCTCACACCTGCACATACCTGCTCACACCTACACATACCTGCACACACCTGCACACAACTGCTCACACCTGATCATACCTGCACACACCTGCCCACACCTGCATATACCTGCATACACCTACACATACCTGCTCACACCTGCACATACCTGCTCACACCTACACATACCTGCACACACCTACTTACACCTGCACACACCTGCACACACCTGCACATACTTGCTCTCAGACCCTGGCCTGACCTCACTCCTGCTCTCTGAGCCATCTATCCTGAGACAGAAAACAGATTTAAAAGTGAATTTGGTTTTGGTTTGGGGGGGGGGCCACGCCGGTTGGTACTCAGGGCTGACTTCTAGTGGATTCAGGAGACCATTAAGTGGTTCCAGAGGGAATATGGATTGTCCATGTACAAGATAAGTGCCTTGCCTGGTGGCCCATTTCTCTGGCTCCTGACAACATACTTACTGGATTAAATTAGTTCCATTTATAGAATGCTTGTTCCTGGGTAGGTGTTTATGGTGATACTTCAGAACACACATTTGCAGGGCCTAACATGTTCTAATACCTCAAACAATGACTGCCAATAATTAGTGACTGGTGAATCACTGCACTGATTCTAATTATTCCATTAATTTAAAATCTTAGTAATTAGTCATTTGGGACATCAATAATCAGATCATCTGAACAGTTACAAGTCTCACTGTAACCCACGGCTATTGCCGAACTTTGTCCTTGGCCTGGCACTCTGGAACCTGTCCATAGAGGCTGCACACAGGTGACTTCTCGGGGACCTGGAGTGAGACATTAGGGGCCCACACTCCTTCAATGTGGGTCCATGATTTAGCCGTAACGAATCAGGTACCCTTTATGTAAAATGTAGAACTATCTAGCTTTCATTCAAGGGTCTTTACCTAAAATCAGTATATTCTATGAAAGTTGCTAACACTTAATATCCAGCTACATCTTGGTTATACATCAATCTTTGTTAAATCTTCTTCCCTAAAGTCATTAAAATAAATTATTTAGTCATATTCTTGGGAATTCCTTGGGCAAAGGCACATCTAATCATGGTCTTGATGTTTTCCATCATCATCCATCCATCTAGCTAAACTTCATCCATCCATCCATCCATCCATCCATCATTCATCCATTATCCACCCATCCAGTCTCAACCATCCATCCATAGACCAGCAGCCATTGAATTCATCATCCATCCATTATCCATCCAATCATAATCACTCATCCATCCATCCATCCATCATTCATCCATCATCCATCCATCCATCCATCCAATCATAATCATTCATCCATCCAATCACAACCATCCATCCATACAGCCATCATCCATTCATCCATCGAACCATCATCCACCCATCTGAGACAGAGTTCAGAAAACACTCACCAACTCTATCAGGTTGCTATTTAGAGCAAAGTTGGACAGAAAATTATACATAAGGCAAATATTTATGTATGTTTTCCCAGATGCACACACAACACAATCTAATTCATCCATTATGGGGATTTTTGAATAAAGTAACTGTCTATAAACCCAACGATGATTTGGAGGATAAAAGGTGTAGAGAATTGCAGCGTCATTCTCCAGCGCAATGGAAAAGAGGCAGTGAAGAAGAGATCTGAGTTCTCTCTCAGTGTTCATGTGAGCCCACTGCCCCGGAGGATATGCGGGTGGGGCAGGGATTCAATTGGAGGAGAGCAGAGGTCCACCTGAGAGCTGCATCAGGTCCAGCTGTGCAGATTCACCCACCCTGATTTCTACCCACAGCCCTTGCTCCTATCCTGCTCCTTTGCCTGCGACCCCCCTTTCCATGTGTCCAGTGAGGAATAGGGCCCCGTGGCCCATGGGAAGGAGCCGTGGAAGTCCCAGTGGGCTGTTGGGAGTTCATCAGGACAAGCAGCAAATTCTAGAATGCCCTCTTAAGTCACTCTCAGACCTCTGGGAGGTCGAGGGGATGGAGGCAGGTGCTGGGTGCAGCAGGTGGTGGAAGGGGCAGGTAACAGAGTCCACTGGTGGTCAAGGATCCCCAGGAAAGCCCAGGAGTGGACGCATTCCTCTTTAGTATCCAGAGCACGCCACTCTCCCCTTTCTGAAGCTGCAGCAGCCCCTCCTCCCAGCTGCTGTTCCGGCCCGTGGAGGAAACCTTATCTGAACCCCCAAAACAAAGGCGGGGATGATTAGGGCTTGGGGTGGGGGACTAGCCAGGGCCATAGTCCTGGGGTCACTCACCAAGACCCCCAGCACGTGGCCGCAGAAGCTCCTGTCTGGGACAAGCCCCTCACGCTTGCTGGCCCAGCAGGCCAGGTCCGGAGCCACCTGTGCCCCTGCCCAGATGACGATCAAGGAACAGCCCCACCTTTGCCCCTGACTGTGTGGGTCTACCCTCCACGTCCTGCTCCTCCTCTCAGCCTCTGCCTCACTTCTCTTGTTTGTACTTGCCCCCTCCCCCAGTTGCCTGCAGGGGCAACTCTCTGCCTCTGTGCTCAGGGCTTCGCCCTTGAGCTTGGGGGACCCCTCGGTGCCAGGGGGTCAGACCAGCTTTCTGCCGGCAGAGACCCTGCTCTCAGCCCCTCAGCCCCTATCTGAGACCAGCACAATGATGAATGCCATTCTCCATGCCAAGTTGAAGCCTTATTTTCTTTATTCTCCACTACTTTTGTTTCTGTTTTGTTTTGGTTTGGTGGGGTGGGAGGGCACACCAAGTGCTTCTCAGGGGTCACTCCTGGCTCTGCATTCAGAGATCATTCCTACTGTGCTTCTCGGGACCAAGCAGGACCCAGCCACGTGCCCCGGCCACTTTACCCGCAGAACTCTCTCTCCAGCACTCCTCTAGCACTTTTTATAACTTTACCAAGTGATTAAGAATTAGCCTTTCCTAAGTTAAAAATAAAACCCACCAGTCACATGCTTGCAGTATAGTCACTTTTCAATGAACACCCTTAAAAAAATTGAACAGTTGACAAAAATATTTGCTCAACAAAAACTTTTCCCGAGTTCTTCTTGCATCTGTCTTTCACAGAGTGAAAAGGTTGATGTGTTCCAAAGTTCACATCATGTCTTCCAAACCTGAATTTGCTAAAACATGAATAGCAAAAAGGAAAAGAAAAGGAGGCAAGTCTGTGTGAGAGATGCAGAGAGTTTGCCACTTTTTTGCAGTGATATATAACATTACAATTAATTCTGATTTATTTTTACCTGTCCAGGAGCTATGAATTTTTAAAGCTTTAAATATCTTACTGATATATTACTGGTTATAATAAAACCCCTCAGGGTTTCTCAGATTGCTTATGATTTGAAGAGACAACAGAACAGTTTTAGTTAAAATGGGAACAGCCAACCATGACTGACTAAACCTCATATCAAACTCTAAAATCTCCCCAAGTCTGCACACCTATTAATAGTAGCTTCGTCTCAGAAATCCAGCGTTCTGTGAAACAGGTTCCAAAGAAGCAAAGCAGAGGAAATGCTTCAGTTGCCAGCTCCCTGCAAAATTTAAGTTTCAAATTGGCCTACAGGGAAGCTGGGAACAATAAAATCATGAAAAATATGATGAGATGCAAAATATGACAGTTGCAAAGTCTGATTAGATGCTTCAACTTTCTATGGGAAAGACCATCCTCTTAACTCGTGCCTTAGCCTCAGCGCCAAGTCGACGGGGCCCTCTCCTTCCTGTTGCTGCTTGCTCCCAGGCCTGGGACAGAGCTGCCCAGGGTCCACGCTCTCTCCCTCACTGGGGACTGCAGGAGTGCCACGGATGTGAGTTTGGGACTGTGCCCACATTCAGGAATGGGCAGCTGTGTCTGTGTCCACACTCAGAAGTGTGAATCTGTGTCCATACTCGGGAATCTGAGTCCATGTCACACTTGGGAATGAGTCCGTATCCACACACTTGGGAACATGTGTCTGTGTCTATGTCCACACTTGGGAAAGTGTGTCTGTTTGTGTCCACACTTGGGACTGGGGCTGTGCTGTGCTTCTGGGACCAGCCCTGGCTGTCCCCCGTTCAGCGAGGAAGGACCAGATTTCCTATCATTGATGTCATACTGTGCTTGGGGACTTGAGCCCCCAACCCCGGGTGCCAGAAGGTGTCAGAAGGAGGGAAGACAGGGTGAGGAGGTTGGGAAAGTGGGCACTGAGGGTCTCCTTTCTGAATGAGTGGGGCCAAGGGTGAAGAGACATAGCAGTCGGGTGCAGCTCATGTGAGGGCAGCTGCTTCCCAGGACAAGACTGGCTGTGGGTCAGCCCTGGATACAGAGCGAAAGTCCAGGGGGAGAAAGGGTGGAGCCCAAGAGCAGCCCCCCCCCCAGCTCCATACCAAAGACCATTAGCCGCCCAAAACACACACACACACACACACTCCTATTAAAACTGTACAATGACAGTCAACGAAACCATGTGTTTGTGTGACATGCAAATATTCCAATGAATTCAGCACACAAGGTGCAGAGGACAAACAGATCACTGCGAGGGCCACCTCTGTTTGCTCCATGCTCCTTAGCCTGTGTCACTGCTCTGGGCCCTGGTCTGATGGCACGTCCATGCCCTGGCAGGGGAACAATCTGCAGCCCTCTGAGGTCCCACAGTCACTTCCTGCTCGCCTTCACAATTCTAGAAGAATTTCACCAGGTGGATAGTGTAAGATCTATCGAAGACTCTTCCAGTCACTTCAAAACTTCCTTGGGAAGCTCTTCAGAATTCAAAAAGCAAAATTTCTCCTAGATCAGACATGGCCTTGGTACTGGTAGGCACCAGAGAGGAATGAATACGAGGGGCCCAGGGGTGGAGAACAGGCTAGAGATCAGAGCTACCCACACTTCAAGCACTGATCCTCTGGGAGAGCGACCACCCAGCTCCCAGTGCAGACCCAAGACGGCTTCTCCGGCCCAGACTCCAATACAGGGCCACTGACTGCTTTCTCCAGATTCCAGTACAGAACCACTGACGGCTTCTCCTGTCCAGGTCCCAGAAGAGAACCACTGACGGCTTCTCTGGCTCAGATCCCAATAGAGAACCGCTGACGGCTGGGAATTTACCCTGGGACCCCAAAACACACCGCAGAAACACCATCTGCACCTGGATGTTCACTGCAACACTGTGCACAATAGCCAGAATCTGGAAACACCCAAGTGCCTGAGAACAGATGACTGGATAAAGAAACTTTGGCACATCTACACAGTGCAATACTATGTGGCCACAAGGAAAAATGAAGTCATGAAACTCGCTTATAAATGGACATGGAGAGTATCATGCTGAGTAAAATGAGTCAGAGGGAGAGGGCCTGACATAGAATGACTGCACTCATTGGTGGGTTCTAAAAATAAACATAGCTTGAGACTAATGTCTAAAAACAGGAAAAAACAGGGGCCAAGAGGACTGGTCCACGGTTGGAAATTTGCCACAAGTATGTGGGGACCAGAAGTCAGTTAGGAGAGAGAAGGGACTACTGTGACAGTAGCACTGTCCTCTCGTTCATAGATTTGCTCAAGTGGGTACCAGTGACGTCTCCATTGTGAGCCTTGTTGTTTCTGTCTTTGGCATATCGAATACGCCACAGGGAGCTTGCCAGGCTCTGCCGTGTGGGTGGGATACTCTCGGTAGCTTGCTGGACTTTCCGACAGGGGCGGAGGAATTGAATCTGGGTTGGCTGAGTGCAAGGCAAACGTCCTACCTGCTGTGCTATCCCTCCAGCCCACTGTGATAGTGAATAGTTGGAAATGGTCACTCTGGACAAGAGCTGAGTGCTGAAAGGAGGGAAAGATATACATGATAACCTCTCAGGATCTGGATTGCAAGCCATAGTGCCCAAAAATGAGGAGGGAGATAGGGAGAGAGGGAGCGAGGAGAGAGTGCCACATGTGTCCACACCAGCTGATGGCCACTGCCACACGCGTCCACATAGAGCTGGAAAACAGCTGATGGCCACTGCCATACATATCCACACAGAGCTTGACGCCAAGTGATGGCCAGCGCCACATGCGTCCACACAGCCCTCCAGGAGCAGTGCTGGCAGGCTGGAAGGGCCCGAGGGGACGGTCACTTACCATCACAGCTGGGCAGCACGTGGTCCCACTGGTGGTTGCTGTCGCACACCAGTGGCTCATCAGCACTCAGCGTGTAGCCAGGGTCACAGCTGAAGGTCACCGTGGACCCAATGCTGAAGCTGCCGCCGTGCCGGTGGCCATTGACAGGGATGCCAGGGTCAAGGCAGGAGTCGGACTCCAGAGTGACACCTGCAAACGAGACAGGGCTGTCAGGGCTGCTGGACACGACATACCTTCTCAGGGATGAGCCAAGGGCCAAGTCCTGTGTCCACCTGTCCTGTCTCTCCCATGGACACAAGAGGCGCAGGCAGGTCCCTCTGGGGCACAGGGATGGTCCTTCAGGCCCCTCTGAGACAGAGGCAGGTCCCCCTGTGCAGATCCCCCCCCTGCGCAGCAGGAGAGGGCTCCGGGGTGTCCTGCTCTGTCCCCACTGCCCTTCTTGGTACCCACTCAGCTTCTCTAGCTGGTTCCTGGTGGCTACAGCCCAGGGGTCAGAGCTGAGCAGGCACACACCTACACACCTGGCACTTACATGATGCATCCACATGTGTCCACATGCGCACATATAGCGCATTCCTTTATGTCATCCCAGGAACACTCATGCAGAAGCCACGTACATGCACCTAGCACACACACAGCATGTACACAAACATGTACCCAGCACACACATGGAGAATCCACAGACATGCTCCCAGCACACACGGCATGCACACAAACACGTACCCAGCACACAAGTGGTGAGTCCACGTGCATGTACCCAGCACACATATGCACCTTGCTCACACACGGTGCATCCACATACATGTACCCCCACATGTACAGAGCACCCACGTACATGCACCCCGCTCACAATGCCCTCTTCACAGACCCACCCTCAGCACACCTGCTGTCTCCATGTAATGCACCTAGAACATACATCCTGCATGCACAAACATGCATCAGCACACATGTGTCCACATGCACCCACACACATACAGTGTCCTCACACACACGCACCCATATACAGGCACCAGCACACATGCTGCCTAGGAGACTTGCAGAGCATCACAGCGTCTGCCCCGTGCATGGCTCAGCCCTTCTCAGGAGCCACGACCTCCACTGGGAGGTGCCGTGGGGAAAGGCCACAGGAAGCCCAGGGGCACCACCGGCCAGGCCAATGGCATCTGCCCCTGCCCGTTTCCTCTTTAGAACAAAACAAGCTAAGACGAGGGGAACCGGAAGTGGGGGAGTCGCACAGTGGTGCCCGGGGGACACAGGGACATGGGAACTGGACATGGAGACTGGACATGGGGATGGGGCATGGGTACTGGGCACGGAACTGGACACGGGGCTGGGCATGGGGACTGGGCACCGGGACTAGACGTGGAGACTAGACACAGGCAGGGCGCTGGCCGGGCTGGCACTCACTCTCGTAGTGGATGAGGAAGCCCACGCTGGAGCGGCTGCTGTCGGTGCTGAAGAGCAGGTGCATGAAGCTGCCAGTGCTGATGAGGAACTGGGGGGCTTGCGTGCCATGGAACTCCCCAATGAGGGGCGATGAGCCTGCTGGCCCATCCCGCACCTCCAGGATGTCGTAGTTCACCTCGGTCTGAAACCTGCGGAGAGAGGCCGGGGCGTGGGTGGGGACGAGGTGTGGGCTGAGCCTTGCAGGTGCTCAGGGCTCGCTCCCCGCAGGGCTCAGGGACCATGTGTGAGGCAGAGACTGAGCTGGGGTCAGTGGGCACAGGCCAGAGCCCTGCCCGCGGCTTCTCCACCCTGTGCTTTGACGACTGCTCTGCAATATTACAATCATTCACTCTCAACGAAAATCATAGTGAAGCAGATTGATTAAGGGAGGAGGGAAGGAAAGACAGGTGGGAGGGAAAGGCAGGGCTGGGAGAAGGAAGGGAGGAAGACAAAGCCAGTGAAATATCCCCAAGGAGGGGCAAAGTGATCCTCATTCATCTGCAAAGCATGCAGCATGAAAGTCAGCAGCTCTAAGGAGGCCCAGCTGCGGGACTCTCCCTTCAAGGGCACCAGCCCTTGGTGGAAACGGCTGCTCTTCTTGGGGGCTGGTGTCCAAAGGAATCAGAAATATGGACACTTCCACGTGGGCTCAGCCAAGAGCCTCCATTAATGACGTTAATCTGAGACACTAGGAAGTTCTACGAGTAGCTTTGTCGTAGTTTCCAGACTGTGTCATTCTGACAGCACAATCTCGATTTCCATCAAGTAAAGTGATTCCCGTCGTAAGGGCTGCCAGGCAGCGGAGTTTGCAACCGTCTCTCTTCTTCAGAAAGCATCTGAATCAGCAAGAAGCTGGGCTGGATGTGGGGGAGGTCAGAGGGATCTTCCCCAGCGATTAAAGTCGTGGGCAACTTTAACATACAAAGGAGACCAAGTTTTCAAGTTTCCTCTTGAAATTTTTGTTCCATTCTATATATATATTTTTTGAGATAAGTAATATAAATACAAAAATCCACTACAGATAATTTCTGAGGTGACATAGCTTTCGCTAGGAGCCTGTCTGTGTGTTATCACTGATCATAAGTGAGTGAGTGGAAAGCAAAAAGGAAATAGTACGGTGAGGTTCCCCAGCGTGAGACGCGTTATGCTCGGGAGAGGGTCCCAGAATGAGGTCTGGTCAGAGGAGGCTGCAGAGAAATGACAACAGTGCTCAAACATGAAACCTTTAAAACTAAGCAGAGCTGTCTTGCCCTTAGCCTAGGTCCACGGGGCTTATGCCCAAACAGTTTCAGTTTCCACCACCCCGTTGTTTTTATGCCAGACACGGGTGGGAAAGTGCATGTGATGGGGAATTTGGAGACCATGCCGAGTTTTACAGGGTCAGCCCGAAGTGCCCCTGTCTGGATCTGAGCCTGTCTCACGGATGAGTCTGGGTGGCCTCCATCCCCTTGCACCCCACCCGAACCCTGGACAGCATGGCCAGGAGGATGTGCCCGTGGATGATCACAGAAGTCACCCGGGGGGAAAAGTGAGGTCATCTGCAGCACTCACCACAGGGCCCAGGCCAGGCCAGACTCAAGCCTTGAGACTTCCTGCAAGTGGACATGACCAGCCCCCACCCGTCCCCAGTGCAGACAGGCCTTGCAGCCAGAGGGCGCCACTGGACAAGAGTGGACCCACAAAGCAAGGGCCTCCACTTCCAGGAACGCTGTCCCCGAGCCCAGGCAGAATGCCCTGTGTCCATGCGAAGTGACCGGGAATCGGAACACCAGGTGTCAACCATCCTTGGGTCCAAATTAAGGGGAGTAAGGGGACTTTCTTACCTATCAAAAGTGATCTTGATGGAGTGTCCTGGCTTTGCTTCAATGATCCACTCGCAATTTAAAGAATCTTTATAATATCCCGGCCACCCGGGGGGCAGGATAACCCCGCTGGAGGCCGTCAGGTGTCCACCACACGGGGCTGGAAGGGCAGAGGGGGAGGAAGGAGAAAGGGAGAGCAGGAAGAGGGTGTGAGGACAGCAGCTCCCACAGAGGAGACCCACAGCAGGAAGGCGCTCCCCCCACCCCACCCCCCACCCCCCATGGCCCAGCTAAACTCTAAGGATACAGATGCAGCAGGGCCTTCTTCATCGGCTGGGAGCTGGCCTTCCACTCGGACAGGAGGATACAGTGCCGGCCACCCCTGGAACCAACCGTCACACAAGCCCGGGGCTCCCAGCACCCTTCTTAGATCCTCCACAAACTGCAGGGGTGGGCACATTCCCTGAACTGAGCTTCTGTGTGGGCAGTGGGCTTGGGTCTCTGCACGTGGGAATGTTCCCTCCCCCATTACCGGGATAGCTGACCACTACATTGTACTACAAGGCTGGTGAATGCTAGGAAACAACCTACAAACCTCAACTGGATTCAACGAGTTTAGCTCAAAGGGTGCATGAAGTCTTTTGAAGCCTCTGGAATGAAAAATGGGTATCGCTGTGAGGCAGAGAGGGTGCCGTGGCAACGGCTGGGCCTGGTGCTCGTTAAAAGCAACCATGCATGTCCTGCTCTACAGGAATTGTGAATTGTGCCACATATCAATATGATATCAATATCAGTGTATCACCATATCAGTACCAATTTATTCATGCTTCTGTCTGGCCACACTTCTGGTTGAATTTTATTTCGTCTTCCCTCAACATTTTTTGTCACCTCTGATTATATTTGTGACTGCATAGATGTCCAATAAGCATGCGAAAATGTTTTCAGTTGAAAATTATATATGCTTTTGGAGGAAATGTTTATTCTATGGAAAACATTGCACATGCATCAGAAGTTGACCAATATACTAAAAACTGTCTGCAGGTCTTGATGGGAGAAAATAAAGCTCGAGAAAGAGACATCTCGAGAAGTAATCTAAGTAGCTTAGATTTATCACTTGAAACAAACAGAAGCAAAAATCTCTGCAAAGATAAGCCATTGCTGGATGAGAACACAGACATTTAAGTCCTGTTTGAAAAACCTGTTAATATGGACAACTCGATGTCACTTTTCTGCATTGCATTGAGTTACATCTATCGAATGAGTTCTTCTAAAAGAACACGGGTGCATTTTTATTTTATTATTTTTTAATTTATTATTATTAGTTTTTTGCTTTTGGGTCACACCCAGCGATGCTCAGGGGTTTACTCCTGGCTCTGCACTCAGGAATTACTCCTGGTGGTGCTCGAGGGATCATGTGGGATGCAGGGAATCAAACCCAGGTTGGCCACGTGCGAGGCAAACACCCTCCAGCTGTGCTGTCCCTCTGGCCCTGGGTGCATTTTTAGACTCAGACAATCTCCCAAGATAAACCTGAACAGACCAACCTCAAGTAAGATGAAAGAAACTGAAACAGTCTTTTTAAATTCCCTCAAGAACAAATGCCCAGGTCCAGACTGCCTCACTTGGGAGTTCTACCAAACCTTCAAAGAAAACTCACTACCAATCTATACTCCTGAAGCTCTCCCAAATTATTGAAAAACAGAAATACTTCCTTACAGGTCCTGTGACAACAAACACTACCCTAGTTAAAAATAATTGGACAGAGATATCATTAGAAAAAGAGACTAATATTCTTGGAGAACATCAACGCAAATATTCTCAGAAAAACCTTAGTGACCAGAATCAACAATATATTCAAGGGCTGATACAGTAGATCAGGCGGATTTCATTCCAGGGATGCAAGGATGGTTCGATAGATGTAACTCGATAGATGTAACAATGATAGACCTTATAAACAAAAGACCCAAACCATAGAGTCACATCACATGCAAAGAAAAGTTCTAGCCTGTCTCCTTCCCCCTTCCCCATGCTGTGGCAGTGCTCGGTGCATGTGGGAGAGGCCACATGCCTGGCCATGTCCAGCGTACCCTGATCAGTGTGCTGAGAATAACATGTGCATGGTTGCAGTGGAGGGTCACAGCAGCAGAGCTGCTGGTAAGGTACTCGGCAAGGCAGGTGGTGCTTCACTGGCGAGCTCTCAGCCATGTTTCAGTTCATGCTCCCCTTAGCAGTTCCTCTCTGCTTTAACTTGGGGGACCAGAGCAAAAGTACCAAGAAAAGGGGGCAGGGCTTATGCAAGATACACAGTCAGAAACTACATTTTAGAGATGAATCCTGCTTCCCTAAATATACCTGCATCTGTCTTCAAGGATATGTAAATATACGTTCTTGCAGATAAAGACCAGACAGATGGTGGCTTTTTGCCCCTCAGAGCTCTCACTGGGATTTACTAGAACCCGGGACCATGACTGGGAAGAAATTCGCCTCTACGTGTGCTGAGAGCTGATGCTCTTCCAACAGTACCTGAGTTCAGGGGACTTGGATGGGTGCATGTCAGTGGGAAAAGTAGAGCCATCACCCCTCATGGCACAGGCTATGGCAACTGGAAGAGGGGCCGGGCAGAGCCTGATGCTGAGAGCACCCTGGGGATCAGCGGTGAGTGTGCCATAGGTTTGCTGGGTCAGGAGCATTTCCCCGCAGGCAGGGGCGTGTACCTTCGCATCGGGGGACACTGGCGCTCCAGACCACATTCCCGTCCTGTAGGATGCAGGTGATAGACTCGGAGCCCTGCGTCTTCACAAAGCCATCGTCACAGTGGAAGGACACGGAGCTCCCCAGGAGGAAGCGGTCCCCAAACCGCCGTCCGTTGGTGGGGATTCCTGGGTCATGGCACTCGTTTTGGCCAAATGCTGAAAAGGAAGGGTGGGGGAAACAACAGTGTAAAGGGAATAGCAAGTCCCTGGGGATTTGAGTGTCATCCAAAGAGAGGAAGTGAGCACACGTAGAAGCCAGCCACTTCCCCGGCTTTGTTATAGGACCTGCGACAGATACTGGGTATGAGCCGCTTTCAGTGTGGGCAAGACAGATGGACACAGGCAGGGAGCACTGCGTACAGCCACAGATGAACATGTCAGAGTGTCTGGCCATTTGACAGAACTTCTGTGCCCTGTGGAAGGTGGGAGAGAGGCAGAGGGTGGAAGGGTCTTGGTGGGAATGTCTGGGGAGGGCCCCTGCATTTTGTGCTTCTATAATGATCTGATGCAGGGAGGAACTGTTTCACTGACAGGACCAGCAATATCAAGCCTAGATCCCAGACATTCCAAAATACAGTGAAACCATCTTTGGCAAAGCCTCGGATTAGCCTTGAAGAGAAGTAGGGGTGGGTACAATCACAATTCACTATCACTCATGGTAACATTATCATCTGATGTGGCTCCCCCATGTGCATTTAAGTCTATGCTCTCAAATACAATCAATTTGGCTAGTAGGAGCCTGTGGCAGAGAACTGTGTTGCCAGAGAAAGATTCACCGAATTACACGAATGCCAGTGTCCTAATCCAGCACTCATGAGTCCAAATGCCTCAATCCTACTGCTGTATTTCCTTGTTTCTGGGAAGATGGATAGAAGGATGGATAAATAATGGGTGGATAGATAAATGAACGATGGATGAATAGATGGATGCTTGGATGGATGGATGGATGGATGGATGATAGATGGATGAATGATGGATGCAGGCATGAGCAGAAGAATGGATAGATCGATTTGGGGTGGCTGGATATGAAATGGGTAGATGGATGAACTGATGATGAGAAGAAAAACGTGGATATATTAGATGATATATGGTGGACATGGTCACCGAGTGAATGGTCAATGGATGGACAAATGGGGTGGGGTAGGCCGAAACATGACTCATCATTGGAAAGATGCATTTAGCACAGGAAGCAAAAGGCCAACAAAGTAGTCAAGGACATATGTTACATACATGTGTTCCTGAATTTGATCTCTCACACTGAAAATAAAATAGGAAAAGGAAGAAAGGGAGGAAGGGCAGAAGAAAGGGAGAAAGGAGAGGGGGAAGGGGAATCGAGAAAGAGGGAAGGAGGAAGGGATAACATCAGGGAGGAAGAGACAGTATGAAAAGTGATCGCCAGGTGGACCAAGGCTGGACTCCATGTCAGTGGATGGGCCTGTGCTGCCCTCTCGGTCATGTGCTCACCCACCCACCAAGGCCAGCCCTGCTGTGGCCACAGGGAGAACTCACTTGTGTATGTGATGTTGAACCCTCTGCCTGTGGTGGAGTGGTCGGACTGGAATTCCAGGCGCACGATGTGTCCGCTGCTGGCCAGCTGGGGAGGCACCTCATTGCCTGAGAATGTCCCCAGCACGGTGACCTCAGAGACGCTGTCCTCCTTCACGGCCAGGAAGTCGAACTGGGGCTCCACGTCGAAGTCGTTGAAGATGAGATGGATTCTGCTGCCCAGCTCAGCGATGATGAGCCACACACAGTTCATGTTGTTGCCGTACTCCTCCGGGTAGTTTGGGGAGAGGATAACGCCCGAGGAGGCCGTGAAGTTGAAGAAACACGAGACTGTGGGCAGACAAGCTGTCAGCAGCTTTGCTGGCACTGAAGGACATGCCCGGGGCTGCCGGATGCTGGACAGTGAGGGGCTGAGGCCACTGTGCTCCCCCAGAAACCCTCTTCCCAGCATTCACCCCACCTCAATACTTCACCTCAGACACCCCATCTTCCCAGTCCCACCCTAGTCACGCTGTTACCTCAGATGCCCTCCTCCCAGCACTCACCCCAGATGCTCTGTCACGCAGACACCTCATCTTCCTGGTGCTTACTAAGACCCTATCACCTCAGAGACTCTTCCCAGAACTCATTCCAGACACCTTGTCACCTCAGACACTCCTTTTCCCCAATGCCCCAGACACCTTCCTGTCACCTCATATGCCCCTCTTCCTAGCATCTACCCCAGATACCCTGTCACCTCAGATGTCCTCTTCACAGCACCTGCCTCAGACACCTTGTCACCTCAGACGCCCCCTCTTCCCAGTCCCAGCCCAGTCCTGTCACTTCAGATGCCTTCTCTATCCAGTGTCTGTCCCAGACACTCAGTCACCTCAGATCCTCCTTTTCCAAGCACCCACCCCAATGTTCTGTCACCTCAGATACCCCTCCTTCCCAGTCCCACCTCAGACACCCTGTCACCTCAGACATCTCTCCCCAGAGTCTGCACAAGACTCAGACAACCCCCTATTCCACCCTAGATGCTCGATCGCTTCAGACGCTCCTTTTTCCCCAGCACCCCAGACACTCTGTCACCTCAGACAGCCCCCTTTTTCCAGCACCTGCCCCAGATACACTGTTACGTCAGACAGCACCACCAGAGCACCACCACAGAACCACAGGGCGGGGCTTGAGTGACCCTGTGGACTTAGCTAGAATCCGTGGCAAAATCAGTGGTAACAGATCTAGAATGACCCCAGACACAGACCCCAGAATTGAGACAGGGCTGGTACCACTCAGGCTCTGCTGCTATGCAGACCGCCACATCCCCCCCCCCCCCCACGGGCACATTAGCTCAGGCAAGAGGACACAGGTAGGCACTGAGGTTGGGCAGGTGAGGGCAGGTAGGAGGATACAAGGTGGGCTGGGGTCACGCATCAGGTGGACACTCACACACGCAGCTGGGCTTGTTCCCCGACCACTGGTTGTTCTGCTGGCACGTGATCACCCGCTCGCCCACCAGCTCGAAGGCCGCCTGGCACTCAAATGTGAGCGAGTCCCCATGGAGAAAGCTGCTTCCCGTTCGCTTCCCGTAGGCAGGGATGCCTGGGTCCCCGCAGCCCCCCTTCTCGATTTCTGAAAGCAGGAAAGCAGAGGAAGCATTGTGACAGGTGGAGAAAAGAAAGCAAAGAACATTCTAGAAAATTCAGTAACACTCTAGAACATTCTGTAACACCGTAGAAAATTCTGTAACACTCTAGAACAGTCTGTAACACTCTAGATCATTCTGTAACATCCCTAGAACATTCTGTAACACCCTAGAAAATTCTATAACACTATAGAACATTCTGTAACACTCTAGATCATTCTGTAACTCCCTAGAACATTCTGTAACACACTAGAACATTCCATAAACTCTGGAACATTCTAGAACATCCTAGAAAATGCCACTGTGGCTTCCTTTCACCCATCATTGTTACAGTGTTGGGAGGAAGGAGTCACTGCCTGGCCCCAAGAGTGTGCATGTGGCCACACAGAGCAGATTTTATAGTTTGGACACTGGCTGGGATATGTTCCCTGACCCCTGCACAGCCAGCTCAGCACCCTTCACAGTCCTGAGCTTGGTTCACTTAATCTTTGAAAAAGGCACAAGAAATGTGAAGTGGAGCAAGGAAAGCCTCTTCAACAAATGGTGCTGGGAAAACTGGACAGATACTTACAAAAAAAAATGAACTCAGACCTCATGCCAGGCACAAAAGTCAGATCAAAGTGGATTAAAGCCCTCAATATCAGACCTGAATCCAAAAGGTACACGGAGGAAAACGTAGGCAGAACCTTCCATGACATTGAAGCTAAACGCATCTTTAAGGATGAAACATCACTGACCAAGCAAATGGAAACATAAACAAATGGGACTGTATTAAACTAAGAAGTTTCTGTACCACAAAAGAAATAGTGGCCGAAATACAGAGAGTCCATGGAATGGGAAAGAATATTTACCCAATACCCATCTGATAAGGGGTTAATATCCAGGATATATAAGACACTAGTAGAATTGTACAAGAAAAAAACCTCCGACCCCATCAAAAAATGGGGAGAAGAAATGAACAGAAGCTTCCTCAAAAAAGAAATACAAATGGCCAAAGGGCAAATGAAAAAAATGCTCTACATCGCTAATCATCAGGGAGATGCAAATCAAAACAATGAGATATCAACTCACACCATAAAGACTGGCACACATCAAAAGAACAAGAGCAACCAGTGCTGGCACAGATGTGGGGAGAAAGGGAGTCTCTTTCACTGATGGTAGGAATGTTGACTTTTTGGAAAATAATATGGGCATTCCTCAAAAAACTAGAAATTGTGTTTCCATATGACTAGTCCAGTCAGTTTTTATGTAAATCTGGCACAAATGGCTTCGTTCTTCTGTGCTGGGCATTTACATCACTGTTGCTCCTGACCTGGTCTTTACTGAGATTCATGTTATAAACTATGCAGGCCTCTGCAGCTTTCAGGTGAGGTGAAAGGAAAGATGCAGAACCAAAGCTCTCCTCCTTCAAACCTGAGTGCAGTGAAATATGCTTCAAATCCACCCACCCATGCATGTGGTGTTTGCTACATGCTGGCCTGTCCCTGAAGCTATTGGCCAAGGATGGATTCAGCCAGTCACTCTTTCACTCTCAAAGTGTCTCAGGATAACTCGGTGTCAGGCCTTTTCTGGGCATTGTTGGACCAGAGAGAAGGAAATCTGTCAGGGCAGAGCTGCAAGGAAGGATGCGGTGGGTTGTAGAAGCAGGAGTGCATGGAGACGACTGGAAGGAAGAGGAGGTGGGCGGGAAGGGCAGTGGGCGGGAAGGTGCACATAAGCCCCACAAAAGGGGCCCTGGGTGGCACCCAGTTCTGTCTCTGCACCCGGTCAGGTCTGTGCTGGGAGAGGTAAGGGGCCTCGGAGGGTCTCAGGGTAGGCAGATGTGTGTCCTTGCTCTTGTGTGTCCACTCCTAAGCTCCTGCAGGACTTGGGTGCAAAGCAGAGGGATGGTGACTCCGGTGATTGTCCCTTCACACACCCGAGTGCCCTTCTTTGGTGCTGGCACAGCCTCACCTGGCACCAACATCCAGCAGTGGTTGGGGGCACATAGCAGTCTCGTCTGTGCCAGCCTCAGCCGCCGCCCCTGCTTAGCCCTTGAGCTGGTGGCACTTAGTGGCGGCAGGGTGGCATGAGTGAGTGGGGGCCTCTGGGTGCTGGCCTGGCGCCGGCAGTGGCTCTGGGCCCGGGGGGAGTTGCACCACGTCTGAGCTCGGTGGAAGCAGCTCTCCCTGGATCCAAGGCGCCCTGTGACCTCGGCTACAAGGCAATATTTCTGTCACTGTCCTCCCGTTGTTCATCGATTTGCTGGAGCGGGCCCAGTAACATTGTGAAACCTGTTACTGTGTTTGGCATATTGAATACATCAAGGGGAGCTTGCCAGGCTTTGCCGTGCGGACAAGATACTATTGGCAGTTTGCCGGGCTTTCTGAGAGGGGCAGAGGAATCGAACTTATCCATGTTGGCCGCGTGCAAGGCAAACGCCCTACCCGCTGTGCTATCACTCCAGCCCAAGGTAATATTTAGGATAGGTAAAGGTAAAGGCCCTCCCGTTGATCGTCGATTTGCTCGAGCGGGCCCAGTAATGTCTCCATTGGAGACTTTGTTGTTACTGTGTCTGGCAGATCGAATACTCTCGGTAGCTTGCTGGGCTCTCCGAGAGGGGCGGAGGAATCGAACTCGGGTCGGCCATGTTGGCCGCTTGTAAGGCGAACGCCCTACCCGCTGTGCTATCGCTCAAATGAAAGCTTGGGTGCGGTGAACATGGCTAATGGCACGGGACCCTCAGTTGCTCCCCACACCCTGGCAAAAACGGTTGACGCACGTCTGCATGAGTGCAGCCTTGCCCCTGCCTTCTCCCCACTGGGAGCTAGAGGACCCTCGGGGACTAGGGAAAGCTAAAGTGGACTGCCCAAGGCCTGACATTTGGTGAGTGTGACCACCTCTCTGCGGGAGACGCCTCCTCGTTAGTTCTCTGGGCTCTGACTGGGTCAGGACAAACCTGCTGGACATTTGGGTGCTGGCCAGGACCTCAGGCCTCAGGGCCTGCAGCCAAGACTGTGGTGGGTCCTTTCCACTCACTGTCCTCCTCCTCCTCGCCCTGAAAACATGCCCCTAAAGCTCCCCCCCTCTCATGTTCTGTCCATGCGATGCATGTCCACTGGTTGTCCCTCTGTGGGTTCAACAAGCCCCCCACGAGCATGCCGGAGTTCCAGAGGGAAACACTAGAATCAACAAAGTGCAGGATCCGGAAGCTGAGTGGGGAAGTGTTTAACGACAGGAGACAGAAACCCTTGGTACTGGTGACTCCGGAACAGATGGGTCCACAGTCCTGGGAACTTCACGCTCTATCAATACCCCCGATGATCAGCCGTGCTGTCACTGTTACCCAAAGACGGTGTCAGAGCAGCCCCCGCAGGTCTGATATTCAAAACTTTTCCTCAAATCATGGTCACTGGGAAACTTCTATTCACTACCTTGGTCTTTGGTATGTTCTGTCCCCAACCTCCCCTCCCCCACCACCAAATTATGGGGAAACCTACAGATAAGTAGCTAGCTTGTTCAGGCTACTAATAAATGCTTTTAATCCAATTTGGAAATCACACATGCACTTATTTCAGAGTCCTCCCCGGGGGCAGTCTCCTTAGACAGAGGAGGTGTTTGCATGTCGAATCAATTGCTGTGGAAGCTCCATGTTCTCTGGCATCTGCAATGAGCTGACCTGGTAAATGGGCCCTGCGCCCTTTGAGAGATAACTAACAAGCTAAGAGCTTTAAGATACAGCCCTGTGATTTAATCAGCTCAACACCAAGCAGTTTTGTCAAATCCCATTATCTGGAGACAATGCCCACCATCCCTGGCCCTGAATTCATTAGGAAACCAGCACCTTCCTTCCAGAGCCTGAGATTTGACGTTCAATCGTTCTTTTTTAAGTTTCTACAGTTGAGAATGATTTATAGGAGGGCTACAGAGGGGCAAGCCATAATGTGCAAATCTTGCATAATGATTGTTTAATTGACACCCACAACTAAGGGTGCTTTAGCAAAAATTAAAAAAAAAATAGAAATAAGCAGCCCAGCAGGTAGAGCAGCACTGCAGGTGGTTTCAGCTGAGAAGAATCTTCCAGAAGCCTCAGTCTGGAGCTTTAGCAGAAGTTCCAGCTCCAGAGAAGACTTAGCAATGCCGAGCTTTCGGGAGATGACCCACAGCAAAGGAGACCGAAGTCTCACCAATGAGCCCCCATGTGCGGCAGCCACAAGCTTCCCAGAGTGATTCCAAATAACCCCAGTGGAAGCCGATTTCCCCTGGGAGAGGTCGAAGGCTTCAGCGTGAGTGTGAGGTGTACCATGGTGCCATGGGGCTCACTGATGGGCACCGGGTGTTTCCTGGGCAGCAACTTGGGGACTCAGACCCTGGGGTACTCAGTTCCCCTCATTTCTGCTGATGGCAACTCCCCAGGTCCTCAATTTGCTCCCCTTCTCTGTGTTCAGGGGCCCATACAATGGCGATAAATCACCAGGTTCCTGAGGGCTGGAGTGATAGGACAGTGGGGAGGGCACTAGTCTTGCACTCGGCTGACCCAGGTCAATCTCTGGCATCACATATGGTTCCTTGATCACCACCAGGTGTGGCCCCCCAACAGAAAAATAACCCAAAATAATCACTGTTCTTTACATCATCTTTCCTCTTTCCAGAATGGCCAGTTCAATGACCTGCATCTTTCTGAGGGCTCTAGGAGCTTTCCTGAGTGAGCCTCAGCCACAGGAACAGCCGCTGGCCTTGCTGTGGGCTGTGGGTCTGGCTCGGACATGCCCACCACTGCAGAATCTGCTACTCAATGTCAGAACATACATCTTCAATGAGAACAGTCCACAGATGTTTCACTTACTGGACTCCAGCAAAGCCTAGGTCAGGAGCACCAGCCACTGGTCCCTCCTGATGTTCCATGATACAACGATATGTTCTGAGATGCAGTATTGAAGAACTGGTTGTTATCAATCAAATCACCAGAAAACAAAATAAGTAGGAGATTTTGGTTAAGCTCTCATATACTTTCATGACCTGTAGTACGGTGGGGGTGGTCGTGGAAGGCAGCAGGAAGAACCGAAACTTTTGAGGAGATGCCTGAGCAGAGACACCCCCTGACTGGGATCCGGACTCTCTCCTGGCCTCTGAGTCAGACTGCGCTCTGCAACGGAGCTGAACCAGCTCCTGGACCACTTCGCGTGTCTTCTAGCCTCATCTTTAATAATCTGATGATAAACACTCTAGAAAGAAGAGTGTGTATTTTCACAGCAATCTTTGATATGTTCTGTAATGAGGCACATAGGGCCTCAAGATCTGTATCTGAGTCAAAGGCATAGACACGTGGAGTTTGCTGAGTGCAAGGAAAGTGCCTTAACCCCTGCAGTAATCTCTCCAGTCTCCACAAATGACCTTTTCCATCATATCAACGGCAACCATTCTTGGACAAAGCATGAAAGGGTGTTCCTGACTTAAAACGAGCACCAAAAACAGCCTGCTTTGTGATGCACTCACACGGCATGACTCAGGGTGAGGGAGGTGGGAATTCTAAGTGAAGGTCAGCTCAAGGGCAACCATGGTCCTGTCCCCACATCCTGTACTGCTTCTCCCTAAACATAAGCTACGTGGCAGGGAAAGAGCAGGAAGCGTAATGAGCAGCGACAGAGCGGGGGGGGGGCAACCTGGCTGCTCCCTCGCATAGAGCAGCTTCCCTCCCATCCTGAGCCCGAGCTTGTCATGCCTCACAAAACTTCAAAGACTGAAGGGCAAACTCATTTTCTGTGCTTGATCCTCCTGGTGGGGAGGGAAAAAATCAAATGCTATTGTGTGAATTTATCATAATATTGTTCAAGGGGAAAACTCATAAAAACCCGATCTGCGGCTCACTTGGTTTGATGTATCCTCGTCTACAGCCATCACTTAGGGAGAAGAGCAGCATCGGGAATGCAGCTTGCCAGGGGGCCAGCCCTGCACCGCCTCAGCCCTGCACCCCCACTGTGGGGCGGTGTCTGCACCCTTAGTCCTGCACCCCCTGCGCCACAAGGGGTGTCTGCACCTTTAGTCCTGCACCTGCAGTACCTCACCCCTCCACCAGGAGGCAGTGTCTGCACCACCCCAGCCTGTCTGCACCTTTAGTCCTGCACCTGCAGTCCGAAACCCTCCACCAGGGGGCGGTGTCTGCACCCCACCCTGTCTGCACCTTTAGTCCTGCACCCCTCCACAAGGGGTTGGTGTCTGCACCCTGCAGTCCTGCACCCCTCCACCAGGCGGCAGTGTCTGCACCCACAGTCCTGCGCCTGCAGTCTCGCACCCCTCCACCAGGGGGCGGTGTCTGCACCTTTAGTCCTGCACCTGCAGTCCCTCACCCCTCCACCAGGAGGCAGTGTCTGCACCACCCCAGCCTGTCTGCACCTAATCCTGCACCTGTAGTCCTGAAACCCTCCACCAGGGGGCGTTGCCTGCACCCTTAGTCCTGCATCTGCAGTCCCGCACCCCTCCACCAGGGGGCGGTGTCTTCACCCCACCCACCCTGTCTGCACCTTTAGTCCTGCACCTGCAGTCCCGCACCCCCCCACCAGGGGGCGTGTCTGCATCCGCACCCCTCCTTCCTGTCTTTCCCTCCCCTGAATTGGATCCACAGTCGGATTTCTCTGTACTGAGAATAAACACATTCCAGGGGACAGTGGGAAACAAGATCAACCATAGCAGTGTCCAAGACTAATTTAAAAGGAAAAGAAAAAGGGAAAAGTCAAGGAGAGGAGTGCTCTAGTGAGCGGGGCGTTGGACTGGCTTAACTCTGCGAGATTATTCACCCTCTGGAGTAGATCATGTTCTTCGTATATAACATCACAGTCATCACATTCTTGATGACACTCGGTTTCCTTGGCAAGAGCTGCATGAGGAAAATGAGCAAGCCCATGGCTCCCCCCAGCAGCACAGGCTGCGATTGGATGCAGAATTTAGGGGAAGATTTCCACAATCAAGGCAGGGCTCCGACTCCTGAGAGAGGAACAGCAGGACAAGGTCCCTCCCTCCCTCCCTCCCTCCCTTCCTCCTTCCTTCCCTCCCTCCCTCTCTCCTGCCCTTTCTTCCTCCCTCTCTCCCTCTCCTGTCCTTCCTTCCTTCCTTCCTTCCTTCCTTCCTTCCTTCCTTCCTTCCTTCCTTCCTTCCTTCCCTCCCTCCCTCCCTCCCTCCCTCCCTCCCTCCCTCCCTCCCTCCTTTCTTTCTTTCTTTCTTTCTTTCTTTCTTTCTTTCTTTCTTTCTTTCTTTCTTTCTTTCCCTCTTTCATCCGTCCTTTCCTCCCTCCCTCCCTCCCTCCCTCCCTCCCTCCCTTCTTTCCTTCCCACATCCAGATGTACTCAGGGCTTCTCTTGACTCTGTCCTCGAGGGTCACTCCCGGAGGGGTGCAGAACTGACCCGGGGTCCTCAGGCTGCAAGGTGCACCCTGCCCCCATTGACCCTCCCTCCACTTTCTTTAGGAAGTTCGAGCACTGTGAATGGGGCATGTTGTTGTAACTGATTTGCATTTCCCTGTCAACTCACGGGGTACAACCTGGCCCTGGGCACCTCCTGGGGTGAGGGCAAGCCAGGCCCCTGCCTGCCGGTCTGTGGGTGAGTCTGGAGGCTTCATCGAGTCACGAGCCGAGTCCCTCTTCAGGACGTGCTCGGGAAGCATGGGAGACACTTCCTCCTGCCTCGGTCTCCCCCAGGTTGTTCGAAAGCAAGAGCATCGCTCCCACGTCCACACGGTAAGGAGCAGGGCTGCCGCCAGGCAGGTGGGGCTCACGTGTGACCCTGCAGACTCTGAGCCCACAGACCCCTGTCTCAGGAGAGGCCTCCACTCGAGACAGGATGACGGCGGCAGTGGTGCCGGGCCCTGCCTGGGAAGGCACATGGGAGTCAGAGGTTGCCGCTGCCCCATCCCAGGCCCTGCCCAGGCATCTCTGTCCCCGACCGCCCCACCGTACTCAGCACAGCCAGACATACAGCCCCACGACACACATCCCAGGGACTGTAGTGCCTCTGTGAGACAGAGAAGGGGCAGAGGGGTGAGCCCAGGAAGCACCTGCCACTTAACCCGCCAGTGATGCCACTGTGCAGTCCCAAGGCGAGGAAGAAGACAGGGGGAAAAGGGCAGGGTGCGCCTTGCAGGCTGAAGACCCCGGGTAAGATCCCATCCTCGGGTCTCAACCCTGAGTCCTTTAGGGGCGGAGGTGAAGAAGTGCAGTTCCCCGCACACGGGTTAGTGGAAGGCTGCTGGTCACTTGCGGCTCAGAGTCCTGGCCGGACCCCAGCAGCCCCCAGAGAGCTGGGTACAGGGGTGAGAAAAGGGGGGGTGTAGAGGAGAGTGAGAGGGGTGCAGGGGAGAGAGCGGGAGGGGTGCAGGGGAGAGAGCGGGAGGGGTGCAGGGGAGAGAGCGGGAGGTGCGGTGGGGGCTGTCCCAGTGTCATGTGGGTGGGTGGGGCGGTGAGGCCAGGTAGTGAAGCTTCTGGTTGATCTTCCTGAACCGAACAGAGAAGGCTGTGGGGGAGGAGGCTGGCCCCGGGGACGGCCCCAATGCCCTTGCATGAGGAAGTGGTCTTGATTTGTCCTTGGGTGCCAAGGGGCATCGCCCCAGCCCACTCCCAGCCAGTGCCCACCCCCTGGGGAAGCCCCTACCTTGGTAGACGGCCTTGAAGCCGGGCGAGGCGATGCTGTCGTCCGACTGGAGGTGCAGCCACATCTGGTTGCTCAGGCTGACGATGAGGTCGGGCACGCTCGAGCCTGTGAGGCTGTGGAGGGGTGGGGGAATCAGTCAAGGCTCGGGGAGGGGCTTCCTGCTCACCGAAGGGGGCACCACCCGGCACCTCTGTATGTGTCTGTCCATCTGTCTCTGTGTCCACGTGTCTGTCTCTCCGTTTCTGTGTCCACATGTCCATCTGTGCGTCTCTGTATGTGTCCGTCTGTCTCTGTCCATGTGTCTGTCTGTGCATCTCTGTGTCCATGTGTTCATCTGTGCATCTCTGTATGTGTCTGTCTGTCTCTGCATCCACATGTCTGTCTGTACATCTTTGTATGTGTCTGTCTGTGTATCTGTGTCCACATGTCCGTCTGTGCATCTCTATATGTGTCTGTCTGTCCATCTCTGTGTCCACGTGTCTGTCTCTCCATCTCTATGTCCACATATCTGTCTGTGCGCCCCTGTGTCCATGTGTCTGTCTGTGCGTCTCTGCATGTGTCCGTCTGTCTCTGTGTCCACATGTCTGTCTCTGCATCTCTATATGTGTCTGTCTGTCCATCTCTGTGTCCACGTGTCTGTCTCTCCATCTCTATGTCCACATATCTGTCTGTGCGTCCCTTTGTCCATGTGTCCGTCTGTGCATCTCTGTATGTGTCTGTCTGTCTCTGCATCCACGTGTCTGTCTGTACATCTCTGTATGTGTCTGTCTGTGTGTCTCTGTATCCACATGTCTGTGCGTCTCTGTAGGTGCTTGTCCATCTCTGCGTCCATGTGTCTGTCCGTGCGTCTCTGTATGTGCAGAGTCACCTGCCTATGCAAGTGTCACCTCCCCATCTTCTCTTCCTATTGGCACTCCACCTCCACCTTTTCCTCTCCCCGTCATCTCTCGTCAACCATCACTCTCTGCCCATCTGTCTTCTGCAGTCTTTCCATCTGCCTACAATAATCAGTCTACTAGCTAGCACCTATTGATCACCTATCTTTTCTATTACTTATCCATCAGACCCACCTTCAAAGGAACAATAGCTAATTGCCATGCGTGAATACAACTATATCACCCGAATTTTGCCTCAACAACCTGACTTTTTTCCCACGCTTCTGCTCTGATAAACTGACCAGGTGATCCCCTATTTGTGGTCAGTTCAAGGCTTGTCTGGTGCAGAGACACCAGAGCAGAGACCGGCCCGGGGCAGCACTGGGCACAGCATGGCCGGCACAGAGGAGGCCACCCCCTGCCTGGGCCTGAGGCTTCCTGGGTCTCAGGCAGAGATGCTACCTGTGAGCCTCAATGTCAGCTCCCTGCCTCGGCCGGCCCCAGCAGCGACACCCCCGGGGGCCTGCTGGTCCTGGCTCCTTAAAGTCTGCTGTTCCCCAGCCCATCAAGGGCTGGTCGTCAGCACGATGCTCTCATCACCAGCACCTTCATCACATCATCCTCTCAGCAACCACACTGCCATCTTCCTCCTCCTCACACGCCTCCCCATGCTGGCCTCATCACTGTCCCCCTCATCGTTTGGGGGCCTGGGCCACACCTGGCAGTGCTGGGGTCCTGGCCCTGCTCAGGCAGCTCCCGGAGACCCTTGGGGGGGGGCACAGGTGGTGCTGGGGTGGATCCAGGGTCAGTGCACATGAGGCCGGCACCCTACCCCTGCACGGTCTCCCATCCCCCATCCTACTTTTACTACCATCGTTCTATTCATCTCCTAGCTCAGGGCTGACACTTTCGGGCAGAGCGGGCTGTGGGTTGATCACTTTCCCTCTAACTTGGTTTATTTTCTGCTTCCCCCCACCCCCATTTCTCTTGACTAACAATCTCTAGGCTATGTGGGTGCATGGAGAAAGGATTGCTTCTATGTATAGCCTCTGCAAACAGCTCTTTTTCATGTCTTACCTTAAATCCACTGTGCTGGGTAATAAAGGAAAGCCAAAAAGCAGCAATTTCTCTGTTTCCTTCAGCCTCGGCAACCCCCCCTCCCCCCTCCAAACCCTCCCCATGTCCTCAGCGGGGCAGGACGTCTTCGTCCCCCAGGGTCACCTGCTCTGCTGTGGGCACCCATGCTTGGTCCTGCCCCCTGTCACTCACTCGCCCTCTGGGGGCCCTGCACTGGAAACCACTCAGAGGTGGCACTTGTGAAATGCCAGAGTCAGAACCACACCAGCAGGGCAGGGGACACTCATGTTCACACGTGATTGCGTGTGCTACAGAAGCCCACTGCATGCTTATGCTAAACTCACCGTGTCAACAGGACCCACACATTCATGATGCAGGTTTCTACATGTGATTTCTCATGTGGCAAGAGAAGTAAAGGACACGCTCACACACAAGACTAATGATGCATGCGCGCACACACGCACACACACATGCACACACTCATGCATACACATGCACACGCATGTACACAAATGCACACGTACACACAGGCTCACGTCTGCACACACACGCACACACACGCACATATGCACACACATGCTCATGTCTGCACATACACGCACACATGCACACATGCTCACACACATGCACACACAATGCTCACGTCTGCACACACACAGGCACACACGCACACACATGCACACACACATGCACAAATGCATACACACATTCACATCTGCACACACAGCTACTCACGCGGCAGAGAAGAACGACACTCCCATGTGATGGGGCACAGATGTGTGGCTTGTGTATTCACACGTGGGGAGAGACATACTTACACGTACAAAACAGTCCTGGTGTCGCCCACTTTCCCTGCATCGCCGACCGTGAGGGTGTCATAGCCGCGCTCCAGCTCGAACTCCTCAAAGGCGAGTTTGATGACCTGTGGGCCAGGGGGTGGCGTCAGACATGCAGCCCGGACTCAACCCATGCCACCATGCCAGTGCCGTGCTTGCTGCTATTCCTGAGCTGCGGCCCTTCCACGGCCCCAGGCTCTCAGGGCGGCACACCGGGAGGCAGCAGCTCCTACCTGTGTGACCTGAGGTGACTCTCCCCGAGACACACACCGTCACTCTGTGAGAGCTAAGGTGACTCACACCGTCTCTCTGTATGATCTGAGGTAATTCACACCACCATTCTGTGTGACCTGAGGAGACTTTCCCTGAGACACAAATTGTCACTCTGTATGACCTGAGATGACTCACACGGTCTCTCTGTGTGACCTGAGGTGGCTCACACTGACACACACTGTCTTTCTGTGTGACCGGAGGTGACTCTTCCTGAGATACACACCGTCACTCTGTGTGACCTGAGGTGACTCACACTGCCTTTCCGTGTGACCTGAGATGACTCTCCCCAAGACACACACCGTCTCTCTAGGGCACACTTCTAGGGCAGTGGGTGGGACCCTAAGCCTTCCTGCTGAGGAGGGACCCAGGCGTCCCAGGAGAAGTGACGTCTCCTTCTGGCCACTCGGCCCTGAGCTCCCCACGCTGCCCCTGGGGGACATGGCTACAGGATGGCGCCTCCCATGGGCCACTGCCATGATGAAACGGGTCTGCTGACTCGCCACCGGACTTGCACAAGGAGGATCTTATTCGAGGCTTCGTTCTTTACTGACAATAGAGCCTCCAGCTTTGAATCGAATCTTCCGGAAGATACATCTGGCCAGGTGGGCAATGCGTGACCCTGTTCCAGCACCATTCGGTCTAGGGGTCTGTGGACAATGGGGTCGGGAATGGACCAAGAGGGGATGAGACGTGGTCCTGGGGAGCTGAGCATGGACACAGAGGTCGAGGGGGGCGTCCCTGCCAGGTGTCCACAGTGGTCACTCGGCCTGTTTAGGGGCAGCACGGATACTCTCGAGGACAGAGGGCAGCCGGCCACTCTCAGTGGGCCCCTGGGATCAGGTGCTGGGGCGTGGCTCCCCCCTTGCCAGCCCAGTAGTGGCTGAGGCTGGGGCTGTGTCCAGTGCCTGGACTAAGAGGGTGGCCCCCATGTCTGTCTCCTTCTGGAATCACATCGTGCATGTTGCCAGCTGGTCCCCAGAGCCGAGAGAGCAGAAGGAAGGGAAAGGAGAGGGCCAGGTTCCCAGGGAAGAGGAACGAGGATGAGATTCCCATGGAAGCTGCAGGCCGGGTGGCATCGGCTGGGCCACTGGCGGGCAGTCGGCAGCGCACGCAGGCACTATCTGCTCCTATGGATCAGGGTTCGCTCCGGGCAGACGAGCACAGACAAGAGCAGCGGTGACTGCTGACTGCCAGCGTCTCCGATCTGTTTGCCACCCGCGGGTGGGGGCCCCAGTGTTAGGACTGGGGCATAAACGCTTCCCCAGCTGCCTGGGGTCTAACACTTGGGCCAGCGACTGTCTCATCCTGCCGACTAAGGCAGGAAAGTAGCTGATTCTAGAAGTGTCGGAACCTTTGCACAGTGGGAAAGGGCAGGACATAGCTAAGGCTCTGGCCCTGTACAAACCGGGCAGCCCACGGCGTCAGTGCCTGTGTGTGCTTGTGTGTGTGTGGGGGGGTGGCATCAGTGTATGTGTGTGTGTGTGTCGGGGGGCATATAAAAAGTGCATGTGGGGGATAGAGGTATCAGTGTGCGTGGCTATTTGGGAGGGAATCAGCATGTGTGTGTATGAGGTTGGGGGCATGTGTGTGTATGTGTGTGTATGAGGTGGGGGCACATGTGTGCATGTGTGATTGTGCACATGAGGTGGGGGCATGTGTGTGCATGTGTGTGTGTGCCTGAGGAGAGAACATGTGTGTGTGCATGATGGGGGGCACATGTGTGTGCATGTGTGTATATGAGGAGGGGGCATGTGTGCAGTGTGTGTCTGAGTAGGGGAAGTGTGTACACGTGTGTGCATCTGTGTATATGAGGAGGGGGCACATGTGTGCATTTGTGTGTGTGCGCGTATGAGGACGGGGCACATGTGTGTATGAGAAGGGAACATGTCTGCGCACATGTGTGTATGAGGAGGGGACACGTGTGTGTGTGTGTGTGTGTGTGTGTGTGTGTGTGTGTGTGAGGTGGGATGGGCCGTCAGCCCTCCTGGGTTCTGGGCATGCCCCTTGTCAGCACTCAGGGAACACCCTGCCGTGTGCTCTGGGCCACAGGGCTGGGGTCTATGCTGAAGAATCTCTCCCTCTCAGGGACACTCCCCAGGACACAGTCTCCAAGGCCCCGCATCCGTGCTGGGGCCGAGGACACGGGGCCACAGACCCCTAGGAGCCGGAGTCTGGGTAAGAGATAGCTGCTTGGCGAGTGGACCCCAGCCCAGCATAGAGGGGATGCTTGTTTCCTGAGATGGGGGTCAGAGCAGCCCACAGAAGCTGGATGCCATCATGCTGACTGGGCGGCTGCGTCACACTTGGACATGCTGGAACCTCTAGCTGTGCCCAGGGGTGGCAGAGCCCCTCACCCTCTGCCCTCCTGGCAACACAGGCCCAGGGGTCCTGGCTTCAAGGGCAGGGAGGGAATCAGGTGGTCCTCTATGGCCACCACGGGAACTGAGGAGGGCCACGGCCGGGGGCCCGGGCAGTTGGTGCTGGGTGGGGGTGGACAAGGAGGGCAGCCCCCACAGAAGCACAGGGCAGGCAGAGGAGAATGTCAGGGGGGACAGCGCGTCCAGCGGGAGGGACTCTGGGACCCACAGCATGGGCAGGTGCCACCACCTAGTGGCCGAGAGCAGAAACGGAGCCACAGAGCACCGGGAACAGAGTCCTAGCCTGGCGGGAGGGAGTTCCAGCGTCCACTTCGTCCAGTGTTCCCACTGCATCTAACACCGCCCCCCCACCGTGTCCAGCTCCCCCGCTATGTCTGGTGTACCCACCGTGTCCGGCTCCACTTCTGTGTCCAGTACCCTACTGTGTCCAGCTCCCTCTACTGTGTCCCAGCTCCCTACACTGTGTCCAGCACCCCGAGTGTGTCCAGCACCCCTTGCTATGTCCGAATGGTCCCCATTGTGCCGAGTCACATCCCCGATGGCCCCCACATCCCCCCCACTGGCAGCTTCTCTGGATGTGAGGGTGAGGATGTGTCTCTCCATGACCCCTGTGTCCCCCCTTTTCTGTGGCAGTGCAAACCTGCCTGACAGAGACACCGGACACCCAGACCCAAGCAGGAACATTTTATATCCACAGTACAGAGACGAGGGGGCCCGAGCATAGGGCTGTGCCCATGGGTCCTGGGCTCCTGGTCTCAGCACGAGGTGCCACCTGTGGGCGGGAGGGAGCAGTGCAGGGCAGGGGGCAGTCAAGGGCTGGGCTTGTCTCCAAGTCCTGGGCAGCTCAGAGCTGGCATGCCCTGTTGGGGTGGGGGGTGGGGGGCTGATTCTGGGCCACTGGTGGGGGTGGAGTCTGGGGAGAACCCAGGGTCGCAACCGCACACACACATCCCACTCGGAGAAATTCCATATCGGAAGGATTTCTCACTTGCTTCCCCTCAAGATTTTGCATAATTGTAGCTCATTTTCTTTAATCCTACACCAGGAAAGCTTGTTTTACATATAAATTTAAAATGTGTACATAGACATGCACTCGCTTGCGATCATTTTAAATCAGAACATTTCACCCTCCCCTCCCCACCCCCCACCAATATGTGCCAATCTTCATTTCCATTCCTCCTCGTTTCCCTGTATCTGATTATCTGGATCTTGCCCGTGTAAGGCTTAGGATACACGTGTGAGCACATGTCATAAATCTACTGTGTGTCGTAAGGCACGGCCCGGGTGCTCCAGTGTGTTCTGCAATGAAACAGAAATAGCTCAGCTGAGCGCTCTGAGTCAGCGAAGACCCCGGTCCCCGGGAAATGAAAGCTGCTTCTCCAGAAACGGCTTTCGGGTGGTGCCTGTTCCTCCCCGCGTGAGGGCAGGCCCTGGTAACGGTCATCTTACTACGGGGCTTTGAAGCAACACGCTAGTGGCTAGTGGCACAGATTCGGACCAGTTAACTAGAACGGCAGCGAATCAACTCTGAGGACACAGCATTGTTTGGGTCCTGCTGTGCCCGGGGGCCTCTAGGGCTGCGCCTGCCAATGTCCAGGGGATAGTCCAGCTCAGGCACAGGCGGGGCAGGGGGCCTGACCCCTCCTAGCACCATCTCCCACCCAGAGTGCTGGTTTTAGACCAGCCAAGGACAGCAAGGAGCAGGCACGTATGCAGCCACTGGTGAAAGTCACTTGACTCCTGGAATCTCCTCAGGTTTTGGGCTTTGGGCCCTGGTTACATACAAGTGGCCGCTCCACTAAAGAGCACCAGCTGCTGGACACTGCAGAGTCCCAAACGCCACGTGTGCATTTACAACCACAAAACTCAGACTGTCAGAGGCAGGCTGGGATGCAAGTGATCCTGGGAGATGCCAGAACCGGGTCATTCTGGAACAAAACAGAACCTGCTTTCTCATCTGCAATTCCAGCACACGGAAGATGAAAACAAATCCCCAAACTAACCAGAGTAGACACAGGACACGGATGGACGAGTGGCCCGAGGCTCCCGAGGGAGCTGAGTGACGAGGTAGGGGGCACACTGCGACTTCCCGGGTCCCTCCATTCAAGGGCAGCTGACCAGTGTCTGGACACACGAGGTCCTGGGGGATGTGCCTGGGAAGCCCCTCACCCCAGGGACGGGCCCACGCACCCCTATCCCTCTGCCCAGCCCTCGATGGGTCACCTATGGAGACCCCAGAAACCCTGGCCAGCAAGCTGGGGCTGCCTCCCAGGACACAGTCAGGGTTGTGGTCATCTCGTCCCAGCAACACCCGAAGGGTGAGTCCGTCCCTGCGTCCAACTGTCCTGAGAACATGCTTCAGGGGCAGTTCCCACAGTGGCCCAAGGTGGTGGCATATTAAACGGGGGCTTCCTGTCCGCGAACTATGTCCAGATCAAACCCACAGACCACTCGAGAGGACACGACTCCCACCCTCGAGGCCTCCCTGATCTGTGTCAGATGGGCACTGCCCCCAGAGCCCCTGTCCCTGCCCCCTGCTCTGGGGAACCAGCATGCATTCCTTCCACACATCACCTCGTAATGCTGAGATGGGCCCAGAGGGAGCCGTGGACACAGCCCTCACTTGCCCCGCTGGGGGGAGCCCCAACTCCGCACTGCCCTTGCCCCCCACATCCTGCACAGAGCCCAAAGCCCGTGACTGGTGTGCAGCTGAACAGGGGGGGGGGGCGGGGAGAGGGAGGAGATGCTGCACAAAACAGAGCAAAGGGGAGGAGGAAAGTGTCAGGAGAAAATCATCAGCATCCGACTGAGGAGCATGTCAGATGCCAGGGAGGCCAGTGAGGAGATGACAGTCGGACTGATGGCTGAGTCTGGGGTCCTGAGAGAATCAGGGGCGTCTCACCTCCACGCCTAGATGCTCAAGGACACACACATGCACACAGACTCTCACGCAGACACAGAAGCACACACGCAGGCACCCACACTCAGATCTCACATGCATACATGAGTACACACAGAAACGTAGGAGCACACACATGCACATATGTGTGTACACTAACCCGCAGGAGCACACAGGCATGTATACACAGATACAAAAACACACAGGAACACACACTTGCACTCATGCATACACACACGCATAAACACACACAAGACTACACACACATGCACTCAGACATATAGAGACAAACCACAGGACTATATGCACGCACTCATGTGCACACACACAAACATCCATGGACCACACACACATGCATTCATGCGTAAAAGGTAAAGGTAAAGGCCCTCCCGTTGATCGTCGATTTGCTCGAGCGGGCCCAGTAACGTCTCCATTGGAGACTTTGTTGTTACTGTGTCTGGCATATCGAATACTCTCGGTAGCTTGCCGGGCTCTCCGAGAGGGGCGGAGGAATCGAACTCGGGTCGGCCATGTTGGCTGCGTGTAAGGTGAACGCCCTACCCGCTGTGCTATCGCTCCAGCATTCATGCGTACACACACACAAACACACACAGGACCACACACATATGCACTCATATGTACACACACAACTACAGGACCCACACATGCGTTCATGTGTACACACAGACATGCACTCATGCACACACACACAAACACACAGGACTACACTCACATGCACTCAAGCATACACACACTCAGAAACACACAGGACCACACACACATGCACTCACGCATACACACACTCAGAAACACACAGGACCACACACACATGCACTCACGTATACACACGCATAAACACACATAGAACTACACACACATGCGTTCATACGTACACACAAATAAACACATAGAGGACCACACACATGCACTCATGCATACACACACATAAACACATAGAGGACCACACACAAATGCACTCATGTGTACACACAAAAATACACACAGGAACACACACATGAACTTACCATGTATACACACAAACACACAGGACTACACACATGCACTCACACATACACACACAAACACATATAGAACTACACACATGCGTTCATGCGTACACACACATAAACGCATAAAGGACCACATACACACATGCACTCATGTGTACACACACAAATACACACAGGACCACACATATACACTCATGTGTGCACACACAAACACACAGGGCCACACACATGTACACGTGTATATACACAAACACACACAGGACCACACACAAATGCACTCATGCGTACATACACAAATACACACAGGACCACACATACATGCATAGCACACTCGGGCCCAGAGGCAGGTCTGCACCTCGGCCACCCAAAGGATAACTCAAGAACAAGAACCGGCGGAAGGGGTCCCCACCCGCCTCCGCCCAGTTCGTTGCCTGCCTCAGCGCTGCCCAGGGCCACAAGTTTCCCGAGCAAAGAGGCCAGAGGGCACTCTGTCTCCAGAGGGGGTCCCGATGGCCACGATGGGAAACAGAAGCAAACAATGGCCCGAGTCCACTTGCTGAGGTACTCTCCATCCCGGACCCCCTGCAGGAGAATGTTCCAGAGGTCCAATGGGCACCCCCATCCGGGAAGGAGCCAGGCTTCTGAGGCCTCTTGGGAGATGCGTCCACCCGCCCTTGTCTCGCTACCGGGGGGGACAGGTCTTTGGAGCCTCCCCCCACACCCCTCCCCTTGCAAGTCGGCCCCTTCTCGGCCTCTCCGCAGGCCCGTCTCCACCCCAAGCTGCCCTGGAAAACCCCCTTATTTGGAATTTCTCCCAAGGAATCAAATTAAGTCTAATTATACTTAATGGCAACGACTGCTGCTTAATTTGGATGGTAATTCTGCTTAATCGAGACACCGTCAGGTGTCAGAGGTGGGAGTCTCAGGGAGGTGCGGACACAGGGAAAGGCGTCCCGCAGCAGTTGGAGGCCTGCCTGCTCGGGGGCTGGCCAGTGAGGGGTGGACACGTGGCTGTGTGATGTGCAGAAACCTGGAGGAACAGCAACTCAGAAAGGGGGAGAAACTCACGGAGGGGATCCCCCACCCCGTGGCCAGGGTCCCTGCTGCCAGGCAATCCTGGTCAGGGCCCCCAAGTTACCCTCAGGGTGTCCAGAGAGAGGAGCTGCTGGGCCCAGGGACAGCAGCTTGATCCTGGGCACCACATGGTCTTCAGAGCCCCCCAGGAGTGACTGCCCTGAGCACTGCCAGGTGTGGCTCCCAAACAAACAATGCCAGAGACAATGTCCTCAGGAGTCCATGGGCAGGTAAACCCGCGGCCACAGAGTCCCCCCTTGAGGTGACCACCAGAGCTGCCTTCCTGACTTCACTTAGGGACGGGAAGGCTTGGGAACATTCTAGAAGCTCTCATGCTGAGAAAGTCCCCTGGTCTCCTCACTGGTCTGCCTGTGGCCACAGCCTTGAGGTCTGAAGCCTCCCTGCCCAGGGGTGCGGCAGAGCACAATGGTCTTGGGGTCCACAAGTGTCCCCAGAGGACATCATGTGAGATGAGTAACCTCATGTGCCACTGAGGCATCACGTCGCTGTGTGTCTGTCCAATGACATCATGAGGTTGCAAGGGAGGGGCCTGTGAGGTCACTGAGACCCACTGTGAGGTCACAGTGATGTCATTGTGATGCTGTTGTGACGTAGTGCTGCGGAGAGCAACAATGACCCCCGAAATCACTGTGATGTCACTGTGGGGCACTGTGATGTCATTGACATGTCTTGTGATGTCACTGCCTACAATAGCCCACCTGTGCTTTCAAATTGACCACCACTGCCCGCCTGTGCGCTCTCACCTACAGCCACTGCCCACCTGTGCGCTCTCACCTACAGCCACAGTCCGCCTGTGATCTCTCACCTACAGCCGTGCCCACCAATGATCTCTCACCTATGACCGCTGCCCGCCTGTGCTCTCTCACCTACAGCCACTGCCCGCCTGTGCTCTCACGCCTACAGACCATGACCAAGTCTCCCTGTGGGAAGCCGTCCTGACTCAGTCGGGGATAATTCCTCAGTGGTGACATATTTCACAGCTGTTGGGGCCCCAGAGGTCACACAGTGCCACCTGCCACCCTCGCCTCAATAACCAACAGAAAATCATCCTGAAAAGCAGCTGAGTTGCAGATCCCAAAGGAAGTGAACACACGGGGGAATCTCATGTCGTCCTGAGTGCTGACCTGTTGCCTAACCACCATGGCCAAGCTGGCCTGTGAGCTGAGCCCCTGCACCCCGGGGCACAGCACTCAGACACCGACCCTTGGGCGCTCCTCCTCCCCACCCACCCCTGCAGTGCTCCTCTTCCCCTCCTCCTCCCCACCCAGCCCTGTGGTGCTCCTCCTCCCCACCTAGCCCTGCAGGGGCTGTTCCAGGCCCCCAGGGGCAGCCCGAGCCCTACCTTGTCGGGGTCCGAGGTGGTGATGACCCACACACATTGCGCGTTGTCCTCGTACTGGACGGGGTAGTTTGGGGAGGTGATGATGCCCGAGGGCCCTCGCAGGTTCGAGCCACACGTCCTGGCTGCAGACACAGAGAGAGGTCAGAGTCCCCAGTCCTCAGCTGCCCACCGGGAAAGCTCTGAAACCCGCATCCCAGGTGGCCAGTGTAGTGGTGGATGCCGGCGGGTGCTGGTACCCCATGATGCAGACGCCCCACCAGGGAGGCTGAGGTGTGGGGAAGCTTTGTGAGCACCACTACAGAAGAAGGCAAAGGAGCGATTGGCGTTCGGCTATACACGGCTTGTGGACATTAGATGGAGACCACGAATTCATCCCCGAGTCACAGAAAACAGGACACCCAACCCAGACTCACTGGGCAGCCAGCGAGGCTGGGAGTGTGGACACGTGACCTAGCTGTCCACAGTCACTCCCAGCCATGGACACCTCTCTAGTTGTCCATAGTCACCCCTGGGCACAGAGCTGGCCTGCCGGACTCACTCCCAGGGACAGAGCTGGGCTGTGGTCAGTGCTCAGGTGTGGCATGGCTGCTACTAGCCACTCTGGACTCTCACCTTTGGTCACTGAAGTGGACCCTGGGAGCTGGGCCACAGCCCAGCTGTTGGTGGCATGACCCTGTCTATGTAAGGCCCCACTCCCATCTCAGAGCCACATGACCCCTGGGCAGCCCGGGAGGCCCCCGGCACTGCTGGGCACTGACCAGCCCAGTCTGAATGGCCGAGCGCTTTCAGATTTGAACACAGACCCTGCAGAAAGTGACTCTCGTCACAGTGCCTCTGCCGAGGAGGAAGCCTGTGACGGCCCCTCAGAGAGAGGTGGCATCATGCCCCAGGGCTCCTGCTGACACTGGCCACAGAGGCCACGGTAGCAGGGACACACAGGGAAAACCAGAGCATCTCTCATCCCTGCACTGCACCTCAGCCTGCTCAGGTGCAATGAGGTGTGGCAGAGAGAGGCCACGGGGCAGAGCGCGGGAGACTAGAGCCAAGGCGGGCATGGGCGCCCCCCACCCCACACCCCCTGCCCCCAGAGCAGGAGAGATGGATGAGAAGAGCAGAGCCCACATCTAGGTCTCCTCAGCAGCCTGCACTGGGCGCCCCCAGGAACGGCACCAACACCCTGACACAGTGACACGGATGGCAGCTGCCACCCCGGCTGTGAGCCAAGGACTGTGAGCGCCTGGGGGAGGAGAAACGCTATGTGGGAAGATGCAGTAAAACACAGACACTGCCGGCCAGTAGCTCCGACCAGAGTGGGTGTGCACCTCCTCCTTAGGAGACCCCCACCCCCCCACCTCAGGACAACGGGCCGCGTCCGGGTATCAGATCTGAGCACTGATGTGAATGGCTGTGCTGCTCCTGAGATTTCCCCACAACCCACTCAGCATCTGTACTCGTGGCTCTGCACCCCTGCGTGGGGTTCCACAGATGCCAGGACCACCCTCAGGGGCCTAGGACACTCCCGGGGGGTGGCTGGTAAAAATCACATCAATGGGCCCCAGCTGATGGGTATAGGGTGGGAGGGAGAGAGATGCTCAGGGAGCGTCACTTATCGGCCCTCCTCGGCCCCAGTGGAGAGTGAAAGATTGACAAGAAGAGCAGATGCGCAGAGAGCACACGTAAGAACAGACTTTGCTTCCCCAGACCCAGAGCCGAGACCAGAGGTCACCATGGGGATTCGCACACAGGACCCCCCCCCCCCCCCCCCCCCCCGCATCGCACTCCCTGGCGTCTGTTGTCAGGGCCAGGATTTCAGAGAGGGCTGAGAGAGTCTCAGGTGAGAGAATTCCTTGGAAGCGCTCCTGTCACTCACGGGCTTCGCTGTCGAGTCAGAGATGTGTAAGTCATCTCCAGCCCCCTTGGTAAACTTAGCTGTGGAAGTTTGCTGGAAACAGAGCACCACACAGTGAATATCTGCCTGTGAATATCTGCCTCCTGTCGAGGGCATTCATCCTGGGGCTATTCAGGGTATTGAAGACCATCGCGTATTTCTGGGAAGGCCAGCAAGTGGACACCAGGCCTGGCCAGTGTCTCCACAGCTGGCTTTGAAGCTCAATCCTGAACCGGGTTCATTAAAATCGGCTCTTGGCTTTCTGTGAAATACAGCTCACCCACTGCTTGGGGGAAGACGATTCCCAGTGATTATCTTTTCAGAGAGACCCGCGGGAGTGAAATATTTCTAGGGACAGACACTTTCTCCACACCCAGCCTACAGCGTGCCGTGGCTCAAGGCAGCAAGAGATTTCTCACCGACCATTCTCCAATTAATTCATGAGAGAGATTTGTCCTTTTCTTCCCCAGAATGAAGCCTCGGTCTCTGCAATGCATCTTCTAATAAATGAGAAATCATAACACTTTTTTTTTGTCCCTTCAATTTTAATCAAGCCATCAAAATCGCCAGATGAGAGGAAAGACGTGGGAAGTGTTTGTTCCGTTGGCCTGAAACACAACAGATGGAACAATCTGGGACATTTATCTGATTGTTCCTCCCGGAAAGGCTTGCAGCTTGGGAGTGGCTGGAAGCTTCAAGAATCGCATCTAATTCTGCTTTTGCTTTTGTTCTGAGCCACACGGGGAGGTGGTCAGGGCTTCCCCTGGGCATGCACTCAGGGATCACTCCTGGTGGTGCTGGATCCACTCTGCAGAGCTGGATATGGACCCAGCCGGCTGGGTGCAACGCAAGTGCCTTAATCTCTGTACTTTTCCGTTGGCCCCATATTTTATCTTTTTTAACAAAACCAGAACCGGAACCATGTTGAGAGGGAAGCTGGATGGGAGGGGAGTCTGATTCAGAATGCCAACTTATGCTATTTTTCATTCAACTGGTAAACGTTTGTTAAACGCTACTTTTGCATGTATTTCTCTTATGGAATACAAAGCCACACTTTATCTACGTATGTAAATTTAGTTCTAGGAATCTGCCGTTCTATAGCAAACCACTTCATCAAATTAAGTGAGGAGAGGAACATTCTAATTGAATACATCTAAACTAAGATGGCATTGGGGCCCCACGCTTTCCCAGCACTGAGGCTGTGCCATGGGTCCGTCTTGTGTGTTTAGCAGGAGACAGGTTGACCTCGGTGCCAAGTCAGGTGGTGAGACACAGAGGGTAAGGGGTGGGGAGCCACACCCAGCAGTATTCAGCAACTGGGCCAGGGGGTGTCAGGGTCCTGGGCCCCTGGAGCCCCCAGCAAGTCTCAGGTTTCTTGGGCTGTGCTGTAGCCCCTGGGCTGTCCACTCACCCCCCAGCTCCTGGGCTGGAACACATGGGGCCCAGGACTCCTTCGACTCCTAAGTGGACTTTGGCCTTCACTCTCCTCTCTAGTCCAACGCAAACAGCTGCAGTGCCCACGTCCAGTGTGAGACTCCTCTAGGGGCCAGACCACCACAGGACACGCAGAGGGCCTGGGGACCACACGCTCAGGAGAGGCTGGCTGAGGAGAGGACGGGAGTTCCAGCGGGCAGCAGAGTCCCCGAACATGGTAAATGACATCAGGGAGTCAGCACAGAGCGATCCTGGGCCTGTCTGAGCAACACCACTGGCTCCAAAGGGCTGTTGGTTCCACGTCACTAGAATCTGGGGCGTTTCATTAAAAACACAAGCCTGAGGCTGGAGTAATAGCACAGCGGGTAGAGCATTTGCCTTGCACATGACCCACCTGGGTTAGATTCCTAGCATCCCATATGATCCTTTGAGCACTGCCAGGGATAATTCCTGAGTGCAGAGCCAGGAGTAAGCCCTGTGCATTGCCAGATGTGACCCAAAAAGAAAAAAAAACTAAAATTAAAAAATAAAAACACAAGCCTTCCTCCTTTGCCTTGACAATAAAAACATAAAGAGCAAAACGCGGCATTCTCCCAAGTGAATTTCAAGTCAAACGTGCAAGGCCCTAGGAGTTTGAAGGCAAAAGAGGAAAGAAGTTCTCTATGAGTTCCCTGGGATTCAATCAAGTTTACAGTGCAGGGGGCACCTCATCTGGGTAAGCCGCAGGAAAATGCACACAGGGGGTTCTCCCAGGAAGGGAGAATGGGACACCAACCCCAAGAGATCTCTCTCCACCCGTTTCCTCCGCAGTAACTGACACAATCGCCAGGCCATGCGGTAGCCCGAGATCCGTTGCAGAGAGGTGGACAGTGAAGCTGCCACACGGAGCCACAGTGGACACTCAGCAGCTAAGGAGAGATGAGCCTGCGCTTGGCACGGGAGAAGAGAGGTGGAGTGAGAGGACACGCAGTGACCCTGTCAGAGAAAGAAGCAAGGAGATAGGACGGGCAGCACTGGGTTAAAGAAATGAGGAAGGATGGATGGAGGAGATGGCACTGCAGACGGGGAGGGCAAGGCGAGGGCACTCGGCACTGGTGGGAAGAGAGATGAGGCCACGTTGTACCCCAACCTTCAAGAGCCAACACACCAATGGAGAATGGGCACTGGTGGAGGGATGGGTACTCGAGCACTGTATGACTGAAGCACAAGCATGACAGTATGTAAATCTGTAACTGTACCTCACAGTGATTCACTAATACAAATTTTTTTTTAAAAATGCAAAAAACAAAAAAACCTTAAAAAATTTTCTCAGATAGGGGCTGGAGTGATAGCATAGCGGGTAGGGCATTTGCCTTGCACGTGGCCGATTGAGGTTCGATTCCCAGCATCCCATATGGTCTCCTGAGCACCGCCAGGGATAATTCCTGAGTACAGAGCCAGGAGTGATCCCTGTGCATCGCCGGGTGTGACCCAAAAAGCAAAAAAAAAAAAAAAAAAAAAATTCTCAGATATCTTTGGATTGGGGCATTTATTCTGCACCTTCTCATGCATCTGCCTCTCACCCTCTGAACAGTGCCCTTCATAGTTTGTTACCCATTTTCTCTTACCACTAATAACAATCTTGTGCAGAAACACACACACACAAACACAAAAGAACCAACATGCTGAGTTCAGTTCAATGAGGTTTCTAAGGGGGCGGGGGGAGGGGCAACAGCGTGGGGCCCAGGGAGGGAGCCTGATGGAGTGGGCATTTTGCTGTCCGGACACTGTCCACCTGACACTGTTACTAACAGAGTGAGAATCTAGTGCCTGAACACGAGTCTGGAGAATCAGCGGTGCAGGACTGAAGGTGTAGCACAGGGCAGTGTATGTGCCTGGCATATAGGCCCGATCTGGTCCACGGCAGCCCACAGGGTCCCCCAAGCCTGGCTGCCAGGAGGGATTCCCGAGTGCAGAGCAAGAAGCAAGCCCTGAGCACTGCCTGGTATGGCTGCCCCTGTCCAAACTCACACAAAGCTGATGGGCAGGGGCTGGAGAGAGAATTCAGCAGATGCCTGTGAACAAGTTGGGCTCGATCCCTGGCACCCACATGGCTGGAAGCAATGCCGGGCGCCAGCCCTGAGCACGGTTGGGTGTGTTCTCTCTCCTCCCCCTCCCCCCCAGCGCAAAGTACGTCTACTTAATTAAATTTCTGCTCAGAGTACCTGGGAAGCCAGGGGCGCAGGGAATCGCATCCCTGTTCCTGACTCTGACCTCGCACAGGGAAGAATCAGCTTCATGTAGTAAAAGCCTTTTCACTGTTACTGAAAAGGTCGGTTCTGCCCGGCAGAAAGGAAGACGCTTAGTAAATGGCGAGTGGGCAAGTTGAGGGAAATCCTTCGGGAACCTAACCTGAACCTAACTCAACCCAAGGGAGCAGAGGCCTTATCCTGGGACCCCCGTGGTTCTCACTGGCTCCTCCTGGTCACATCTCCAGGCTGGTAAAACTCTGCAGGTGTTGAGGGGGAGGTTACTCCTGTTAGCACGGAGTGGAGGTCTCTGTGTGTAAATACCCCCCTGTAAGTCCCGGGACTAATGTCACCCCTGGGATATTTCACTTCACAGGGCAGAATTGGCTCCTCTTTCTTCTTTGCTTTCCGGCTTATGTTAAAGATAGTTACATTGTATTATGCGCCTCCCAATACTGTTCTCCGCAACATAAATCAAAATAGCTGATTTCTTATGCCTGAAGGGAGTGAGAAGCGTCCAACTAAGCACAGGTCTAATTACTGAGCTGTGTGAACCACTGCTCTGGTTCCTCTGTTCCTCCATGAGAGGAAAGAAAGTCTCACCCAGCCCCTACACCAATCAGCAAGCAAAAGCACTGGCTAATAATGACACCAGGGCCTGATACCAGAGATAGGCATCTCTCAAGTAGTGCATCACCAGCCTCCAGGAGGCTCCCTCTTAGAGAGCAGGCAGTGGTGAGCTGGACGTCAAGCCCCAAGTTAGAGACGACGGGGACCCGACATCAGCCTTGCTGGCCCTCTGGTCTGGAATCTGCAGACTAGCCAGACCAGGCGTGTCTTAGTCTGCCCTTGATGGATGGCTGTGTTTGGACTCCACGGGCTGGACGCTCCCTATCACTCCTCAAAAGACTCGGATTCAACCATGGATACCTGGGCCAGGATGTTCCCTTCTCATTCATTCATTCACACACGCTGTTTGTGGAGCAGATAGCAGGGGCTGTGAGATGAATTTGGGAGTTTGCACTGGGCAGGCCGCCCCCAGTGAGAGGCCAGCCCACCTCTCAGCACAGTCTGCTCGGGGGACAAAATAGGAAAAAAATGCATGAGTTGTATCTACTCCCCCTACATTTGACACATCAGGAGATGTCGCCATGGAAATTGCTGTCCACACTTTGCCTCCAAAAATGTCCCAAATGGTCTCACTAATGAGGGGGGGCACTCCTAGGCAGGTGGGGACGGGGTTTGAAGGGGGAGAGAAGAGGTCGCCAGTCTGAAAGCTTGGGTGGGTTCTGCAGAGAGAGCTGCATGGAGGAAGTAGTAGGTAGCGGCTAACTTATGCTCCCCACTCCCCATGCCCTCGCCCACCCCCGCCAGGAACAGACAGAGACCGGCTAAGCTCAGCTCCTGTAGTGCCCTGGGGCTGCTCTGTGGCACTGATGGGTGCTGGGGGTGTGGAGATGCACCCGGGGCCCAGGACTGGGGACACACTAAGGCATCTGCTGTGAGCTTCTGGAGGTGGAACACCAAGAGGGGTTGTCTGCAGGACACACATTAAAGAATGGTCTCGACTGTTTCCCTGCCTTCCAGACGCAGTGAGGCCCCATGCACATCCTCACGACACACTCCTGTCCTCAGGGCTGGTCTGTTCTGATGGTGGCTGCTGTGGCGAGGGCCACTCCCGATGGACCAGTGGACACACACTGGCCCAGGACCCTGTGTGCAAAGTACATGCTCTACTCAGGGCCCTGGGGCCCGGCCTGCATCCCATGTCAGTGGGGGCTCAGGGCAGCCTTCCTGGGGGACAGCCCGCAGGAAACTGTCCCCTGGTCTGGGCCGTGAGCTCAGTTCCCAGAGTCTGACTCTGGGGCCCGTGGGGGAAAGAGCAGGAGAGGTCAGTGCCTGGAGCAGGGCTGGGAGGTGTGTGCTGGCCGTTTGGCAATGGGCTCACTCCCCATCTTCCTGGATGGACAAGCAGGTGCCAGGCTGGTGTTTCCAGACAGGACAGAGGGACACGGGGGCTAAGGGGTCTGTCCAGGGGTGTGAAGTGGCCAGGGGGCGGCAGGAGGGGGCACTGTTATGGGGCGACGGAGCAGAGGAGGGTCTGCCCAGCGGTGAGAGAGGAGAGGGCTGGGCACTCAGAGACCCTGAGGCTCTGTCGGCGGCCACCCCCATTTGTACGGGAGACCCCCTGAGAAGCACGTGCCGCCATTTTTCTCTTCATACCCACCAATTGCCCGAGTCAGGTCGGGCCTCTGCTTTTATGGCTTTCCTCGTTCAGGCAGCCGGGCCTGCTCCCTGCCGGTTCCCTGATGGTTCCGATTGCCTGCAGCACCCCTGGCCCTCCCAGAAATTAACGTCCTGTAGAGGTCACTCCCCTAACACACACTGAGGGCAAACAAAGTGGTCACTTATCCCATGGGAACAAGTTGCATGCTGTGTGACTCACTCTCTGCAGCACCGTCCAACCCCCCAGGGCCCTGTAGTGACCACCTCACCCCAGGGCCCTGTAGTGACCACTCCCAGAGCCCCATAGTGACCACCCCACTGCAGGACCCTGTAGTGACCACCCCACCTCAGGACCCTGTAGTGACCACTCCCAGGGCCCTGTAGTGATCACCCCATCCCAGGGCCCTGTAGTGACCATCACACCCCAGGACCCTGTAGTGACCATCACACCCCAGGACCCTGTATCGACCACCTCCCAGGACCCTGCAGTGACCACTACACCTCAGGGCCCTGTACTGACCACCCCAGGGCCCTGTAGTGACCACCCCCTAAGGCTCTGTAGTGACCACCACACACCAGGACCCTGTAGTGACCACCTCCCAGAGCCTTGTAGTGACCATTCCACCTCAGGGCCCTGTCGTGACCACCCTAGGGCCCTGTAGTGACCACTCTCCAGGGCCTTATAGAGACCACCCCCCAGGGCCCTGAGTGACTGCCCCACCCCAGGACCTCAGAAGCATGGCTCACCTCGACAAATGGGCCGGTGGTCACTCCAGGCAGCCAGTGTCTCGGTCACCCTCTGGCAGGTTATGCTCTTGGAGCCCTGGAGTACGTAGCTGTCCTCGCATGAGAAGTGGACACTGGCCCCGACCCTAAGGACAGAGAGAGAGAGAAGGTCATCTCACAGCATGCTGGGGGACTCACCTGTCAGAGCTGTGAATGGCGTGAACCCCCAAGAGCTGCAGGGCTTGGGTCAGACACAGCCTGTTCCTCCAGGTCCAGAGCCCCCAGCCTAGTCGTCGTTGTCGTTGTCATTGTCGTTGTCCTCCTCCTCCTCCTCCTCCTCATCATCATCACCATCATCATCATAACTGGAGGCGCTGGAGAGGGCTGAGGACCCCGAGGCAGAGGGCCGGCCCTGCTTCGTGAGGACAGACATGGTCACGTCCACCTTCAGGACTGGGAAGAGGATGATGGGTCGGGAGGGGCTTTGGAGCCACGCCTCCCAGGCAGAGGCTTTGGGTGAGGTGAAGGATGCTGGACGCCCGAGGCTTTCTCTGCATCCTCAGTACAACCAAGGCTCCACCACCTTTGTGGGCCTGACACTCACAGCCATGGGTGCGCGTGGGCTGAACCATTGTTGCATCCCTGGGATGAATCCTACAGGGTACAAGGGCAGGACCCTTATGTTTCGGGGGGGGGGGGGTGGGAGTTGGGTCACCTCCAGCAATGTTCAGGGGCTTCCTTTTGCCCCCGCACCCAGGAACTTCTTGGTGGTGCGTGGGGGACCCTATCAGGCGTTGGAGTCAAACCTGGGGAGCAGCAGGCAGGGCAGGCACCCTCCCCCATTCTCCCCCTCTGGGGTCAGCACAGGACCCTGCAGAGGGTGGACCTGCATGCTGGGTGTGTGCTGATGAGCTTGGGCTGGGGGCAGTGACAAAGCACACGGGCGTGCCCATCACCACCACCCGAGCCTGTTCGCTCCGTCCTGCTGGCAGGGAAAGATGAGTGTCCCAGCGGCCACCGGCCTGGGCAGGCTCCCACAGGGGACAGTGGGTGCTGTGTGGGGGTCCGAGGTCCTCTCACCATAGCTAAAGCTTACAGGGTGTTTGTTCTTGTCCCAGAGAAGAGACAAAGGCAGAAACAAGCTCAGTCAGATGACCTCGTATGAGAGACCAGGGTCTGCAGACGGGCAGTGCACATGCATCCATCCTGGCCCTGACCAGCACACGCCTCCCGGGCCCCGTGGCTGCAGCCCTGCTGGCCCTGACCAGCACCGCACACCCCAGGCACAGCACGTTCTTGGCAGCCTGGTCAGCTGTGCCTCATCAGGTGTGTTTCTGGGCTGTGCTGAGTGCCCGCTCTCCCCAGGCCAAGTCAGTGGCCCCTGACTCATCTCTGGCACTGCATAGCCGCCAGAATCCACCAGGTGTGAGCCATCAGTCCCTCTGGGCGATCCTGGGGCAGAGCCTGAGGGGCATCATCCTCAGGTCCTCTCCAAACACTGCCAAGAAGGTCCAGAAGCCCCCAAGCACTGTGATGAGGTCTCTAAGCACTATGATGGAGCCCTGAGCACTGTGATGGAGTCTCTAGGCACTGTGATGGAGTCTCTAAGCACTGCAATAGAGCTCTGAGCACTGTGATAGAGCCCCAGAGTACTATGATGGAGTCTCCAAGCGCTGTGATGGAGCCCCGAACACTGAGAAGGAGACCCAAGCACTGTGAAGCAGTCCTGAGCACTGAGAAGGAGCCCTGAGCACTGTGATGGAGTCCCTGGGCACTGTTATGGAGTCTCTAAGCACTGTGACGGAGTCCTGAGCACTATAATGGATCTCTGAGCACTGTAATGGAGCTATGAGCACTGTGAAGGAGCCCCGAGCACTGAGAAGGAACCTCGAGCATTGAGAAGGATCCCCGAGCACTGTAAAGGAGCCCCCGCAGGTCCGTCACTCTCGCTCTCTCTCACTGGGAAGGTCAGTGGTGCTGCCCTTGGCCGAGGCCTTGTGGAGGAAGAGGCTCAGCGGGCCCTCGACCAGCCGGTGACATGACAAATGGCTTTGACTCTTGAACAAAATGACTTTGGCTGCATCTGAGAACAGGAAGCCCCTGGGCACCAGCTCTGTGGTGGGGGGATTCGGGGGCACGTCGGGGAAAGTAGGGCACGGCTCAGCTCCGGGGCTGATGCCTGGCTCCGTGTCTGGAGCGTTATCGATTCTCCCTGGCAGCGCTGTGGCTGCTGCAGGGAACTCTCCCGGTGCAGCCCTGGGGCTGATGTGAAGGAAGGAGAGAGCAGCATCTCTGATGCAGGGCGTCCAGTGGCCTGGGTGCAGGGAGAAGGTTAATTACAATGCAGAGGAAGAGGGGGAGGTGGACAGACACTGTCCTCTCCTCCTCACTGTCCGGCTCGAGCCCCAGGGCCCAGCATCCCTCACGCTTCTCTCGATATCCACGCAGGATGAATGCCAAGATCACTAACCGGGGGCAAGCCAGTTGGGAACATTTTCTGGAAGAGACAAAATTAAGCATCTTTCCATGATAATGGAACCTCTCAACCCACTACAATTTAATGTGGAAAATTCTACTTTGCCTTCGTAAGAAGCTCATGGCACTTTCCCCTTTATCTGCCCAGGAAGCTTCTCTCACCAAGAATTCAGGGCAACTTGGGTCCTATGAAACTATTTTAGGAGATGTTTCACTGTAGTGAAATATTCCACTGATTATATGATTTGGGGGGAAGTATGACTTATAAAAGAATATAAAAATAATCCTAGTTTCCACTGACAATCATAAAGGCTATTCAAGAAGCTGTCCTTTGCACATACAATTCCCACACGCAGTAACCACGCAGTGTGACGGACGATGCAGATACCCAGAGAGCCGGGGTTGGAGCGTGCCGACACTTCCTGGGATCATACTGAATGAGCAACGGATATCCTACTTTCTCTAGGTATGGAGAAAAATGGGGTCCTTGACCCTAGTGTGGTAATCTGGAAAACAATCTTAGAAAAAATGCCAGACAATGAGATGGAGCCATAGTATAGCAGGGAGGGCACTTGCCTTGCACGCGGCCGACCTGCTGTCCCAGGCATCCGTCCCATAGGGTCTCTTGGCAAGACTGATTCCTGAGTGCAGAGCCAGGAGTTACCCTGAACATTGCTGGGTGTGGTTCCCCAAACAAAAGCAACCCCCTCCCAAAGGAAAAAAAATGCCAGAAAACATCATTTGTGGTACCTCCCATTGGCACAAGCACTCGGATTATGTTATGCAATCTTGATAATTGGTAATTATTGGAAATTGGGAACTGGAGCAACAGCACAGTGGGTTGTTTGTTTGTCTGGCACACAGCTGACCCAGATCCGACCCCCACGACCCCATATGGCCCTCCAAACCCCGTGAGGTGTGATCAGAGCAGAGTCAGGAGTCAGCCCTGAGCCCTGCCAGGCATGGCCCCAAAGAAAATAAAACAAACAAGCAAAAGGAAACTGAGATCAGAAACTGATTTTGTGTAAGGTCTAGACAGAGAGTTTATGAAAAAGAAACACAGAAAGACACTATTTAGGTAACACAGTTAAGGTAGCATGTTTTCATTCTCTAAAATGGAATAGGTATTTTTTTCCATCTCTTGTGCTTAGTATTCTGGAAGCTTTATGCCTACGTTCTTGGGCTCTAAAGACATTTCCTGCCCCACCATTTGTCTGCAGTATGAGGTGTCATTCTAGGTGAGTGAATTCTTTCTAAACATCATCAAGTTCGGAGACAAATCACTGCCAAGTACAGCTTTCCTTGGGAATGGCTCTGTGGACCAATATTTGAGACGGGTCCCGTAACTGTTGCTGCAAAGGAATTAATGTGACTTCGGGGACCAGAGGAGTAGGGCGGGGTGGGCACACACCTTGCATAGGCCAACCTGGGTTTGATGCCCGGCACCCCATGCCGCCCCGTTGAGCACCTCTGAGAGTGATTCCTGAGCGCAGAGCCAGGAGTGAGCCCAGGGAAGCACAAGGTGTGGCCCCAAACAAAACCAAAAATCAAATAAAGTGACTTTGAGCTCTGACGGGAGCCCCGAAACAGCAAGAGGCAGTGGGTCTACAGGGCTACAAGACCTCTCTGTGCCAATGACAAGCAGGCAATAGTCCTGGGCAAGCTCTGTGCCTGCGTGATCAGGGTGGGCGACTGGACACTTCGGGCAGGCAGCTGAGCCACCTGTGTGGCAGGAAGTTGGTGCTCCCATGCAGGTGCTCCCATGTAGTGCTCCTGTGCAGTGCTCTCGTGCTCAGGGGTTCCCTGGAGCAGACTCAGCCCTGTGGGTGGTGGGTAGTGGCTGCCATGGGGCTGGTGTCCCTGAGCCAACCTTTGGGGTCAGGAACCCTTGGACTGTGAGCCGCACAGAGACTGTAGCTTGAAGTGTTGGCAGCGCCCAGCTACTTCCCATCTTTCCAAACCTGGAGACGGGGCCTGGGTGCAGATCATGGGAAAAGCCTCCAGATGACCATCTGTGGTGGTGATCTGGGGACAGCCACTGCACACCCGGTGGCACTTGGGGGAGATGCTTGGCTCTGAGCTCAGGGGTGAACCCTGGTGGTGTGCAACGGTCAAATGCAGTGCCCAGATTCGAACAAGGGTGGCTGCATCTAAGGAGAGAGGCAGCCCGAAAGCTGGGCATCTGTCCACTGCGCTAGCCACCCGCTGGGAAGATGACGCCCGTGGACTCACCGAGCGCTACCGTGTCTTATGGTGGCCTTGATTTTCCTCAGGCCCCTACCAGGTATAAAGTGATTCGGAGAAATAATAACAAGCATATGTAAGGGGGAAAATATCACATTCATTTCCATGTTCAAACAATGTTCGTATGAGCAGTTATTTCTAAATTCAAGGGGGCTGGTGCAGAAAGCCCTGCAGCTAAATAATGGAAAAATAATAAGTTTGTTGCAGTGATATTTCAGTGCTACAGATAAAGTTATCTATGCATCCCGAAGGCCACACAGAACTGCAGTGGATGGTGGCTGCCGCCCCTGCTGGCAGGAAGGCTGGAGTTGTCTCCTTCTCACTGATCACTGATCACGTGGGCTTCCCTCTCCCCCCATAATGTCTCGTGCCACTGCTGAAAGGACTCCACTCGAGGGCCTTCCCTGCACACAGGGCCAAGAAGAGC